GAACATGCTTCTAGAGCAGGTTCAAACATCAGTTGGTCATTATCGCCGTCAATCCCACCACGGGCAAGGTCCCAATGGACTTGGACTCTCGCGCACACACAGCAACGCCTCTAGCAACACCATCAGCGGAGTCAATGGGCGACCACGAGCTGGTAGCAATGCCTCTCAGGATTCTACATTCCCCGATAATCGTGGTTCCATGGCTCTGGATTCACTTGCCAACGAGTTGGATGCTTTGCGAAGTCACTGGGAAAGCACCAACCGCAATTACCGTCTGAGCAGCCAGCTGGATCTGGAGCGGACTCCTACCAAGGACCATAGTGATGGACCCGCACTGATGAGTGATAGCTTGGCAGAATGGAGAAGGCGACTGGATGATGATGACAGGGCTGGGTTTGATGTGCAAACCAGGCCATTGAACAATGGAGCTGCACACCCCGAACACTCTAACGTGATCTAGAGATCATGCTCTCCATTATTGTTCTATGACCATGTGCCCTAAGATATGTGATTTGCACCGTCTGAGCGTTCTGCACCTGTATTTGCAATACTTTCCCTTTTTTTCCCCGTTGTGTTTTCCCACTCTCTTTCTATGTATGATGTGTGCTTTCATCTTCTCTGTTCCTCTACGTCGATGCACGGTGTTATCTTCTGATTCCGTCTCGCCATTGCGCTCATTTATCTGCCCTTTCCCTTTCCAGTTTTGATTTTGTCTTCAACCTCCTGGCTGTCCTTTTTATACCCCGGTTTTCTGATGTTCATTGGACTCTGGCTGTACCACTAGCATATTCCACGCGGATTCCTTGTTCATCCATAGTCGAAAAATCGCTTTAATTGCCCTGTGGAGGCTCCTATCTTTCACCAAACCCATTATGATAAGGATAACCTGAAGGGTTGTAAATTCGACAACACCAGGGTGGAAATGATGACCTGTCATCAGCCCGATTCGATAGGTACAGACTTACTCTGCAGCAATGCCTTTTTTTACTCTACGATGTAGAAGTACATACTCTCTCTGTACTGTTGGCAATAGTTAGTAACCGGGTGTGATACCTAACTAGTTAGGTCGCTCCACGTTTGCCCCTTAATAGACTGAAACTACTTTCCCATTGAGGAAAATCGCGCATACTAAGGAGTATGATATCTGGTATTGTTGATTGATGATCATGCATAAGCAAGACCACTGCGGATATCATGTCTCGCGAGGAGCAATATGATTGTATATGATTCAAATGAGAAGCGTACACATCTTAGATTGGGTATCACTCCGATGATGAGCGCATGGTTATAGGCTTGATGCCTGTTGTCCGCACAGGTCTCATTGACCACCTACCGGTCAGCTGAGGGATTGCATACCCACCAAAGCTGAGACGTAATCCATGGATTGTGTGAGTATGGAGTTTGACAAGAAAGATATAGTGACTGTATGCATTCTGATATCTGATATGATTTAATACGAATCTATACCAATTCCTACGGCGACTGTAAAATGTACGTAAAAGTCTATAGATGCCCAATACCAATCTTACCATACCACGGTCGGGCGTGACTGCCGTCCCCTGCATATTAAACCGCCAAAAGGAAATTCTCACCGACTCACCTCCTCTCCTCTTTCTTCTTCTTCAGGGCTCTCAGCATCATCTCTCCGTTTTATTCAAGGCTTTGCCCTTGTTCTTTATTCTCTCGATATTCCCCCCCCCCCGGACCTTCCCGGCTCATCTCCTATTCTTGACCTCAGTACAGCTTCGGTCCCGTTATCTTCAGGTATGCCTAGATCGAGTCGTTCTCCTTTTTGCCTTTTTGACTTTCAGTTTTCTGTTACATTCCCTTGCCCTATGTACTTCATTGCATCATATACAAAGTGTGTTGTGTTTCTGCTGTGTTCGTTGACCTGGCCCAGCCCTCTCAAGTTGCCTGAGGATTAGGTGTCAACCCCTCTCATTGACTTCCTTGTTTCTTTGCCTCACACCTCTTTCTTCCTCTCCACTTCCTTTGCACCCCTCTATACTCCATCGATATCAGCTTTGCATACAGTTCTACTTCGTCAACAGGATTTGAACACTAATTCTCAATCTTCTAGCCTCAAGTCCTTCCTCACGGCTAAGCGCTGTGCCCCCATCGGTTCAAGATGACGACCATGGTCAGTGTTACCCGATTTCTTCCTTCCTTTCTTTTTCACCCGGAGTCATACCTCGAGTGGCTGGAGAAAATTACGCTCGGATTATACCATGACTTTCTGATTGTCAACGAGATGTCCAAACCACCAGTTTTACTGACATTGCCTCCAGGATTTGCGAGTCGGTAACAAGTACCGCATTGGCCGTAAGATCGGCAGTGGCAGTTTCGGTGATATCTATCTCGGTATGCATATAACAGATATTGCTTTACCCCTGCATAGCAACTCATAATTTCTAGGAACGAACATCATCTCCGGTGAGGAGATTGCTATCAAGCTCGAGAGCGTCAAGGCCAAGCACCCCCAGCTCGAATATGAAGCCCGTGTCTACAAGTCGCTCGCCGGTGGTGTCGGTATCCCCTTCGTTCGTTGGTTCGGTACCGAATGTGATTACAATGCCATGGTCATCGATCTTCTGGGACCCAGTTTGGAGGATCTTTTCAACTTCTGCAACCGCAAGTTCTCGCTGAAGACCGTTCTTCTTCTTGCCGATCAGCTCATTTCCCGCATCGAATACATCCACGCCAAGTCCTTCATCCACCGTGATATTAAGCCCGACAACTTCCTAATGGGTATCGGTAAGCGTGGCAATCAGGTCAACGTAATTGATTTCGGTCTTGCAAAGAAATACCGTGACCCCAAGACTCACTTCCACATTCCCTATCGTGAGAACAAGAACCTTACTGGAACTGCCCGTTATGCCAGTATCAACACTCACCTCGGTGTCGAGCAGTCTCGACGCGATGACATGGAATCTCTGGGTTATGTCATGCTCTACTTCTGCCGTGGTTCTCTCCCCTGGCAAGGTCTGAAGGCTGCTACCAAGAAGCAGAAGTACGACCGTATCATGGAAAAGAAGATGACCACCCCTACCGAGGTCCTCTGCCGTGGTTTCCCCAACGAGTTCGCCATTTACCTGAACTACACCCGTTCGCTGCGCTTTGACGACAAGCCCGATTACTCCTACTTGCGCAAGATTTTCCGCGACCTCTTCGTCCGCGAGTCCTTCCAGTACGATTACGTCTTCGACTGGACCGTCTACAAGTACCAGAAGAACGCTGCCATGATCGTGGACGCTTCCAAGAAGGATAAGGATGCCGAGGATCAGCAGCGCCGCCAGGCTCTGCCTGCTACTGGCCAGATTGGAGCTAGTGGTGCCACCAAGCCCGGTGCCATCTCCAGCCAGCGTCGTAAGGTCGTCGAACGCGGCGCCCTCGACACTCCGGACACCAACCGTGCCGTGGGAGGTAGTGACAGGATGTGAGTACATGAAACCTGGTTCCGAGTAGGGAACCCCTTCTTTCTTATCTCCTACGTTGAGTGATTTGCATTTCGTGACGCTGGCGTGGAGGACCCTTATGTTCTGAATCTGACTAATCGCATAGTCTTCGGCGTTAGGCTACGTTCTGCCTCGAAAGGTGCTGCTTTGGGTTATGGACCCTCCGGTGGCCGTTCGAAGCCGGACGCAGGACCGGAGGAGCACTGGTACTAATAGTGTTTACACGACAGTGAGGCTATGTGTCATATGTGCCTCCTGTCTGTTCACATTCTTATCTACTAAGAAACCGGGGACCCTCATGTCGCCTTAGAGCGGACCATGTCGCACTCAGCCTTCTCGGATATTTCTTTGTTTTTTTCTTCCTGGATCTCTATTCATTCTGCACTCCCCGACAGCCCTCCTATCCCGTTTTCGATCAGATTTCGATCTCAGCCGTTTCGATTCGCTTCTGTTTATCGCCTGCTCTATGCCCCATGAAAGCTTTGCCAATTGGGTGGACAATCTTGTGCTGAGCCTGCGAAAACTTTATCGACTATTTTTCTGTCTTTTCGGATTCTTGTACCCGTTCTGCGGGACAACCGATTACACATCTCGAAACGCTTCTGATATTGTGGCTTATTCTTACGTCTTCGCCCTTTGGTTTCTCTTTACAACCTGGCATCTTCGGTCAGAATGACCACAGGGCAAGACTAAGGGAGATGCAAACGACGGCCTCAGCCCGCAAATTTTCTCGTCGGATTGTTTAATCGCTGGTAATGGAGATCCTTGAATGCATCTTCGGATGCGCTGCCAATCATTGCTTACCCCCCTTTCTTTACTCATCATGTTTCTTCTCTGCCCTCGATCCTCCCTTGCTTTTTTTCTTGCGTTTATCTGGCGATGATTAATTTGTGAACTATCGACGCTCAACGGGGACGAGGTGTGGCCTCCAATATGGCCAAGAGGGGGTTCGGGACAGAGAAAGCTTTCGGGAGCATTGCTCTGCAGGCTTTCTGGATTTCTGCTCAAGCTACATTGCAGAAATTACCGTTACAGAAGGCTTCCAGGGCAATCCCGCTCTGCAGGAAACTGGTGTGGTTGGCGACGGACATTGGTTAGGGTCGCTTCCGGGGTGGTATGCGTCGATTTGTGTCAAGTTATTTCTCTTAGCTTTCTCTACACTGCACTTTCAATTTGCTTACTCCCATTTCAACTGGAATTGTGCTATTCAACTCGCAACCAGACCGCCATCGCCCCAACATCCGTACTTCCCGGTCCAAAAAGAGTAAAAAACGATGAGATCATCGAAAGTTTGGCCCATGCACCGAGCACTCTTGGAATCGATGGACATACGAGAGGTTACATGTAGACCTTGGAAGTATACCTTGAATCGAGATGGTATAGGAGTGTCATGACAACATTGAATTCTGTACATCGTACAACGGAACGCCCCCCCGGTACATGAAACTCGAGCAGATAATAGATTTTCCTCAAAAGTTTTCCCACCCTCACCTCCTAACTTTCCGACAAGCCCTCGAGACCTTGGAATCTGTCTACGATTCTGTAATGGATTACTCTTTCTATGATCCCCGATCACAGCCCTCGGGCTTCTCGCTCTACGGGCTGCCTACCCCCGACCAACCCCATGCCCAACCAGATACATTCGCCCCTGTGGTAGGTTCTTTGTTCCCCCCTAACCGTCAAGAACTTGTCGCTAATAGACCAGAATAATTACCAAAACTTCCCTGGCTATATCCCCCCATTCCCTGCCGACCCCTCCTTTGTCCCGCCACCGCATTCACCGCCAGACTCGGTCAAGCACTCTGCTTCCAGCGATGCCGCCAACACTCAGCACACACGCCCCACCTCATTCGACGGCGATGAAACTCAATTCGCCGACCCAGCTTTAGGGAGGAGTAGCAGCGAGGAAAAGGACTCAGCGCCCGCACAAAGCAAGCGCAAGGCACAAAACCGAGCAGCGTATGTGACATATCCAACCCACGTGTCTAGAGACATCTATCCCCGTAAAGCAAACACTAACAGGTTCCACTCGTTACACAGTCAGCGGGCATTCCGGGAGCGCAAGGAACAGCACGTCCGCGACCTCGAAGACAAAGTAAATAGCCTCGAACAAGCCTCCAACACATTACAAGCCGACAACGAGCGCCTCAAGCGCGAGCTGGCCCGGTACACAACCGAGAATGAGATCTTGCGCGCGACATCACAACAGGCCAACCGCGGACATGTCGGCGCAAACGAGAATCCTGAACCAACGGTTACGGGCCCAATGAAGTACTCCCCAACAGACTTCCATACCACGTTTATGGCAGACAGCCCTGGCACGTCTCGAAACCTGCACCACCGTCTCACCGTGTGTCCGATTACCGGTGAGAAGCTGCTGGATGCGGGTGCTACGTGGGACCTTATTCAGAAACATGAACTGTTTGAGCGCGGCCAACTTGATATCGGTGATGTCACGGAGCGTTTGAAGGGTATGTCGCAGTGTGACGGACAGGGCCCTGCTTTTAAAGAGAGCCAGGTGCGCCGGGCTATTGAGGAAAGTGCGGCTGCTGGTCGTGATGAGTTGATTTGATGCGGTATCCTTTTTCTCCGGGTACCGCTGATACGGTTATGATTGATGTTCTTTGGCGTTGGAATTGATGGGATGAACAGCGATTTTGTCATCCAATTCGTTGTTAATTCAGTATATACGTGATTCGGTTGCGTTTATCAGCGTCTGGGCTATATACTTGAATTTTGGCTTCTTTACCTCCATTGCAATGGGTGGCTACATACATAGTTCGCATGGTTTCGAGTATCCACATTTACTAGATAGTCGCCATCATGCAACCCAGCCTATATGGCAAGAAACTGTCTACACATGTAGGTAATTCCAATCGGGGCTAACAAGGTATCATTCTCTTGGCTCCTGTCGACGTAGAACGGGGGTCATCATTTTTGGATATGTTCATAATATACATACACACAAGCCAAATCATAACATTTGCAGTATTTTCAATCGCAAGGAAATCAATCCCAATCATCATCATAATCTTCAACGTTCAGATCATCGTCTTTCTTGTAGTCGTCCTCTCCATCACGCTTCCTCAGCCGGACATCACTCTCCTTCAAAGCACCGATCTCCACGAGCAAACGCTCAATATCTATGCATTTGATCAGTATACAATTCTTATTTCACTCCTGCCTTGAACGTAACTTACCTTCGATCTTGGTCCGGGGTCCCTTCAACTGCTGGAGCGTGACAAGCTGCTTCTTGATCTCGGTATCCTTATATACCAGGATTGTGGGCGTGTTCTTCTCTGGATACCCCTCAATACACATGTCGGCACGAATCTCACAAAACTTGATATCGCCGAATTTGGCAGCAAGCTGCCGCCAGAGCTCCGTCAACACGCGCGATTCAACATTCCCGCCCATCGATGTGAGGTTGACTAAGACGAAAGCATTGTTGGATGCCTCTGTCACCTCGCGGGCATAATCGACTTTCTGAAGTGGGTAGACTTGGTTGAACAGGCTGGTTTGTTGGAGGGTGGAGAGCTCGGCGAGACGCTTTTGCCTGTTTGATTGGTACCGTGAGCAAAGGGAACCTTTTTAGGTATACTTACTATTACATCAAAGCTTACCGGTAAGTCTCGAGAAACGTCTCATCTTCCTCATCCTCCAGTGCGTCTAGCTCATCAAGGTCCTTGTCCTCGAGTCGGTTCTCGTGCGCCCTGTGCTGTGCGGCGATCAGAGCCTCTTGGATCAGAGGTTCGGGGTCTTTGGGCTTTTCGGGAATAATGCCATGTTGACGGAGGATATCGTTCCTATGCAATATTCAACAACGGGTTAGCCATTGCCTTCAGGTTATACCTTGCCGGTAGCGGGGGTATGTTGCAAGTAAATATGCTTACCACTCGGTATCCTCCTTAGGGTCAACTTCAACCTGCATATTGGATTGAAATGATCAAAGATGTATAGATTAAATTCGATCCAAGCGAAATACAAAGGGAATGAGGGGGTTTAGAGGGGATGAATGCGCTGCCTTGGATCGTGATGCCACCTGTTTGCAGTGTTTGGTTCGGGCCAAACACACGGAAGGCCACCTTCAACTTGTCAATAGCTGGCACTTCTGAGCTTTGAGGGTTCGAGATTCACTACCACCGCATTTACCCCGATTATATCCTTGTCTGTTTCTCCGATTTACCCTCTTTAAGCCTCCAATTCCTGCGTGGTTATGCAACTGTTATAGTCACCTACACCGCCCTACCCTGCTTCTGTGTACTCGACCCGTGTCCCAATTGCACCAACTCCACCTTTCTAATACGACGGCAACCACTCATTGCTGGTGCAATTCCAGCTGCTGGGCAATATGAGTTACATGAAGAAAAACGAAGATGAGGACCAGGTCATGATCAAGCTTGATCGGACCTCCGTTTTCCAAGATGGTGTGTAATGAACAATACCCCCTGGCGCCTACATGCGCTGCACATATTCAATGCTAACGAGATAACTCTCCTAGCACGCCTATTCAATTCCTCTCCTATCTCGCCGCGAACATGCCGAACGTTACTCACCAAGATCGCTGTCCTCATGTTCACCGGGGAGCAGTTCCCTACGAATGAAGCCACCACTCTCTTCTTCGGAATCTCCAAGCTCTTCCAGAACAAAGACCCGTCATTGCGGCAGATGGTGTACCTGATCTTGAAGGAGCTAGCTGGCACCGCCGAAGATGTGATCATGTCGACAAGTATCATTATGAAGGACACTGCGGTAGGAAGCGATGTCTTGTACCGGGCCAATGCCATCAGAGCGCTCTGCCGCATTATCGATGTAGGTCGTCGGTCGCGAGGACTTCAATGGTTGAGGGGATTTGCTGACAATTGCAAAAGGGTTCCACAGTACAGGGTATCGAGCGACTTATCAAGACCGCCATTGTTGACAAGACCCCGTCGGTGTCCTCCGCGGCCTTGGTCTCTTCCTACCATCTCCTCCCCATTGCGCGCGACGTTGTCCGGAGGTGGCAGAGCGAAACACAGGAAGCGGCCTCGTCATCGAAATCATCGACCGGGTTCCTTGGTTTCTCAGGCTCACAGAGCCATGCTATCTCGAACTCGAATTTCATGACACAGTACCACGCCATCGGTCTTTTGTACCAGATGCGCTCGCACGATCGCATGTCTTTGGTCAAAATGGTACAACAGTACGGCGCTGCAGGTGTGGTGAAGAGCCCGGCTGCTCTGGTTTTGTTGGTACGTCTGGCGGCCAAATTGGCCGAGGAGGACCAAGGTCTCCGGAAACCCATGATGCAGATGTTGGATGGCTGGCTCCGCCACAAGCATGAGATGGTCAACTTTGAGGCGGCCAAGGCTATTTGCGATATGCGCGATGTCACCGATGCCGAGGCAACGCAGGCAGTTCATGTTCTCCAGCTCTTCCTGTCCTCCCCCCGGTCAATCACCAAGTTCGCTGCAATCCGTATCCTACACAACTTCGCCTCTTTCAAGCCACACGTCGTCAATGTCTGCAACCCTGATATCGAGTCCCTTATCTCTAACTCGAACCGTTCAATCGCAACGTTCGCCATTACGACACTGCTCAAGACTGGCAACGAAGCCAGCGTTGACCGTTTGATGAAGCAAATCTCGGGCTTTATGGCTGATATCACCGACGAGTTCAAGGTCACTATTGTCGAAGCTATTCGCACTTTGTGTTTGAAGTTCCCCAGCAAGCAGGCCGGTATGCTCGTTTTCCTGAGTGGTATCCTGCGGGACGAGGGCGGATACGAGTTCAAGCGCACTGTTGTTGAGAGCATGTTCGATTTGATCAAGTTTGTCCCGGAAAGCAAGGAAGATGCGCTTGCTCACCTCTGTGAGTTCATTGAGGATTGCGAGTTCACCAAGCTTTCGGTTAGAATCCTGCACCTGCTTGGTTCCGAGGGCCCTAAGACTACCCATCCTACAAAGTATATCCGCTACATCTACAACCGCGTCGTATTGGAGAACGCCATCGTACGCGCCGCTGCTGTCACCGCATTGGCCAAATTTGGTGTTGGCCAGAAAGACCCCGAAGTCAAGTCTAGTGTCCATGTTCTCCTCACCCGTTGTCTTGATGATACCGACGACGAGGTGCGAGACCGTGCTGCGCTTAACCTGCGTCTGATGAGTGAAGACGATGAGTCGGCGAGCGCTTTCATTAAGAACGGTAAGGTCTTGTCCATGACTAGCAATGGTAATTTTACTAATGGTTATAGACTCAATGTATTCCCTTTCCACGTTTGAACACCAGCTCGTCATGTATGTGACGTCTGGTGACAAGGGGACATTCGCTACTGCCTTCGATGTTGCCACCATTCCGGTTGTCTCACACGAGCAGGCGCTGGCCGAGGAGAGGACCAAGAAGCTTACCTCAGCTACTCCCACTCTCAAGGCGCCTTCGACCGGTCCCCCGAAGGGCAAGGCAGCCGGCGGTATGGCCGAAGCAGCCAGCGCCTCTGCCACCCAGAAATACGCAGAGCAACTTCTGCAGTACCCCGATATCAAGGCTTACGGTATTTTGCTCAAGTCCTCCGCGCCTGTCGAGCTTTCCGAGAGCGAAACCGAATACGTTGTTACGGCCGTCAAGCACATTTTCAAGGAACACATCGTGGTACAATATGATATCAAGAACACACTTCCGGATACTATTCTTGAGAATGTCACCGTGGTTGCCACGCCAGAAGAAGAGGACGTATTGGAGGAAGACTTTATCATTCCTGCCCCCAAGCTGCCCACAGACCAGCCTGGTGTTGTCTACGTTGCTTTCAAGAAGCTCACCGGCGAGAACAGCGTCCCCGTCACCTCCTTCACAAACATCCTCAAGTTCACTAGCAAAGAAATCGATCCCGTAAGCGGCGAGCCGGAGGACAGTGGCTACGACGACGAGTACCAGGTGGAGGACCTCGAGCTGACAGGCAGTGACTATGTCATCCCGACATTCGCCGGCAGCTTCGACCACGTCTGGGAGCAGACTGGCGCCAATGGCGAGGAGGAAAGCGAAACTCTGCAGCTCAGCAACATGAAGGGTATCAACGGTATGTACAAGTCCTATTTATTGCTCTATGTTATAAATACTCACGCTTTTGATCCCAGATGCCACGGAACAACTGATCTCAGCGCTATCTCTGCAACCTCTAGAGGGTACCGACGTGGCCCTCAACAGCAGCACACACACTCTCAAGCTGTTCGGCAAGACCGTCTCTGGTGGCCGCGTCGCTGCTCTCATCAAGATGGCCTACTCCAGCAAGGCCGGTGTGACTACCAAGATCACCGTTCGGGCAGAAGAAGAGGGCGTCGCCGCCGCTGTGATTGCTTCTGTGTCTTAATCCCTTTCTCTCCCTTTCTTTTTGTCGTTACGTGCTTAATCCTGGTTGGGGGGACAAGAGCGTGTGTCTTTTTCATGTGTCTTGGTTCGTTAGATTGCGTCGTCCACCCCTCAAAACTTGTCAATGCAACTTTTCATCCAAATATCATATCATATTCATGCATACACTTGATGTTTCTCACAGTGTAGCTGTCATTAGTGTATAATCGCGAGCTTGATTCTTAACACTGCCTTGTCCGTTGGTTAAGTTAAGAGTAGACAAGGGTCAAAATTGTTTGTTTAAATTAGCCACAGATATTACGACCAAAATAAAAGTATGAATGTTTGAAAGACAGCTAAAAGATTTTGTTTTTATATGCTTCTTGTAATGCCATGAGATAATTCCACACAGTGCAAAATCAAGGACGCAGACGCTGAGGGTCACGGGGGAACAGCGAAGCCAAACGGACGTTAGGCAAGCCAAGGAAGAACATAACAATACGGTTTAGACCAAGACCACCGCCAGCGTGAGGGGGGCAACCCTGGCGGAAAGCATTGAGGTAATCCTCGAAGCCCTCCTGGTTAGGCTCGAGACCCTTAGAGCGCATAGACTCCTCCAACTCCTTGATATCGTTGATACGCTGGGCACCAGACATGATCTCCTCGCCACGCATGAAGAAGTCGTACGAGTTAGAGAAGCGCTTGTCGTCGGGATCGGCCTTGGTGTAGAAGGGACGGACAGCCATGGGGAACTTGTCGAGCACGTAGAAGTCGGTGTCGTACTTCTCGCGGATGATTTGGCCGAGCTGCTTCTCCATCGCGGTAGAGAAGTCGTTCTCGAAGCGTTCTTGCTCTGAGACGTCGACACCGGCTTCCTTCAGTAGCGCAACACCGTCCATGTAGTTCAAGCGCAGCGCCTTACCGTCCTTGGGAAGCTTGAAGTCGCCGGCCTTGGGGTAGGACTTTTGGATGGTGGCGATCTGGGTTGCGTAGCGCTCCTTGAGCTGGGTGAGGATGAAGACAAGGAGGTCTTCAGCGAACTCCAGAACCTCGTGGTAGTGGCCGCGGAAGGTCTTCTCGAAATCGAGACCGGAGAACTGTAAGTCATGTCAGAATAATCTGTTTCTTTTTTTCCTGTTCGGGAAAATATATCAGTAGGTCATACCTCAGTCAAGTGGCGGTGGGTGTTGCTGTCCTCGGCACGGAATACGGGGGCGATCTCGAATACGTTCTCCATATCACCGGCGATACACATCTGCTTGTATAGCTGGGGGCTCTGCGCCAAGTAGGCATTGCGCTTGAAGTACTTCACCTCGAAGACACCGCTGCCACCTTCTGTGGCGGCACCAACCAGCTTAGGTGTGGAGATCCACCGGGAGCCACTCTTAATCATGTACTCAGCAAATAGCTGGGAGACACCGCTGGAAATCCAGGTGATGGCCTGGCTGGTTTCAGTCTGCAGATCGAGGACCCGGTTATCAAGGCGAGTCTTGAGGGTGACGATTGGAGCACCCTCGGCATCAACCTGAGCACCTTCATCAATGCTCTCTGGGGGCGGGCGCTCAGCATCCTTGACTTGCATAGGGAGCATCTGCGCAGCCTCGGAGATCATATAGACCTTGCGAATGTGGATCTCGAGGTGGCTAATGGACGCAGACGAGATCGGAATCTCGGGCTTCTTCACAATACCGGTGATCTGCACAATCGAGTTGACGTTCAGGCCCCCGGTGTACTTGATCATCTGTCGCGAGATGGGCTCCGCGGCCGCAATGACGGCCTGCACTTTTTGTCCCTGCTGGCGCAGCATCAAGAATGCAAGCTTAGCACTCTGCACACGCGCATTGTCCACACGCGCCACAACTGTCACCTCCTTCTCGTAGTGTTCCTCTGAGAGTTCGCTGAATCGTGTAGACGGGATGGCGTTCTCGGCCTCTGGGAGAGGGCCGTATAGATCCTTGGCCGTGTCGTTGGCCTCCTGGGCGGCGGCCTGGGCCTTTTCTTGCGCTGCACGCGCCGCAGCCTTCTCTGCCTTGGCCTTATCCTTTGCGGCCTTCTTCAGTGCGTTCTTGCTTGCGTTCTTGGTCTCACCTTCCGCGGCGGGAGCGGAGGCATCCTGGGCCTCGGGCTTGGGACGGTGGGGCAATTCGGAGTCGGCCATGGTGCTGCAAAGACAATTAGAGGGAGCAAAGTGTTAGGTCAGGTATGTTGGATCCTACGTTAATGATTTTCTATCCTGAGAAATTTGCAGGAGTTAATGCAGCAGGCTGATTGTAAGTAGAGCTGCGGAGAAAACTGTTTCGTCGACTCACCCCGCCGAATGATCAAGCCCTAAGAGGGGTAGGCGGTGTGGAGACTTAGGCAGATCTACCTTGACTGTATATGTACGGAGTACATCCATGCATGTTAATCACTTGTATCTACATTTTTTTATTACATGATAGGTTGAAAAAATGTTGTAGAGGTAATTATGTGGATTGGTGCTGGTAGCTATTTGGAACAAACACATAAACATAGATTGGCGCCATGTTGATGCCGATCTTCATATCAATGTAGAGTATCCAGCGTCCCTTGATAATCACGCAGCAGGCCAGTTCGAGTTCTTCAGTGCCCATTGAACACCTTTTTGTACATTGTCAGCAATTGTCTCAGGGATCCAAGCAGGCTCTCCGCCACGGTATACCCCAGTGCGGACAAGGATCGAGTGCCAGCTACTGCCAATTTCACTGCGATAGGAGTTGGCTCCTCGGATATCTGACTCTGGATTATCACCGACCATATATACTCTTTCCAGGGGCGTGCTTTCAGCAGAGCTTCCAAATGTTCTCAGCCGGTTCCGAAGCAATTGACGCTCTGCGAACTGGTAGGTGGGTTGGTAAGGTTTGCCGATCACGGTCTTCTTCAACTCAATACCCTTGCTGGGGCCACCTGTAGCCGCAGCCCAGACGCCCTCAAGCGCTTCCCGGAATCCGCCCTGACCAAGACGGGGCAAGGGGTAGGCGGCGGCCCACCACAAATCTGGATTAGAAAAGTATAGATGGGGCTGGCCATCCTGTTGGTACCCATGATTGGGAAGATCGATTCGTCCGTTCTTTTCAGACAAAGTGCCTAGACGGCCTTGCGATGAGAGGAGGAGGTCCATAATAACCTGGGTGTCCAACGCCCAATCACGAGGATCATTGAACACAAAGACAGCATCGATCTTCAAAGTCTTCGACGCATCATTGAAATCAACGGGGTGCGGGAGCGGTCGGGCAAATGTTTTATAATATTCGCTGAAGTTCATCGAAAACGGACAGACAGCGGGGTTTGCCATAAGAATATCCGCCGGAGTTACAACATTCTTGAAGCCGTACCTATTACTATTAATTAGCATATATCATTCAGCAATAGGAAGGGGTCCTTGATATACCGTTCTGCCACGCGCCGGCAGTTATCCCCATCGCCTCCGGCCACTAACACACACTTGTGTTCCAGGGCGCTCGACTCGTCCGGTCCCTTGACCAGCTCAGCAAAGGGTGAGTGACTCTGCACAATGTCCGTAGCATCCAGTGGTATTCCTAGTTTCTCGCTGATTTCCGCGACACGCTCCGTCTCGTGTTTACCGCCGCCGTTGGTGAGCAGAAGAAAGGGGATTCCTTGTTTCTTCAGGAGAGCAAGCGAGTCGGCGGCACCGGGCAAAGGTTTCGATGCGCGGAGGAGGACGCCATCAATGCTGTAGCATGTGAGAAGAAAATCGAGTGAATTGTGTTCGCCGGTCAAGACTCACTCAAATGCAAATGCGAAGTTGGGGATCGGTCGAGAACTAGCTGTTTGGATAGCTCGGCGGGTGACAGTTTTATGAGTAGAGAGGGATTGACGCTGCAATAGGCCAAATGACCGCCAAAGGGTTTGCGATCTCATTGTGGTCGTGATCCTGGGAAATGTGTACAAAAGGGAAATGTACGTCATTTCCAGGTTCCCCCGGGACCGTGCCGGCCAGATCTTTCCCTCCGAACTTCCATTTCCCCACTCTCAAACTTTTACACTCGCTTTTGATTCGAGGCTTTAGAGAAAAGGACCATGGTATTTGAATCAAATAGGGAGAATAACCAAACAATCACAGATTAGCCAGCATTTTCGCTGTCGGTGCATCATTATTCTCCTTAAAATGTATCCTCTCTAGTCCAACTAGTACTCTCGCTTCAATCTGTTTTATAGGTTGTGCTATGGTACATTGCTAGAAAGATAGCTGCCGGGGCAGTAGCATGACCCATTAACGGCTAATATACAGAGAGAGGCATATATATATAAGACTTCATAAGAATGTATGAATGAATCTTTAGCACATTGGCTCAGCCATGACATAGAGACCCAAGTCAAAAAGAGAATCAAGCTCTTCCTCAGGACACTTATCAATATTCTTCCACAACCACTTGTCGATTTTGGCATGTGATGCTTCGGGTATTATTCCAAGACAGCTAGCACTGATACCAAGAGCGCACAATCGAGAGAGATTCATTTTCAGGGCCTTGCAAATATCATCGGGATCAATGACTGTAGAAAAGTTCTCGTTATATGGTGCCGTGAGCTCCAGTCCACGAATTGACAATGGAGAATCCCTTGAGTCGAATGCAGGAAGAATGAGAAATTCGTAAAGCAGATCAATGGGTATTCGAAGAGACTCTAAAGCCATGAGTGCGCGTAAGATCCCAGATGGTCCCTCCTTGAACATCTCGCTATTGGCACTGTGAATGATCAACTGCGTAAGTGTGGTACGGAGCTGCTCATTGATGAGAATATCTTCCAAGATGGGAGTGTTTAGACTATCACAACCACATAATGTCAACGATACCAAGTTGGGAGGCCATTTGAACGAATACATTCTATCTGTAACAAATTGCCCGCCAACCTGGAGGTATCTTAGATTGGGCGGCCAATCTTCAGTGGAACTATCGTCTGTGATGAGAGTTGTAGATGAAAGCTCAAGGGATTGCAATTTGTCGATATTGCTGATGGCTTTCTTGATCGCAGGAAGCGCGATTGGCTCAGCTACTAAGTGGAGAGAAAGATAGCAGAGCTCCTTGCATTTTGCTAAGGGTGCAAGGCTGTTGATCCTGTGGAGAGGAATTAGCTTGAGGTTGGATATTATGTTGTGATAGCCATTATTTACTTACGAAAAAGAGATCCTCGGAGCAACAAAAGTCCTCAGGTTCTTCTTCACTCGACCTAGAAGCCGTGCCGTTAGGCTATTCGAGCTGTGGTGGACCAATGATCCGAGGTTCAGGACATGAACTAGTGAACCCAAGTCTACTTTTCTTCGTCCTCGGGAGCGAATCGATGGGCACACAGTGTTGGTGAAAAGCAAGAAGCTATTTCCTTCGTCAAGTTGAGGTCGGTAGTAGAGAAATTCGATGCCAGCAGAGTACCACTGGCGAGAGACCGAACAAAACCTTTGAAGCGTGACTTGATAACTTGGGGGGTCGGCATTATTTTTCCAACCATCAAAAATGAATTTGGCGATGTGTATTAAGACCTCTGTAGGGAGGTAAACACATTGGGGAGAAGTCATGACTTCGGTGGAGTCGACCCGCCTTAGCATTTTACCAGTGGAACAAACAAGAAGGTTTCAAATTGATATCGTGAAGAATCCGTGTGTCGAAAATATTATGTGTGGCGTTTCGTAACAATTAAGGATGAAGATGGCGAGGAAGAGGCAACAGAGAGACCGAACCGCTTCCGAGAGAAGCAAAGACACAGGTCATCTCAAGTGAAGTGGGATTATTAGTTGATTCAGCATGGAAGTAGAAGGGAAAAAGTTCCAAGGAAAGATAAAAAAGACATGGGGTGGATTGACACAAATAATTGGAGATGTGAAGATAGTCCGATGACGATCCTTATCTTTTTTACCGGCAGATCCAGGTCCCCGCCTTCGATAAGCAATTATTGTACACCGCCTTGGGCTCGGTTGTATACAAATTTCACTAGGATTATGATAGCAGTAAGATAATGAGCAGAATAAAGCTGGAAATATTGTCAGGAACTGCTGAATACAAATTCATTATCATATGAGTCTCTTATCTTATTCAGGAAATAGGTGGTCAAGTCTATATTCGTTACAAGAGCTTCAAGCCGGTCTGCAGATTGGCCCAAGCTCCTTCGATCCTACAGGACCTACCATCTTCACCTCACTCTGCCCGACAAGAGAAAAGACACCATGTCGGCCCCTTCGTTGAAACGTCCTCGGATAACTTATGAAAATGATGAACACGACGAAGCTTCGGTGGCATCTTGTGAGCATCCCCGTCATAATCCCCTTTATGGCCAGAAGAACGCATTCCCGGGGTTGGACGATGGAGGCGATGACCTACTCTCCAACGACCCGGACGATGGATTGGAATACTTGCGCGTGGTTCGGTATGCCTGATCCTGCATCTATATAGCTTTTGCTTTGCCTGAATGATGTCGAGGCTTGTCCGTCGTGATTCAAGTTTGAACTAATTTTTGCTCGATAGATTCGAAGCAAACTCACTACCGATACTTTTCTCTGCACCTACTCCGACCACAGACCCTTCAAAAGTAGCATCAAATATGCAACCAGATTTGACGCTAGTTGAACCGAATGACCCTCATCTACTACCAGGCTTTTACGAGGACGAAGCCTACATTGCGCCTGTGGAGGAGAACACAAACAACGCCGCAAATTCCCCTTCAAAGCTCGATGAGCTCTATCCTGAAGCGCAAAATTCCTACAACAATCTTCTGCGACATCGATTCCTCCTCTTGCGATCGACCCTAAAATGCAGTCCACCTGCCAGTGCTATCAATACCCTCGACAATGACCACCCTATCAGTCTGCCCCGAAAGGCCGGATCTGCGCACAAAACATGGCGCCGGCTCTTGGTCACAGTCGAACCACGTATGGTCCAACTGGCAAGCATGGACATGGACAGCGTGTTAGAAGTACTGGAAATACTAGCACGGATGATGTCTGATGTTGTGCGCGGCGACGACACTCAGCGCGTACGGCGCATTGGGGCTTGGGCTTGGGGCCTATTGGGAAGGTGCCGTGAGGTTGGACAACTTTCCACCCGAGAGGTGGGTGTTATTCGAAATCTGGGCAAACGAGCTGCGACTATCTTGCGCAAGGTGCAAGAGTTAGAGAACGAGGAGTATGAGGAGGAGGCCGATTATTCTGTGGCAGGCCCAGCAAAGGACAAAACCCAACAGGGTGATCTCGTCGAGGATGAGAAAGATACCAAGGCAGAAGCTCAGCAGAGATCTACAGTCCAGAATGAGGAAGCGACCAAGCAGGAAACTCAACCGGAACCTACATTTCAAGGCGAGGAGAACAAGGAAGAGGCTCAGCGTGAGCCTCCAGTTCCAAATGAAGCGGGAAGCAAGCAAGCGAAATTGCCGGAGACTGACGCATTATCGCTTGAAGAATCCGACTTGGAAGCAGCCAAGGCGCGCTTGCGAGCTCGGCTGCTGCAGAACGATTCCCTGCAGACCAATTCCGACTCTGTCGAGACGCCTGGTAGCTGGGAAGAAGAAGAAGAAGAAGAAGACGACGATTGGTCGATACAGACTCATGCCGTGCTCGATATGATCATTATGGTGGTTGGTGAGTTCTTTGGCCAGCGGGATCTTTTGGAGGAACGAGAGATCTGGGAATAGATGGATTTGACTTGCATGTATGAGATACCCAATGTTATTTAATATTAATTTCGTGTTACAACGTGCCAATGCCTTGTGTTCTATACGTAGTGCCTGATCGTTGCGAATTTCAACCGACAATGAGATACTAGGCCTCGGCGGATTTCAGCTAACCGCCAGTAACCTAACTTGATCATGTTATTCTTAAGATAAAAAGGCTTTAAACATGGCCGACTATTCTTAAAAGCCAAGGAAGGTCTGAAGATTCTTGTATGAATATTCCGACCCAACTGTGAATCAGGTGGCAATGGAGTAAGAGGAGGTCATCCTTATGACCGCCCGGACTCCAAGCTCGACATCCATTCTATCTCACACCCCGACTTTTGAGAACAATGACATTCTCATTTCAATTCTAATCAAAATGGCGCCAACCGTTGAGATAGCGATTCCGAATACTACCCTCTCAAATACTTCCCCGCCGTACACCGTCTACCACATCACCCTCCGCCTCCCACTCCGCTCCTTCACGGTTCCCAAACGCTACTCGGACTTCTCGACCTTCCATAGCACCCTCATCTCCCAAACGAATGCCCCTCCACCAGCTCCTCTGCCTTCGAAAACCTGGTTTTCGAAAACCGTCTCGAATGAACGATTGTGCGAAGACCGTCGCCGCGGGCTAGAGGCATACCTTCGCGCGATTAACGAGTCCGACGATGGGCGCTGGCGCACCTCGCCCGCATGGCGTGCATTCCTCAATCTTCCCACCGCAATCGCATCAACGGGCAACGGCTCAACCACCACGTCCACCCGACTCCACACCGCTATCACAGACCCAGCCGCTACAAATGCATCCATTACGGACCCGACGCTATGGCTCGACTACTACCGCGACATGAAGAACCACCTCCACGATGCACGACTACAGCTATCTCGCAGAGACCAGGAAACAACGCCACAGAAGCAACATGAGAGCTCTGCACAGGCGAAGGGCAGTCTTGTCCGTGCGGGGACCATGATCACCACTCTGGACGATGGACTGAAGCATCTTGGACGCGGAGATAAGATGTCCGAGGCACAAACATCGTCCAGTCTTGGTGGGGGCGAGATACGCCGACGAAAAGACCTGCTCATCAATGCGCGCAAGGAAAAAGACGGCTTGGAGGATCTCTTGCATGCTATGGCAACGAAGAGCCGGCTTGATCATACTGTCGCATCCATTCAAGATAAAGGAGCTTTGATGAATGCTGGGAATGCCGCTGGAGATGCGTCTAGTGGGCGTAGGACGCCGGCTCGGGCGGGTAGGGTCCTTGGCAAAGAGACGGAGCGAACTCGAGAACTTGACAACGATGGTGTGCTGCAGTTGCAGAGGCAGATTATGCAGAGCCAGGATGATAATGTGGATGAGTTGAGAAAGATCATTATTCGACAGAGGGAACTCGGCACGCAGATTAATGAGGAGCTCGAGGTGCAGAATGATCTGCTGAGGTTGGCGGATGAGGAGTCTGATATGTTCGTTTACATCTATGTCCTTTGCTCACGTTTTCCACTTGATTTGATCTGCTTTACTAACGAGGTGTCTAGATTGAAATCCAAGATGGATATTGCAAGGAAGAGGATCGAAAAGATCTCTTGAAGATCTCTTGATTTTGACCGTGCCTGTTTCCCATTGCGCGTAGAGCACTTCTTCCAATATACCTTTGAGCGGGTGTTTACAGCATCATTCAAGCCAATTTATTAGCAAATAACATCCTGTCATTTTGAAATCTTCAGCTTCTTGCGTGGATATTTTTTACCCAGTAATAATCCTGCAGAATGGGTAGAAGGTGCAGGTTCCCACTCTCAGTCGCTTCCATCCGAGCTCGATCAAGTCTATCCTTCAACTCCTCCAAGGGAAGTCCTTTCCGATCAATCGCGTCAAGCATGGCCTCAAGCATCGCTTTATCGCCCCGTCTCATGCATGCAAGGAATGGGTCATCTTTCAGTTCGCTCATATTCGGCACAAATATAAACGTTTTTTTGGGACGCCAGGTATCGGGACTAGGCATTGACCGTTTGACCCTGAGTATTGAGTTGAAATTGTCATCGCTTGCCTCTGTAACGAGTGCGCGATAGCAAGCATGCACCGCGAAGGGATCTGCGCCTCTCTCCAGCAAGAGTCGCACCTGCTGATTTCCGGAGTTGACATCCAAGATGACCCGATATAAGGGTGTAATGCTAGGAAGCCGCCGTTCATCGATATCAGCACCATGGGCTAAGAGCATATCAAGAATGGCTGTAGCATTAATTCTACTGTCAGTGGCTGGAGAATATGGTGCAGTCACTATCAAAGATTGGCGACCGGATAGTAAAGGTATTTTAGGATCAACTCCTCGTTCAAGTAGCTGCTTCACCACCCCAGTCATTCCAAGTTGGACAGCGTGCTCTAATCCTTCTTGCGCCCCATAGCTCTCAGGGTCTATATTCAACAATCCCCGGTCTAAGACCAGCTCCGCCATTTGTTCTCCTCCCAAGAATGCCTCTTCTAGCAATGTCTTGGGATTCTTTGGAGTATAGAGTCCTCGGTGGTTCGTGAGCTTTTCTTGCTCCTCGGGCAACGGAGGCATTTCCAATGCAATGCCTCTCTCAAGCAAGGTCTGTACCGCATCCACTGCACCGAAGTACAATGCTCTGGTGACGGCGTTTTCATCGGTATATAATGGCGTTTTCGTCGGATCAGCTCCTCGATCAAGCAACATGCGAAATATGTCTTCGGACGCCAATGCCGTCGCCTCTGCCAAAGCAGTTTCTCCGCGGCTGCTTATGCAATTTACATCAGCCCCGTGGTCGATCAAAAGCTCTGCAATTTTTACATTGCCCAATTGGATTGCCAAGGATAGCGCGCCTTCATCCTTGCTTTCTCCCTGGTACTCCTGTATATTGGCACCATGCTCAACCAAGAGTCTGGTAATTCCAATATCACCGTTCTGAATGGCTTGGAGTATAGGCCTGTTATACCGGAGCTTACAGTGCTGATATATTCCATCTGCGGAAAAGCTCTGCTCCAGAACACGCTGCACAATATCATCCCACCCATAGCCAATAGCTATGTACAGAATCTCAGCTTGTGCTAGGTCATCTCCGTGGTCTATCATGTTCTCAAAATCGGCGAGGGCTCGAAAGGAAACAGCGAAAGCAGACCGCTTCTGCCTCTCAACTGATCGCCAGAGTTCATCTTCGATTATGGATGATAACAAGTAGCGTTTTTTCTTTGGGTCCTTGGGGTATATGTTCACCCCACGTGCCAACAGAAGATCAAGGATTTGTAGCTGACCACTTACAGCTACATAGTAGAGTGTACTCAGACAATCTCGAACCATATCAGGATCGGGATCCGCCCCATGGTCTAAGAGCACTTCCACGACCTCCACATGGCCATTGCCAGCCGCGCAGGAAAGAGCGCTTCCTTGAGGCTCTGCTCCGCGTTCCAGGAGCAATTTGACCGTTTCAAGGTGTCCATTTTCCGCGGCAGACTCAAGAAGTGGCTTATCATCACGCGAGGGTTTGGCCCCTTTGTCCAGCAAGTATTCAACCATTCTTGCATCACCCTGATCGACTGCAACAGTGAGTGGTGTCTTATCCTGGTATCTTCTTCTTTTGTCGTCCCAGGCGTAGCCAGCCTCGATGAGAACTTGCATAACGGCTAGGTGTCCGCTGTTTACTGCCGCAAATACGATATCGGAGCATATCGGAGTACGTTCTCCGCAACCATGTTCGAAAGTGATCTTATAGGCAAGCAAAAGCCTGACAATGGCCACGTTGCCACGCACTGCCGCCGCATATAGTGGATTGAGAACTTTTGAGGCGGCCTCCTCGGATTTCTGGCCTTTGCACAGCTTGCAGCTCTGCTTTTCTGTGAATATACTAGGGTCTTCATTTTGTTCCAGTATCAGTCGGACGATGGTCTCATGGTTGTTGTTCACTGCCGCGACGAGCGATTGTTGAAAGTTGTAATGACATGAATATGTGGAAGCTCCAGCGTCAAATGCTTGGCGAATGGTCCCTTCGGAGCTATGCTGTGCTGCCCATACAATGGGGAACCCGTGTGATGAACGAGTGCTGTTTTGATAGAGCATTGGGGTCAAGAGCAGATATAGCCGCGAACATGTCTGCGCCAACGAGTTGAGGTAACGTGCTGGCTCGAGGAGATCAACAATTAAGTAGATGACTTCGACTGGAAGATGAGAGAAAGACACGGAGGGAGGCATTTTGAGTATATACATCTAATGGAGAGATGAGCAGAAGGATTGATTGTGTACAAAATAAATATCTAGATGTTTGAGGGTGGAGACTGGAGTCATGACGTGGTGCAATTAATCCATGTCTCAAAAAGACTCCCAGAGGTATCATTACATTGCGTGAAACAGCTTCGAATGGAGTGAAATGTATGTTTAAAGAGAAATTCTAGACATGGTTTGTACATCTGTTATCTCTTTCTTATACAATTGAGGACATTGAGGGTTCTATATGTCCACGGGTACCGACATAAGCAAAGGTACGTATGCAGTATTCCCAAAGCCCGTGTAGTACCTGTCATAGTGTTCTTGTTCTATAGATACCTAACTAACAGGAAAGATGTATAGATATATATGAATGTAGTGCAAGGACCTGTGATATTGATGCCATAGAATCAGAGGGGGCTATCACTGATGGGATATGGGACAGGTGAATTCAGGGGATTCTGGACCATGCCGGTCAACGAGTTCGAATTATTCTACTCCTTACGGCAGTCTGCATATCTAGGCCAGTCCCCTAGTTGATTCTGGGCTCTTTGATTGGATCTGCATCGGACCGACGGCGAAAGGCATAATGCAGGACTCGGCTTCTTCCCAGCAAGAACCGTATATAAATCACAAAGAAAATGAGATATATCATTAAATATATAAAGGATGTATCGACCCAGCGTCATAGTTTGCAGGGTTTATCGTCTAAAACGAGATTGACATCGTTCTTTGTATCACTCAGAATCACCGAGGCTCCACGGAGGTTGACACATCAACAGATCGGGTCACTCCTATGCCACTGAATGTCGATTTCGGCGGACCTCCTTTCTCACTATTGCCGTGGATGATTGTCTCGAACTTCGGATTTGCCTGTGCATTGTGCATGAGTACCTCCTCGTCCGAGCCTGTCGTTACAGCACTCATTTGATTCTTGCTTCGATCCATTGTACCCCGGTTTCGTATCGCGCTCATTTTGTAGTCGGACTCGAGCGTTACTTTGTTGCTGGAATATTCGTGGTAGATTCGAATTATGAGAGCCGAGAGAGAAGGGAGACAGGTACAGATAACGCCGATGGAGACTTCCGCATTACTGAAAAGAATTTCGCAGTTAGAATGCATCGTCAAAAAGATAGGCTGAGAAAACGTACCCTAGCATATTGATTCTCATAAACGTACGAGAAAGATCCTTCGACTGTCCGGTAACGACAATAAGTGCCAACCGGATGATACTGGCTGCAACAGCCAGGCCGCCCGCTCCCAAAATACCCATAACCCGCATCTTTCTCTTTGTAGAAATTTGCAGAGTCAAAGTTAATGGTAATGGCAAGATGAGAATGATCAAATCACTGACCACACTGACGACGACATCAGCCAAAATGATCGATGTTTGGTCGAAACATGTGCCGTCAATACTCTGGTCCCAGAATTTGGCGATGGGGTTGCAGATTCGGATTTTGACGCTGACAGCCGGGATGTAGTAGGCCAACATGATTCCCATAAAGACCTTAATAAACATGACGCATTTCCGGAAGGGACTGAATACACGAATCATGATCCAGAGGAGACACAATTTTGTGAGATAGGCTGTTGGTCCATACATGACCATTGTTGCGTATATAGTCTAGAGAGTCAGAAGTCTGGATAATCATCATTCGTGTGCTTTGTATACCTTTTGGAAAGGAATCTTGTTCTCCTCGGGGACATCCGTCCAGTGTAAGCCTCCTCCGTAATGACCCACTGTCCTTGCGTTAGATATAGCCTGTCACCTGTGGTACTAGAGACATACTGAGGAGTGCAATGATTGAGTAACAGATGCCGAGGAACTGTTCGAGATATTCTGTTAGCCTAAGTTGCCCTCTTTCCATGTATGTAGGAGTCTTACCCAGGCAGCTGTGCATATCCCTATTGAGGCTGTCAGCATTTACCTGTTCCGTACGCTTCCATCCAAAAATTTCACTCACAATCCTGCTTCCCGAATCCACTGAGAATGAACAACCGAGTATAAACACGCAGACCGAAGAAGACCATCATGCCAATGATACATAATGACTGGCAGGCGTAGTTCCAGTTCTGCACACTCCGATCAATGGACGCATTGTCAGAGCCTCGTTCCAGCAACGGCATGGGGGACATCACGGATTGCTGTAAGTTTAGAACCAGTAACGGGGCCAGGCGCAAGACATCCCCATCTTTTAAGCAATATCAGCCAAGAAGCTAGAAAATAGAAGGGCCAGAAAATAGGGTTCAGACATCCCTGATTGAAATTTTAAACTGACATGCTTTTACGAAGCTGCATTGTTGAAATCGGGCTATTGATCACCTATGATCGGCTCGTTTCAAACAGAAGAACCAGCAGAACTCTATTATCTACTCACAAATACAACAGGATTGATCACTTATTCATGCCTAAGGTCTGTAAATAATAAAATGTTTTTTTTTTCTGCTGTCTTGCTTTGGCACTACGATCATACGTTGGATACATTGTACCTACAGTGTGTAGTATGTACACCCTGGTGCACGGTGCACACAAATACACGGTTACGTGCATTCAAGCTTTCATGCTGTCATTTAAATGACAAATCGTAATTGTACATGACCTGGAACTCGACCTACATACATATATTCCTGGCATGAACTGCCCAGATCAAGCCAATAAAATGCTTGTAGCAGCTCAGCACAAGCAATACATATGTATATGCATACAAACGCTTGCATAGTCTCTTGATCATATTGGCATTCACGTTGTAATTACAATTTCTGGGCTTGCAATTGAGTTAGTCTATACGGGAAGTGGGCCCGAACGGCTCCATCAACCGTGGTTGCGCACAGCATGATTTCCAGAGGTCACTTTTGACCCACGACGGCATGTTTTGAAGACGCAGGTTCGTCAATTAAAGTGGAACCTGTATAGGTTGTGGATCGCAGGGTCCGTCCGCTACAGATGGTGGAGATTTGGATAAGTTACCCTGGCCCCCAAAAGAAAACGGAAATCAAAAATACGAGGCAAAAAGTGTACGGACTACTCCGTACGTTGTGCTCTCTATTTTATCTCTATTAGGAAACTCTACCGCGTATCATTATTTTGTTGCCGTGTCGATGTGTCCATCGTAGATCCTTTTCCGCTGGTCCGTTCGGCCTCGAGCCTTCGGCGAACAGTCTAGAACATAATGTACAACGTTTCCATGACGGTTGATCGCGCCCGAGTTGCCCTCGTACTTTGTACACTCTGAGCGAGCATGAAATTTTGACACTTCCAACGGTGCGGTACCACACGAGCCGGCCAGTCAATAGGGTTTATATAGGGAATCCTACCCAGGTACCCGCAATGACTACCGGATGCTTGATTGACTATGTGACAAACCACTCCATATATTGTACATATACATCGTACTCCGCAGACAAGTTGGACCTAGAAAATAGCCATCACATTCGGAGGCGAGGAAACCCCACCGGGCATGTTCAAAGGTACAGATGCCACGAAAAAGCTCCACCGTTGGAGTTCCTGGCAGGTCCGTGCCAGCGCCTCAAGATCGAATAGTTCCCCTGTTGGTTATGAGTCAATATACATAATGGACCTGCGGAACTCGGGTAAAACGTCCCGGCGACTTACCGATCGGCATTCCCCATCCAGCAAGCACATATTCATGGAGGAATATGTCAGGGGATTGTGGTGGGTAGACCTGTGGATCTGTCAGTTGAGTTTCTTGATCGGCTTGCCACATATCGAGGGGAATTTGTGGTCTATCTTTCTTATCGCTCACCTCCCAACTGATTGCATCACTGGCGATGGCGGCGAATCCAGTGTCCCACAGCCAGCGAAGGACCTCTGTGGTCGCTTCAACCCCAGCATGCTCCGGGCTGGGGTTGTCCGAGTAAGCTTGTTTTTGGGCGTCTGTCATGGACGTGTCCCACTCCTTGGTCACTCCTACACGGACGAACAGAATATCACCCCTTTGAAACGTGATCTTATTCTCCTTGGCAATTTCAAGGATATCGGCAAAGCGCACTTGGTGGGTCGAGAATGTGGTGTACTTAATCCCCTTTTTCTCGGCCCATGTGGCGTAGTCGATCAAGACTCCACGTCCTATTGCAATTGTGTGAGTTCATATCAGGGGAGTCGTGTATTCATGTGAAGGGGATGCGTACCTGCAATACCCTCTTTAGCCCAATGCTGAAGACCAATTCGATCATTTTGGCGATCATTGATTTCCTCACTAGTCGTTCCACCGTAGAATAGACGTTCAGACTGACCAGGTACTGTCTGGGAAAAATGGCGCAGACCGTCCCACTGGCTACTTTGCTCTGTCAAACAGTCAATATAATGAAGGGAGAAAAGCAGAATCACTCTCAACTCACGTGGGTTCATAGTATAGATGTCATCGAATGCCACACCTCCCAGAAGAGGCACAATCTGATGGTGACATGGCTGACGGTTGAGATTAGGATAATCCAACTTCGTCATTTCCCATCCCATTGTGACGCGTCGACCACATCTTATCTCGCTAGCGGAAGCCGCGGCGACGACTTCAGGGGTAAGGATGGCTAATTTCCCTAGACCCTCTTCATAGCTACCTGGCTTTCCTAGCCAAACCTGCTTTGGATTCGGGAGTTGATCAAACGGGGTGTCAAATGGAGATCGGGCCATTGTTCTGCTGTTCTGCTGTTCTATTGTGGTTTCTGCGATTCAAAGTTGGGAACAAAAAGTATACTTTATAGAGCCCGGGATGTCGTGTTCTTTTTCTAAATGGAACTTCGTGCATGACACTAGCACGGACCGCAAGGATCTTTTCCCTGACATCGTACGGAGCACCTCCGTTGTGGAGATGTAAGGTCTCAATAGCCTCGGAACGGGATCCGCACTCTAATGGCTCCGCAATTGGACCCCCGCGGAGTATTCTGTACAACATACTACTCTCACAGGGTGTATGTATGTACATCGTACTCTGTACTTGGTATAGCATGCTGGAAACGAACTTCACTCGACAAACGAGCGTTGCTTAACTTGGTATGTTGACCATACGCAATTTCAGGGTCTAGGCTCAAAAGTCTTTGTGCCGTGATCGGCAAGCCACTTGTATTTCTTGCGAACTTTATGCAACTCTCGGTGGGCCATACACAGAGCACCCCAACGGGGCCCCCCTACTTATTGTCGGCTACAAACATGCTGAAATTTCTCCCCATTCAAACCTGATGCTGATATCCTTCATTATACACCCTTGATTCTTTGAAATTTGTAAGGACTACAACATTCTATCATGGGTAGGTTCGGGTCTCAGACCAGTTCCTATAACAGGCTGGTTATTGTTTTTGTGGCTGTTGGGTCAATGGTGAGCTCGCAGATATGTTCAAGTCTCTGCTATTCACTAAACTGACACAAATAGACATATGGATATTGCTCTTCGATTATCTCCAGTACAATCGGCCAGCCGGGATGGTATGCCTACTTTAGCCTGCCCGCCGAGGGTGAACCGGGATACGCGACAATCACTACCCCCGCGATCTCGACAGCAAATGGTGTTTTCAGTGCTGGTGGTGCTGTTGGTACACTTTTTATAATGTGGTCGTGTGATTTCTTTGGCCGAAAGGCAAACATCCAGTTCGGTGCCTTCTTTTCTCTATTTGGAGGAGCACTTCAAGCCGGCTCGAATTCACTAGCGTATGTCGCTTCTCCTGCTCGAGGGTTAGACTGGCGCTGACAAGATTTAGTATGTTCCAAGCTGGTCGCTTCATTTGTGGTCTTGGAATCGGTATCCTCGTAACCGTCTGCCCTATGTATCTTTCCGAGATGTCGAGTGCTCTGCGCCGTGGCTGGCTTGTCGGCCACCACGCCATTTTCTTGGTCTTCGGATACATGCTTTCGGGATGGGTGGGGTATGCCTGCTACTATGCAACAGGCCCCCTGTCTGGGTTTGGCTGGAGATTCCCTCTCGCCTTGCAATGTCTGCCCGCGTTGGTGCTGCTTCTGGGATCTCCTTGGCTCCCCCGTTCACCTCGTTGGTTGATTTCGAAGGGTAAGCTCGATGAGGCGCAGCATGTTCTCGAACGGCTCCGTGAATCACCAGATGACCCGAATAACTTGGCTGCCAAGGAAGAGTTCTTCCAGACAAAAGAGCAAATCCGACTCGAGGCTGAGAGATTAGCTACTTACGGCAGCGTGTGGAAAGCTGTCTTTACAAGGAAAACATACCGAAAGCGAATGGCTATCGGTTTCCTTGCCCAATGGGGCGCTGAATTTGGCGGGCCTCTGATCATCGTAAGTGTGGTAATATCCGACAGAGAAGTATATCCGACTGACAACGGCCAGAACAATTACGCTGTTCTTCTATACAAAAACTTGGGCATGGAGGGTGGCATGCCCCTGCTCTTGAGTGCTGTCTGGCTGACAACAGCTGGTGAGCATAAACATCCAGGGTCTACTGTGTACACCGTTAGCTAACCTAGTTCAGGTGTCATCTACAATCCTCTGGGCGCCTGGCTCCATGATAAAATTAACTCCCGGCGCGGCATGTACATGACTGGCTTTGTCGGCATTATCGTATCTACATCCTGTCTGGCTGCTATGACCGCCCAGTATGCTGGTACAACAAACAAGGTCGGAAATGGATTTGGTATATTCTTCATGTACCTTTATCTGGCCTTCCAGGGGTGAGTCAAACTTCAACATATCAAGTCCGCTGAATATATCGAGCTGACATTCCTGCAGTACTTTCTGTGATACCACCATGTATCTCTATGTCTCCGAGATCTTCCCGACTGAAATCCGACCAATTGGCATGGGCTTTTCTCTCTTCGGTCAATTTGCTGGTAAGTATTTCGTTACAATTTCGCCTCCAAATTCTAACTGACATACTTAGCCACCCTCATCCTCCTGCAAACTGCCCCCATGGGCTTCGGGAATGTCGGCTGGAAATATTATCTTGTCATTATTTGCTGGTCTGCATTCTTCATTCCCGGTATGTGTTCCCAATAATATCAAATCGACCCGTCAACTAAAATTTCGCTAACAAAAACTGCAGTCATCTACTTCTTCTTCCCCGAGACTGCTGGTCTCACCCTAGAGGAAATCGCCAAAAATTTCGGCGAGGAGGTTGCTTTTGACCTCACCGGCGCCACAGATGAGGAAAAAGCTCGGCTCGACCACCAGCTAGCCACAGATGACGTTCAATCATCTGTGGGCTCGGAGCTAGAGAAGGAAACTAAGCCGTTGTCAACAGATGGGGCTGAGCAGCATGTGCCGAAAGCAGAATAAACATGTACTTCGAGTATTTTCAACTCTTGAGCGGAAATTGGCCTGCCGACAATTCCGAGATTGGGGCTATTGTTGACTCATGTCTTATATCGAAACAAGAAGATTTACCTCCACGCTGCATAAGTGGTTGACCGGGGATTAGATTGGTTAGATTGGTTAGATTTTATCTAGATAACTCATAGGTAGTTACTTCAGCTTATGAATCTTCAGCAAGTCTTAATATTGAAACTCTTCGACTTTTCTACTTCCAATACTCATTTATAGCTTTGAAGCATAATGGGCTCAAGTGAAAGTTAGGATAAGTCTGATTGTACAGTTCGACGTCTCAGTCAAGTAACTTATCATCTCCAGTCTACGAACGAGGAAAACAGAAAGCCTTGGGACATATAGATAATAGACGATTTTTTGAGGAAGGAACTTGCAGGCCGTCAGTGAAGGTCCTATATCGTGCCAAGAAGGGTTCCAGTTCCAGTGATTAATATAACCCTCCGCGAAACATGCAGCCCCAATAAAAATATATATATCTGCAAGCTTCCATATTGAATTGTACTGACCTTCTCGTTTCTTATACTTTGACCTCCTAGATGTGGCACGCTAAACCTAATTTGGACGAGGCAAACATCGCGGGTATCATATTTCCCGAGGTCTTTCTTTCATCGATCATATATACCTCTATGCGTTGTTTCTCGAGCCATGAGAAACGACGATCGGCGCTCTGCATCGCCCGCAACGCGCAAAAACGGCACCTTGCAGTCGTGTGAACCCTGTCGGAGATCCAAACAGCGATGTGACCATGACCGGCCGGTTTGTCGCCGATGCACCGCAAAAAGAATCAGCGACAAATGCTTTTATCATCCAGCCCCGATGACTAGACGGAGACCTTCCGATTCAGTCAATCCTGCGATAGTTTCTAGTCGACTGACCAGTCAACCAACTTCAAAGTAAGCATCTCCTGCAACGGATGATAGGCCCATACTAATATGTAGAAACAGTGCTTCTAGCCCAGGCTCGGGCTCACTGGGTAATGGGCGCTTCTTCACGCCATTGGAGCCACCCGCAGCTCTTCCTGGATATCTGGGATCGACAAGCTACTCTGCGGTTTTGACTGAGCATCGCAGTGAGATTTCGTTCGAGCCCGAAGAGAGCACAGATTCCTCTGCGGGGTTGATAGTGGAACCCGATCGACTTCAATCCGGGGTTGATGTACTGCGGTTTTTGTATAATCTCACTGTGTGTGATATGCTGATTGCTCGGTTCTATGGTCGGACATGGAACAACACCGTCGTGCCTAAGATCGTAATAGACGAACTTCTGCGTTCAGTGCGCGATATATTTGACGGGTTCTCCAGTGATCCGACGGCACAACTACAAGATTTGGCGAATCAAATATTTCAAAATACCTCCCGCCCGATGCGGACTCACAAGTCTATGTCAGTCGAGGAGTACTGTTCCTCTTTTACCGGTCGCAACCTCCGCTGGGAGGCACTCGGGTCTATCTTCGCTCTTTGCGGAATGCAATTGGCCATTACGCCAGACAATGACCCTGACATTACGCGGGGCTCGGATGAGCCTCGAGCGAAAGACCGGTTACTAGAGCAGGTGACTGTGATAAGTACGGTATGCCTTGGTTTCTGTGACCAGACATCGTCTGCAAACGAATTGCTGGCAATGTTGCAATTCAATGATGCTATGTTGCGAACACAACAATATGGTGATTCCAGTAAGGCTTTACCTTTCTGTAGGATCTCATGTCCTATCGATTTACTGACCGCTGTTAGGCTATCAAGCATGGCGTCGATTAGGTGACCTGGTATCCACGATTTATGCAGCTGGGCTACACTTAGAGACTAATTGCATTGAGAATTGCCCATTCTTTCTTCGCCAGTGGCGGAGGCGCTGCTTCGTTGCTTCCTTCTGCATGGACAAGATGATAGCAACATTTGTTGGGCGGCCGCCACTGATGAATGGTCGATTCTGCACACTCGATGCTCCATTGGATCTAAGCGACGAAGTCCTGGTTGCAGGCGGAGATGTCCTCAGCAATGCTATTTCGGAGCTAAACAGCGCCGGATGGAACAGTCAAGGGAGGTTACACCTAGTAACCCCAACTCGCCTACGCTATCAGCTAGCTATCATTCGGGAGGAAACTCTTGAGGTTGTACTGGGGACTCGCGAGCAACATGATTTAATTCAGAAATCCGAGTATGTCTTTTCCAATTTACGTGTTTTCCTAGTGCTGACTTTATGACAGAGAAATCCAAGAGAAATCTCGCGCCATATGGCAGTCATCTCCGGATCAGCTTCGATATGACCGGCGATCGAACGACCATTTCCATGATGGGTGGCTTACCATTGTCTATTTCTATTTGGATTATCTATACACTTCATTCTTACTCTATCGTGCAGTCGTCAAAAACACAAACACCGGACAGGCGGATCTTTGCGATGTATCTCGTCGGGTGCTAGCTATTGTCATTCAGATTAATTCGTTCCGAACCCCAATGGTCGATCTAGACCGGCATTTTTCTTGGATCGTATGTCATCCATTTTTGCCATTCATAGACATCTACTAATAAATTCAGGTCCTCACGTACGGTGTCCCTTCCGCCAGCGTCCTTCTCCTTGAACTCCTGCGCCAATCGCATGAGTCCGGTCCACACGCTGTTCCTCTCCCACGTGCTGAGCTGATCCGCAACCTCAGCGTGTTTATTTCTTTCCTATCGTGGGTCGCAGGCCCTGGTCACGGCAACTATCATACCTGCAAACAAGCCGAGAAAAAGCTGTCTCGCATCCTTGATCAGCTACTCGATCCAGAGCCTGTGCAGCAGCATGTGGTGGACGATGTGACAACCGGCCTCGACAACTTCCTCAATTGGTCAAACTACAATACGATCTGGGACTTCAATCCGGATTATATGCCCCTTACCGAGGGCCTTGCGCCATAAACCTTGGTCATTGAATTATTGTGGAGATGATTTAGAGGCAAAGATTTATTCATCACATCGTTATTGTATTCTCCCTCCCTTCCAATCATTGGCTGGTATCTGGTCATACCATCCACAGATAATCTGTGCGGGGAGGTGTGTCTGCCACATAGTATGCGCGATGACACAGCGGGCAATTGAAATGGTCACCCAAGAACCACTTCTCCAGGCATTCCCGGTGAAAAACGTGCAAGCACCGCAGGTCGCGGATCTCCTGCGTGCGGTCTACCTGCTCCAAACAAACGGCGCTGAACAGAATGTCAGCGACTGTTCTACCGGCAAAGCAAGGTAGACATACCAAACGAACTGTCCATCGACGGCCTCGGACAGTCCGAGATTCCCCTTCGTGGTCGCCCACCACTTCTCGAGGGTACAAGTTGGCGAGACCTTGTCCAACTTGCGCAACCGCTCAGTAGGATTTTTCCTTGATCTCAAGAATGACTGCCTGTCCCGGCGGTTGATGAGTATTGTCAGACTGAATGACACGGTTAGCGTGGAATGGAGTGGCATGGTTTATGTAACAAGTCACAACCGACGGAGGAAATGTATCGGTGAGAATGGGGAAAGGACGGAGGAGACACAAGAGATAGCATACACTAAGATGCAAAAATCGAATCTAACTCACATCAAACTAAGTGCGATAAGCAGCACCACTCCAAGTCCGATGCCCAAGACTATCGCCATATGGTTCTTCTTCAGTTTCGCGTCTTCAGCCATCTCTCCGAGTTCAAGATTCTTTGTTGCACGAACGGTCAGAGTCGGGTCGATGAGATGGGTGTGATAGTGACCAAGGTCGGAAGCGAAATAGAAGATTGGATTCAAAAAGCTTTGGTTCCGAAGTGCCAGTGATCACAAGCTAAAAGTGGGTGTCACAGCCCGGTCGCCGTGCCGGGCCAGAGAGTCTGATGGTGTTATAGCACTATATTTCTTAAAGAAAAAGAAACAAAGAGCCGACACCAGTCAGGATACGAAGAAATGAGTCCAGAGGTAGAAAAGGACCTCAAAATCCAAAAAAGAGGCCAAAGTAAGAGTTGCAGTAATGACAGGGAAGATGCATTGATCTGGGGATGCTATCCCATGTCCAAGCGTCAAAGCGGGGAAAAGACGTGGATTATCGTACGATGGGCGGTTGTTTTCCTCTTGGCCTGATTGTCTTATTTAGGCATTGAGCAGCTTTGTATCGAACCAATCAACACTGGGAGATGGAAGGGATAGCCCGGGGGCGGAATGTTGATCGGCTGGATTGTCCTTTTGGTGATCATGGGGTTCATCGAGATACTTGGAATATAACCAGATGCCTTCTTATTACTTGGTATTTGCCTAATATTGGTATGCTATTCTTTCGAGATTGGTCTGGGAATAATGCTAGTAACACTGATTTACAGCCAAGACGACTAGCCTCTACTGTCCTACTCCCTACTTTATCATTGCAAGGGTTGTATTAATGTGATGGACACATTCTTCGAAGATTCTAGCTGGAGTATTGACTCTTTTCTGGTATTCTAGACTCCTACTTTATTTTACCCCGGGACTATTCGGGTCTAGATCTAACCTAATTAGAATCATGGATACTATGAGCGAGCAGAATGTAAGGTCAATAAACACTAGACAGTAGTTACAGCCCAGTCCGTACGTCGATTGCCAAGTTAGTGAGAAAGTCCCCATGATTAGATGATGACAGAGCGAAAGGGATATACTGGTCTACTAGATAGGCATCGTATGGCTGTGATGGTATATAGTGAACACAAGATGACCAGTGAGAAGGACATATAAAAAGAGTACCTTACATGGTCAGATAGCTATGTGAAACATGTACTTGTATACTAGGCTTTGGTCGAAGCAATAGAGTTTCTCAGAAGTCGCATTCGTTTAGCTTTAATGTATGTGCTTATTAGCAGACCTGCACATTCAAATATATACTCTCTCCCTGTCTAGCAGTTGCATTTCTAGTTGATGTCATGCATACGCGGTATTCTCGCTTCTTCCCTTGGCTTGCTTAGCGTGCGTCAACCAATGAGCAAATCAACACTTCTGGTCTTGGTCTGCACACTCGGCTTATTAGAGTGGGACATGGACAACAGACCGATGACATAGCCAGCATATATCGGGTGCAGCCTGATGTGACTATTTAGGGGCTCCGACTATTCATAAGATTGCATGCCGATCAGACATAGGAATGCTCCTAATTGGATGGCGAATTGGTGGTTGAAGCGGTCTATACTTAGTCAATCTTGTATGTTGTACAACATAGTTAACTAGGAGACCGAATATATAAGAAAAACACGACCAATGCCATAGAAGAAGTGATTGTCCCCAAACTGGCTTACACTCAGATCCGAGAATTCCAGTCGGCAACTCCTGCTAAGCAGGCTATTAGGCTATTGGCTGTAGACCAACATTTGAAGCTCTTTGCTTTTCTTAGATGGGGACCTCACCGGTGACCCACTATGCACTAAGGGTGTTACAATTGGGAGCCATAAATGCCCTCTCGTCGTGCATCTACGAACACAAGAGATGGGATCTCTTTTCTAAACATATTCCAAACATATTGACATTCCACGTTTCCCAAAATCATCGGAGAGATCACATTCCACCACGTGCAAGTCTTCCTCGTGGGGTCACGTGAGGGCGCGTTACCACGCGTTGGGCGCTCACGGGCAGATCAGGCGAAAGAAGGCAAATAAGGCAATCAAGGCCAATGGAATGGTTTAACCCTCGGTTGTTTAATCGGAGCACTCTGGAGGATTTCAAATATGCCTGTATCAAACGCGAGGACACGCTTTGCGCTTCACACAGACTGTATAGTTTAGTCCAAGTGTGGGCCTAAACCACTACAGCCCAACGCGTCAAATGTAGACAAAATGCAAATTGAACATTCCGAGGAGTCAGAGAGATAGGAAATTTAGACTTGAAAGGATCAGGATCAAATCGAATCAGGGAGAGATCCGTGTCTCCAAGTACCAAGTACCTCGGAGGAGCACTTTGCTACTAGCGCGGGCCACGTTCTTTCTACTCCGCGTCCACACCGCGACGCGATTTGATACCTTTTTCTGCATACCAGCCTCACGGCTTTTCCATCTTCAGTGCCTCGTTTTTTATTTATTTGATCGGGTGATTGGGTGATTGGGTGTTCTTGCTTCTTTCTCTTTATCCTCCCAACCCCTCCATGCTCTCTTAGGTATCATGTCTGACCCGGAGCCTTCGGTGGCGATCTCATCTTCGCCCTCTCTCCCGGCCACCGACTCCAATCCTCTTAACTACGCTTTTCTCGTTCATTCGCAAAAAACCCTCACACAGAACCTCCCTCCTCGTGTCGACAATAAACTGCTAGCCCGCCAGAAGCGACGTCGAACTAGGTACGCTATCATAACTGTCCATACTATGAACGCGTCAATTAACCCGATTGTGAACTATTTTGCAGTCCGGAGGATCACGCAATCCTTGAATCCGAATACCAGCAAAATCCCAAACCAGACAAGGCAGCCCGCACGAGTATCGTGAGCCGCGTCTCACTCGGCGAGAAAGAGGTCCAAGTATGTGATGCCAAGAGTTCACACACAAAAACAACTTCTAACTGGCTCACAGATTTGGTTCCAAAATCGCCGCCAGAACGACCGTCGGAAATCCAAACCCCTCCAACCTCACGAATTACTCGCCCCGCGCTCGGGTAGGGTCGATTCATCAGGTCAACCTTCGAGTGATGATAACGCGTCGACGGAGCCGGGATCTTCAAGTGGGGCAGAGCAATTTGACATCAACGACCACCGCGAGGAAATGGCATCAAAACCATGGCACGGGGGACTGTTGCAGTTTTCAGACGATTCGGACCCAGTGACTGAAGATAAAGATGAACATGAGCTGCCCCAGAGCACTCAGACAAGCGTGGCAACAGAGGCTGCTGGAGAAACTCCGCCCACCACACAGGAAGAGTTTTCCCAACTGGTGAATGATCCCTCAGAAGACCCTCTTCTGCAGATACCGAAGAGGAAACGTTCAGTGTCGGATATCCGAGGCGAGGGAGAAAATGAGCAGGCAGCAACCACAAAACCCACACAAAACACACAAAACACACAAACCACACCTACCAAGTCACCCCCATCGCTGCGTTTGTCGATGTCGTTTGATGGAGAGGCTTTGGTACACAAAGAGGACGAGCTAACGCCGTCTCCGCCCAAGGGCCGCAACGCCTTACGTATCGCGATGTCATCGGATGGAAAGGCAGTAATCCGCGGAGAGAACGAACCATCACCGTCTAAGAACCGTGTGGCGATGTTCTCAGTTCGCCGAACAAAGATGACAAGCCTGCAACGTAGCAGCAGTGCCGTCTTCCCAGCCACGCCGCGGGCAGGTGTGACCGAGAAAGATCGTGCTTTCGGTCGCTCTCGCGATCCACGTAACTGGGAATCTTTCTGTGACACGGACGCAAGAAGTGCCCTATCAACACCGACCAGCGGGCCGAACGGTTCTCCGGGTCTTTTCCAATCTCGCAGCCAGCGCTCATTACCTCGGAGTGCCTCAGGGCGGCACAGCCTCGCTGCTCACGGCGAGCCAAATACGCCAATCTCTCAGTCCATGGGAGAGAAGAGGCGAAAACTCGCCCGCGCTGTTTCATCTCTGGGGCGATTAGAAACAGGCCGAAACAAAGCGAACGTGAACCCATCCAAGCTCTCGAAGCCTCTATTTTCCAAGTCTGGCAAACCGGATCTGGAGCAAGACCTCGGTGACTCTGACAAGGAGAACTGGGTTCCAGGAACACGATCGACAAATATTCGTCGCCGCAACACTTCACACATCCCACGACCGGTCCTCCGTGATGCTAACCGTAATCGCGGTCTCGGCATCTCGGCCAACGGCAAACGCAATCGGGCACTCCAGGCCGGCTCACAGGGCAAAGCCCCGCCAGAACTCAGTGCAGAAGTATCGGCTTTCATGGCTGGTGGCACCGGGGATAGTCAAGAAGATGACCTGGACTGTGTGCAGGGTCTCCTGTCGCTGAGCCAGGGGGCCTGGCGATGACCTTGAAGGGATGCATGATTGATACATTGACATTCTGAAGCGCCATTGCCTATCCGTTTATTTTTCATTTCCTTTGTGATACTCATTTTCCTTTGTTCGGAGCCCTGTACTTCTCCTTGCTGTGTTCATGATGTGCTTGCAGGCGGTCTTTTGCCACTGTCACGTGAACCCTGTCCATTATATACTTTTATTCGGGCCCTGTTCTCTTTTTCTTTCCCTGCATTTCTTATGCATATGGATCTACATGGTTCTTTATCTTTCCTCTATGGTGTTTTACTCGGTGGACTTGGTTGGTCCTCCTGGCCTGCTATTGATGGGGGCTTCACTGAACAAATGTGAAAAGCTCCCGAGAAAGATACTAATCCTTGAACGAATCCAACGAACTGAAATATATTATTTAAGTATGAATGAAAATGTTCAACTTGCTGAGTCCATTGTATAATCGACACACCTCGCGGTTTTTAGACACGTACGGTATCTCTCTATCACCATTGTTCCCAGGATATAGTTCTTCAAACAAGAACCATCTGTCATAATACCAATGTCTAAATATTTATCAATTCCTCATGTATCAGTTTCCATACAACCCTTCCTTCTGATCAAGACACATCCCCAGCAGAAGGCAAAGAATCATCCTTAACCCCCATCCCACCAACCTCCCCAATCCCAAGCCCCTGACAAACCAATCTCGCAACCCTCTCCCCACTCCAGAACGCACCAGTGGTAGTCCCAAGCGCAACAAACGGCGCCGTATGCTCCCCAGCAAACCAAAGACCCCTAACCGGACCAATCCCATCCCCAGACCTAAGAACCTCAACATCCACATCTGCCTCCTCAACCCCAACCTGGAAATTACAATACGACCCATTCCCAGCAAAGACATCCTTCTGCCATTGCGTAGCAAGAAGCGCCACGGGCACACAATCCGGGTTCTCCGCGCTGTACCCGGGGAGCCGGGAGTAAAAGGGCTGCATTACGTCGATTAGAGATTCCCTGTATTCGGGCGACGAGGGCGCTTGCTCCGAAATGCGGTTTACTATCTCTGCGCCGCTGTCGCCGTACGTGTAGAAGAGAAGGGTGGGATGGGCGTGTGGTTCTGGGAACGAGGCGAGCGAGACGCATTCTTGGTTCCATTCTATGTGTGCTGGGTGGTGGGTGTAGTAGGATGGTTCGAGGAATTGGGCGAAGACGGTATTCTGAGTTTGCGTTTGAGTTGTTGAGGTGCTGGTGTTTTGGGTGTGCCAGAAGGCACGCGGGAATGTCACGTAGACTTTTTCCAGTCGGCCGTATGAGATGTTGTTGATTGCTTGTTCGAGACGGGGCGGGAGAGCCGGTGTGAATGCTGAGGTGTTTTGCTTGAGCCAGCCCAGTGGGCAGGTTATGACTACGTCGTCGAAGTTGTAGTTTGTTCCTGTGGCTGTTGTTACGGTTACTCGGTGCTTTGTTGGTGATTGGTTGTTGTGAGGTGGTGCTTTGATGCTTGTGACAGGTTCATTGAGGCGGATGTCGGCTTTTGCAGTGGCGGTTTCGGCGATGTGCTCTAGAATGCGCTTGTATGTAGATGCCACGATGAAGTTGCCTTGATGATGTTAGAAACTCTGCTATACGTCTCCGGGCTATTTTGCTAAAGGTACATACTCCCGTCCACGCATTCCTCCAGACGGAAAAATTTCAAGCTCTGCCTGTCGACTTGATCACCGACATATGCACCCCAAAGCCTACAGGCATCGAGACAAAGCTGTTTCTCTTCATCTGAGAATTTGGTTTGCTGGACTCGATCGCAGAAGAAATCGAATAGACTTTGCTCGACGGGGATGCTTTCTCCATGGTGATTGCTGTATTTGAAGGCTTCTGCTATAGTGGTCCATACAAAGTCCTGGACTTTAGCGCTCACTTCGTCGTTGATAGGGTGGCCGTCTCGCGAGTAGGAGATATGCGCTCCACCTTCGGGATCATACATGACAGACCCCGTTTCTTCCGCTATGGTCATGATGGGGTTCTCCCCCGCGCCATGAATCCAATTGGGGCCTCTGATTTGAGCATTAGCTGCATACTTTCCAAGTCATAGTCATGTACGTGTACATACATATCCACGATATGGTCTCCAACTGTTGATTGGTGCACCTAGCCGATAAGAAAGTTAAAGAACTACTTGGCCTCTTGCAGTTGTGCCGGGTATAAGGAAGACATACTCTGCCACCAATGCGATCTCTTGCTTCTAGGATTGTTACTTGGGCTCCATTTTGGATGAGGATGTCGGCGCACCGGAGGCCTGAAATCCCTGCGCCGATGATGCCGATGTGCGGACTCGGAGCCATTCCGGAAGCAACTTAGGATATGCGGCTGATGCACCTGGAAATGAGGTCGGTGAATATGAAGGTTTGACGATCAAGTGAAGATTCTTTGCATGTCATTGGGTGCTCGGATGATTAGTTCCCGTTATCAACACCTGGATGTCCTTATCAATGCCAGCTACATCGTAGTGGTTACAATGGATTTACTCGGAACAGGATAGATTATTCTGGAAAAGGCTCAATTGTATTGAAGCAATGAAGACATCACATCACAGATGCCAGGAAATGAAGGCACCGCAAAAACAGAAAAGGACGGAGTTATGACCAGCATAATAAAACAATGGATGGGCCGAGTCGAACATGCTAAGCCGCTAAAAGCGGGTACATCGTACGTACCACCGCCACTGCCGTAGAACTCCATGACGAACGCGCTTTTTGAAATGGTAAACAGGACTGCAAATGAAAGGTACGAGTTGGAGGTAATGTAAGGGTATCAAGGAAAGTCAGAGAACGGAGCAAAGCGCCACCGAGTAAAGCAAAGATAAGAAGTTGTGGAGATCAACTCCACTATGAAACAATGTGGGAGCGCAGGTAGTACTTGGTCGTAGTAGACAAGGCGCGCAGGTCGGTTGGACTCGTTTGAGACTGGGAAACACCCTTCAATCCTCCCAAATGGTCTCTAGGTCGAGATCCTGCCGTCGCTCGGCACCACAGACACTCCATCGCTTGCGCTTCTCGCTCCGAGTTGCATATCCGCCCGATCCCCCCCGCATTGTAGTGAATGAACTGGGTGCATCGGATGCCCCGCGCCGTCGGTTGGCAGTACTTGCCGCGTCCGCCGCATCAGCTGCGGCTTTCAGCTCCGCGATCCGATCCTCTTCAAGGGCCTCATTCTCAGCGTCGGGGATGTCGGGGATTGTTTCTAGTGACGAAATGCTGGGGCTTCGGGAGCGCAGGCTGGTCGGAGTTGAGGGGACGGAGATGGACGAAACAGACCCGGGGTGGCTGGGGTAAGACTCATTGTATTTAGAGCCCAGAATGGGTGGGGAATGTAAGGAGGGGCTGATGGGAGTCTGGAAAGGAAGGGGTGAAGTCGGACGCAGGCGATTGATACGGGGAAAAGTCTGCGGCATCAGGACGGGAGATGAGGCTGGCTGTGAAGACGATTTGGGATTGGTTTCTAATTCTGCGTTCTCGGAGATGGTTTCGGAGATGTTGAGGGCGCCCATGCGGTCGCTGTAATCGTCAGGGCGCATTTGCAGGGGAGATCTTTTCGCATCGACTGGTGCCCCGCGGCCATTGATGAAGATATAACGACCCTGGGAGTCCGGCCCTGGGGAAGAATAAGCGCGCGTCATAGACGGCATGCCCGGGATTCCCGCCAGTGATCGAGAGCGGAGATGCGATCGGGCCAAAGGGGATCGTGTCCGAGGTGATGCCGATGGTTCAGACAGCGAAAAAGTAATCATGACGTCCTCCTTATCCTCGGGGACAACGGGGATGACCCCGGTGTTGGTCCCAGGTTTGCGAGGGCGCATCTCTCCAGGTGTCTCCATGTGTAAAAAAAGAAGAAAAAGGGGGGGCGGAGGGAAAGAGGGGAGGTAAGTGAGTATTACCTTCGCATCATGGCATAGAGTAAAGGAGGAGACTCTTGGACCTGCCAGAAGCAAAAACGAAGGAGGCTGAGAAATAATATGATAAGGTCAAAGAGGTGAGAAGGGAAAAAGACGAAGGTTGACCGCATAAGAGGAGCCCATGGCCCAAGCGGAACTTCATTTTCACTGAAAATCCTGATCGCACCAAATATCATCTGCGATTGCTCCAGAAACTGCCTGGTTGCTTCCTATGTTTGATTCAACTGGCGATGAGGGTGTCCTTCTGAACAGAAGGTCGAAAGGGATGATGAGCGGGGAGGCCGAAGTTGTGATTGCGCATCACCTCTCTCTCTACGATGATGTATTGAGTCCAGAATTTGCTGCTTTCTTGAACCTCATTGCTCTTCTAGCTTAACTATCGGGCTTCTTTGATTCATTTCATAGCTAACACAATATGGCAGTCCCTCGCCGGCTCTATCCACATATCCACATATTCACATGTTTGACAACTATACGGAGTAGGTGTTCTAGGGTCTTTTTGGGTCTTTTGAGATGAAGAGTTTCTCCTTGATGATATCTAGAAGGATAATCATTAGCTATAGAATTGCCACCAAAGTAGATATGCCGCGACTATTTACGAGTGTATGAGCCGATAGTGTATAGGGCCAGGCAGAGGGGATATGCTGAATAGACACATAGCATTTGATACAATTTCTCCAAATTACCTATTAGACACTATAGAAAGGGATATATAATATGAACCAAGGAAGAACCAGAATTAGTCTATTCCTAGCCCTCCTTGCACTTGGAGATGTTCTTGCGGACGTAAGTCTCCCGCACCAAATCCCCTTCATGTTTGAACACCACCCACTCACCAATACCATACTCCTCCGGTGCAACACGTATACCACGACCACCACCACCGACAATCACATTACCAGGACGGTATTTGGGATCCGCCTGCATACGCCGGATAGCAGAAACGTGTATCTCAGCATTCAGTGGAACATCCCGCACCTCACCACGAGGCAATGGCCAGCTAATCGGCTTCCACGATCCATCAGGCTGCAGATCCATACGACGGAACGGTAACCATTCCATAATGCGCCACGTGATAACCGACATGGTAGGAATACCCTGGTTGAACATCAGGCAGTCATGCATCAGACCCTTCGTACTGGCGGTATACAGCGCATGCCAGAAGTCGCGACTCGCAACACTGCGCTCCTTATCATCGGGCATAGAGCGGAAAGCATCATCGTTATCAGTATCAGGCGCAACGCACCGGCCCGGCCGCTGGGAATTAATCTCTTCCCGGATGGAGCTATAATCATCGTCGAACTCTTCCAGACATTGGAATTGTTTCATCTTGCGCTCATCAAGCTCGAGTCCGGCCTTTTGCGCTTCTTGCGTCATCCACACGAGCGGCGCGTGACTCAGTGCCCATGACTCGCCGCTCGAGAGTGTCCATCCGCCGCCGATGTCTGCGTGGCAGCCGGGGAACCAGACCTCGTGGATGTCTTGGTCGTCTTCGTCGTCGCTGGAATCGACCTCGAGAACGGGAATTTGCACCGAGAGGGTGTTGGAGTGCAAACTGTGAAAGGACTCTTTGCTTCGCAATGAGCGGAGATCGTCCGTTGACGCTTTGGGCACTACGAGCCTGCGTCGGGGAGAGCGTGCGCGGTATGTGTCGGGCTGCGTTGTCCCGTTTTCGCTCCCGGCGCGGGAGGTTTGCTGCGAGCCTGTGTGCGAGGCATGGTGCCCGGCATGGTAGTATGTTTCTCCAGTGCTGGGCCCATATCTGGATGCATTGAGTTCAGCCTCGGCATTCTCTTCTTCCTGTTGTTCCTCCTCGGGTTTGTCATTGACCCGAATGGCAGGAACGGTGTCTGGGACCTCCTCGTGGGGCTTCTCTTTGTTATCCTGGTGGAAGAGGTGCAGATGGTTCTTAGGCATTTGCAAATGGTGGCGGCGGTGTTTCTTCTTCTCCTTTGGACGCGCCCCAGAGATCAAATCCTGGCGGAACTTCGCGCGGCGCTCGTCAATACCTACGGCATGGCGAATCACCTTGGCTGAGCTGCGTGCCGTGTAGGGGAACTTGGTACGTTGCATCCACGCGGACTCGAAGCGCGGCACACTGTTGACAGTGTCGAATAGACCCATGAAACGGATACGCGAGATAGGCCGACTGAACGTCTCACGGAAGGCCTTCATGTATGTGAAGAGCTTCTTCTTCTCTTCGCGCTCTTCTTCCGAGTCATTGGACCGCTGCTGCCACTTTGCGAATGTCTTCCATGCAAAGCGGACCAGCTCCTCGTTTCCTGCTTCGAGTAGACCGATATAGTCCAGCATCTCTGCCAGAAATCGCGCGATGTATGAACCACGACTAAAGCCGATGAAGAAGATATCATCGCCAGGGGAATAGTATCGCATCAGGAACTTGTACCCACCCATGACATGTTCGTCAAAGGAAGATCCGACCGCTGAGTCCTTGGCCTTTTGATAGGCGGACTTGATACGTTGGATTCGGCCATGGCTAGTCAGTGACTTCGAAGTCACATATGTGCCAATGCCCGGCTGGTAGTAATGATACTGGTGGCTTTTGCTGCGGTCAAGCATCTGCGACTTCTTAGCATGGTCCACACGCTTGGCTCGCGGTCCCACTTACGCGAAAGATCTTGAGCACATTGCTATCCGACTCGTCACCGGCGAATTTGTTTCCGGTACCATCAAAGCAAAGCACAAACTGCTTCGGTATGCCCGGCGGGCCTTGAGTTTCATACCCATCAGCCATGATCGCGCGATTCCGTCGGTCAGACAAAAAAAAGGTTCAAGACTCCAGGCACACCTAGTCAGAGCTGAAGGAGGCAATATACGAGAAAGGGGGAAGGCTCAAGGTTAGGATGACTCTCTTATGCAGCTGGGTACTCCGTACAGCTAGGATCATTGCACGAATCAGCGCCCTACATCGGATCTAAGAGAAGGGGGGTTTGCAGGATAACAATGTACAACCCACTAGCCGATCGCTGCAGTTTGTGAAAAATAAGCCAAACCTGGTTGACGGGCGGGCCCCCAGACTTGGCACATTCCCATCACAAACATGGGCGGGCCTCTTGCTTTTTGGAATTATTTCCTGTCAACAATCGCTGACTTGCCCGCAGGTGCAGGTTACACGAAACCCTACTTCGTCGTAGCGGGGGTGCATCCTACCCAATGGAGATGTGCCGGCAGTAATTGCTGGATATGCGAGTTTGTTGCAAACAGGCCTGAGCTTGACTCGAAAAAAATCTGCACGAGGGATGCAAGTTGCGCGGCGCGGACCTGGTCACCTAGTGTATGTATTTGGAATTCCCATGAGATGGAGCTGAAGAGAGACCAAAGCGAGACGTGCAGATCTTACTTTTTGCTACGGAGTACAGTACTAATCATTGGCCCTATGAGGGTTTGAAAGGAGATGATGCTAGGTGGTGCTCGGGACATTATTGTCGATCATTCTCCACACAAACTCGGTCACTAATATTACAACATTGATTCAGGAGGCGTAAGGGGTGAGAGGGGGCGTTCCTATTGAGAGAGTTCCGGCGCATCGGTTCGGTCTTGAGCGATCGGATCTAGCTTTGGCGCTAGCTTGCCATAGCATCGTATCGATCGATACGTATTGGTTCATGTTCCTTCACGGCCTAGGGCCGCGACCCACTGGTGAACCGTCAATTTTTTTCCTCGGCAAAGTCAGACTAGAGAAAGTTTCTCGAGGTGTCATTGTGATTATAATGACCTAATACAATCTGGGAATCTGGGATTACTGACAATATGGAAACTCAGAACCTTGTCATTTTCACGTGGAACTGTTCCCAGCCGAAAGGATTGTCAATACCTAAAAGGGAAGGGAAGAAGAGTGGGACTTCCAGCCTTCTCTTCGTATCCCCCAAAAAAGGGAAGCGAATAGAGGAATCATTGTAAATCGGTAGCTAATCTAAAGCATTTATGCATAGATTATCCATCCATGGATTGGTTATCCGGGAGCGGCCCCATGCAATGGTCCGTGGTTCGTCGAACTATGATATTGAAATATCACTCCTATCTTGACCATCTTTGCTTTTTCAAAAGGAGTCATCTCTGATTCTCTCATTCTCGCGTGGAAACTCCCGTTCTACCTAGGAAAAGCGCCACGAGGACAGTGGGAGCGACACGGGGTACGGAGTAAACAAGAACTAAGACCCTGAAAGTGGATGAAGTGGATGCCCCGAGATGGATCGGATTCTGAATAATTCGCGACGATGACTGGCTGGCGGCCCGTTCGTCACTTAAAATCCATAGTAAGTGGATGAACAGGTGGGCCAGCGACGATCGAAACAAGCGAAAACCGAAAAAAAGAAAAAAGAAAGGTTTCTTTCTTTTGCTTTTTTCCAAGGACATCTCTGCTGCTCTATCACATTACCATAGGGACCTTGCGTCACGCCTACGAAGTATGGATGTATCCTACACACATAACCCTAATTGGAGCAAGTTCTGAAATAGACAGCCAGCCACCAAGTACATTGGAATTTCTTTTTCGCGGAAAATCTTCCCCACTTGGTGTCGATTTATTTCGATCTTGAGATCCGTCTGCACTTCTGTGTGGCAGAGGAGTACCTCGTACAGATGATGTACACCGCTGATTATAGTCCGGTATTACAGCACTCACAGTCATTGGTCGATTATCCGCTCTTCCGAAGCGTGCAATATAGATCTACATTTGGATTTGCCTTTCAGCTCTCCGGGTTATGCCCTGCATACCGCAACCATGGCTATTATATCTGATATTCAATCATATGATTCCACCTGGGCAGGGTGTTCGCGTATTCTGTACATACTACCTCGAGCAGATGTCCCCTTTTTCGTGTACCAAGTCATAAATGATGATCAGTTACTATATTGAGATACCTCATCATCGAGAGTCCACTATAGAGACTTTAATTGGGAATTGAGCTTGCACCATGCGGGGCTGGAATATTTGTTACAGAGACTAGGCCCGAGAAGAGATCGTCCTATTGCTCTCCATCAAATCAAATGCTGTCGCAGTCAATCAGCTATTGACGATAGCAAATCCGCCACATTTCAGACGCTCCACAGTCCTGCAGCTGACTTGCGTCGCCTGAACAGCTCGTTTTAAAGAGCACCGTCGAGCTTCTGATTTATTCCCCCTTATCTGGCCCTTGGTAGCAACCTTGTATCTCTCTTTTGATTTTCTTTATTCTCACAACTTGTCCTTGTGGTCCTTTTTCACAATGTTGAGGAGAATCTCTACCCAATTCAGGCGGTCCAAGGACTCTAAAGACTCCAAAGAATCCAAGGAAGCCAAGGATTGCAAGGATTGCAATGACATCGAGCCCAAGAGCATAGACAAGAGCAGCAGGCGTGCCTCTAAGGTCTTGCCAGTCCCGAAGTCCACCTCTACTAAGGAGGACAACCACATCGTGAAGCGTGCAGAGGTCGTTGCTGTATTTGAGAAATATGCGCAAGCAATTCACGCTTCGCAGGAGCCTCTGCCCAACCAAACCAGTGATGGCGCATACATGAAGCATGACAAGTCGTCCGGTCTGTTCAATGACATCAAGGCACTGGGATTCCGCGATGCCAACACTGTCAAAGACCTGATTTTGAGCAAAGCCTCCGGCGAACTTGTTGATGACAAGACCTACTTGATGGAGCGCATAATCCAGATGGTCGCGGATTTGCCCGGTAACTCCAAAAACCGCACCGAGCTCACCAGTGTGTTCCTGGATGAGCTATGGAACTCACTTCCTCACCCACCTCTCTCGTGAGAAATCCCCAATTTGGAGACTGCTGTGTTGCAATTGCGCGCTAATGCTGTGAATAGTTACATGGGAGACGAGTACCAGTATCGCTCGGCCGATGGCTCCAACAACAACCCTACTCTCCCGTGGCTGGGAGCTGCTAATACTGCATACTGCCGCACCATTTCTCCCCTGACCATCCAGCCCAGCGGATTGCCCGACGCCGGTCTGATTTTTGATACCCTCTTTGCTCGCCAGGAGTTCACTCCGCACCCTAACAAGGTCTCCAGTGTTTTCTTCGACTGGGCCTCTTTGATTATTCACGGTAAGTCGACCCCACTGAAATCTATAATTCAGGCGCTAATATGCTGTTTTCGTACATAGATATCTTCCAGACCGACTACCGCCAGCAGCACATAAACAAGACCTCTGCCTACCTTGACTTGTCCATTTTGTATGGTGATATCCAGGAGCAGCAGGATCTGATCCGCTCCCGCCAGGACGGAAAGTTGAAGCCCGATTGCTTCTCTGAAGGTCGTCTGCAGGCCCTTCCTGCTGCCTGTGGTGTTTTGCTGGTTATGCTGAATCGTTTCCACAACCATGTCGTTACCCAGCTGGCTGAGATTAACGAGAATGGTCGCTTCAGCAAGCCCCGTCCTGGTCTGTCCGAGGAGGACACCAAGAAAGCCTGGGCCAAGCGTGATGAGGACCTGTTCCAGACCGGCCGTCTTATCACTTGCGGTCTGTACATCAACATCACTCTGTATGATTACCTGCGCACCATTGTCAACCTGAACCGCACCAACTCCACCTGGTGCTTGGATCCTCGTGCCCAGGCCGAGAAGGCCGGTTCCACTCCTTCCGGTCTCGGCAACCAGTGCTCTGTCGAGTTCAATTTGGCCTACCGTTGGCACTCGGCCATTAGCCAGGGTGACGAGAAGTGGATTGAGCAGATTTACTACGACCTTCTGGGCAAGCCTGCCGAGCAGGTCACCATGCCTGAGCTACTGATGGGTATGAAGAAGGTTGAGGGTCTGCTCGATGCTGATCCCGCCAAGCGTACCTTCGCCCGTCTGAAGCGTGACGAAAATGGATATTTCGATGATGGAGAGCTTGTAAATATTCTGACCCATGCCACCGAGGATGTGGCCAGCTCTTTCGGTCCCCGAAACGTACCCAAGGCCATGCGCTCTATCGAGATCCTCGGTATCGAGGCTTCGCGTAGATGGAACGTCGGTTCTCTCAACGAGTTCCGTAAGCACTTCGGCTTGAAGGCTTACGAGACTTTCGAAGAAGTCAACTCCAACCCCGAGATCGCTAATACTCTCCGTCATCTCTACGACCACCCCGATTACATTGAACTATACCCCGGTATCGTCACCGAGGAGGCCAAGGAGCCCATGATCCCTGGTGTCGGCATCGCCCCGACCTACACCATCTCCCGTGCTGTGCTGTCGGATGCCGTCGCCCTTGTCCGCGGTGACCGTCACTACACTATTGATTACAACCCCCGTAACCTAACCAACTGGGGTTACAACGAGTGCCGCTACGACCTCAACATCAACCAGGGATGTATCTTCTATAAGCTGGCCACGCGCGCCTTCCCTAATCACTACAAGCCAGACTCCATTTATGCCCACTACCCCATGACAATCCCCAGCGAAAACCGCAAAATCATGAAGGATCTAGGCCGTGAGCAGGATTACTCCTGGGACAAACCCGCCTTCACTGAGCCTCGTGTCAACCTGACCTCTCACGAAAGTGCCAGTCTGTTGATCTCGAATCAGGTGGATTTCCGTCCCAGCTGGGCCCGCTCCATGTCTGACCTCTTCGGCAAGGGCGAGCTCGATACGAAGCAACGCGAGGCTATCGGCAAGGCTTTCAACACCGAGGAGTTTCCTAAGCTCGTCAAAACCTTCTACGAAGATATCACCGAGCGTTTGATTTCTGAAAAGAGTGGCCAGCTGGGCAAGATCAACCAGATCGATATCACTCGCGATGTCGGCAACCTGGCCCACGTTCACTTTGCATCTACTCTCTTCGGCATTCCCCTGAAGACCGAGCAGAATCCGCAGGGTTTATTCACCGAACACGAGATGCACATGATCCTTGCCACCATCTTCTCCGCGCTCTTCTTCGACGTCGACGCTCCTCGCTCTTGCTCTCTGAACCGAGCCGCCTCCGCCGTCTCTACCCAGCTTGGCCAGGTCGTTGAGGCGACCGTCAAGGCCGACACCAACAGCGGTCTCTTCTCTGGCATCATGAACAGCTTCCGTCCGCATGACAACGCCATCCGCGAGTTCGGAACAGAAGCTATCCGCCGCATGAAGGAAGCCGGCTCCAGCGCTTCCGAAATCACCTGGTCTGCAATCGTCCCGACGATCGTCGGTCTAGTTCCCAGCCAGGGTCAGGTCTTTACCCAGATCATCGAGTTCTACACCGCGCCCGAGAACAAGGCCCACCTAGCTGAGATCAACCGCTTCGCCAACGCCGATTCTGCCGAATCGGACGAGAAGCTGTACCGCTACTGTCTGGAGGCTATTCGCCTGAACGGCACCTTTGGCGCCTTGCGCGAGGCCAAGCAAAGTGTGACCGTCGTGGACCACGGCAAAACTTACACCATCCAGCCCGGGCAGCAAGTATTCGCCTCCTTCGACGAAGCCAACCACGACCCCAGCGTATTCCCCGAGCCCAACCAGGTCAACCTTGACCGCCCTCTTGGCTCATATCTCAACCACGGTCAGGGTCCTACCACCGATTTCGGCGAGCAGATCACCAAAATCGCGCTCGTTGCTATGCTGCGTGTCGTCGGTCGTCTGCAGGGTCTCCGCCGTGCTGCCGGTGCCCAGGGCCAGATTAAGAAGGTTCCCCAGGAAGGTGGCTACTCCTTTTACCTCCGCGGTGACGGAAGTGCTTACAGTGCCTTCCCCATGTCGCTTAAGCTGCACTGGGATGGTCCTTTGGAGCAGAAGAAGAAGACTACATCTTCCTGAGAGGTTTCTTTTGGGTTTGTCAGTTGAAGCATCGTATATAAAATTGCGGACATGCCATGTGGGGGTAATTTACTTTGGGTTGGCTATGATTGTATGCCTTTTTTTTATTGACTGTTTTATTTTCGACGAACTGTTTGGTTGACAGGATATCCGGAGGTTGTTGAAGCTTTAATGACAGCAGCGTAGTGTATATTTCATGAATATCTCATTAATTCCAGTTTTTCCCATCTGAGTGCAACTTAACAATAGCTAAGAAATTCATTGCAATCGGTCTATCGAAATCGTCATAGTTGTTTACATACACCGCCTTGGGGCTATACTGCCGCATCTTCTAGATTCCTGGGGTCGAGCTATATTTGTTGCAACTCCAACTCCACAATTGCAGCATCCCACGACAGAAAGCTCTTCAATCCTCCTCAAAATGGCTCCACCAAAGGCAGCAAAGGGCGAATACATCGAGACCGTAAGTGATCCCCCTAACTTACCCTCCCAATTGAAACCACCCAACCGACCCCACAACAAAAGAACCCCTACCTAACCCGCCGAGAAAATCAGGACACAGGAAACAAGATCTCCCGACGGTCTCAAATCCACGGGACGCAACATATCATCCTGGGCGGCAAAACGGTAATCCAAGCCGAAGCCGTAATCCGCGGCGACCTATTCCGCACGACAACACTTCCCCCTCCCACCGATCCAAACAACCCTTCCGCGCCAGCAGCCTCGAGCCCGAGCACGCCCAGCGTAGCGATAACGGTCGGGCGATACAGCTACATCTCCAAGAGCGCGATCCTGCGCCCGCCGAGCCGGCTACACCGCGGCATATACTCGTTCTACCCGCTCAAGATCGGCGATCATGTTTTTGTCGGCGAGGGCGCGGTTGTGGAGGCTGCGTCGCTCGGGAATCATGTTCATGTTGGGAAGGGTGCTGCTATAGGCAGTATGGCTATTATTAAGGACTATGCTTATGTGCTCGATGGCGCGGTTGTCCCGCCTGGAATGGTGGTGCCGAGTTGGTGTATTGTTGGTGGGAGACCGGCGAGGATTGTCGGGGAGGTTGGGGAGGGATATGGTGTTGAGGGGGCGGAGGGAGGTATGGCTAGGGAGAGGTATCGGGTTGTTGGACGGCCTTGAGGGGTTGGTGGGTTTGTTTTGGTTTCTTTTTCTGGTTTTATGATACCCCCATGCTACTTTCAATGTTGTGTTTTGATGTATCGATCTGTGTACTAATTAAGTATCCCCGTGGTAGATGGTCGGATTTTGTCTGTATATACATACTGGCAACTGCTAATGAAGGAGAGTCAAACAAAAAAGTACAACTAACCCATATTCTCCACCTGGACTGCGCGTTTGAGCCGCAAATCGTCGTTCTTGTTAGGGAGACCAATCTCTTCAAACGCCATATCCTCGATCCAACGTCCATTGGGCAGAACAGGTCCATACGGCAACTTGGAAGAGAGATAGAGCCAGGCGAGAGCATTTCCCACGGTACTCACTTCATCACTTACATTTTGCATGCCGTATTCCGACATGCGGGTATACAGATCGTGATTTGTCCAGAGCTCAAACAAGCGCTGCGCCACAGCATCGGTATCGCCAACATCAACCAAGAACCCATTCTTCCCGTGCGTCACCTGCAACGGGATGCCGCCGGCACGCGTGGCGATTACTGGTTTGCCTTTGTGGATTGCCTCGGAGACTTTTACCTCGAAACCTTCGGATGTAGATAGTTGCAGTGCGATAGTCGCCTTGGAGAGAATGGCGTTCAGGATTCGGTCGCAGGGCCGCACCCGCATCGCGCAGATCAGATGGCGGATATCTGGGACTCTTTTGTCCAGGTAGTCGACTACATCGTCGTAGATCCGCCCTCCGTCGGGATCATCTACTGAGCGGTCTCCACAAATCACTAGTTTGGGAGGGTGCATATCAGGCGCTTCGGCTACTAGTTTGTTGTAAAATTTCTCGTACGAAACTAACACATCCACGATGCCTTTTGACGGGTCGAACCGCGCGATCTGGACGATATATGAGTCTATCCTCGTGTTAGCTTTCACCGTGGAATGTGATCATCATAACTAGTTCTGGTTCAGGTACTAACCCTCGGGCCATTGGATAGTTGGCATATCCGAGTTGTGACAGCCTGTATTGAAGATGCGGCCATAGTACGCGATGTCCCAGTCGCGCATGGTTTTGTTCAGCCCGTCCAGCCTATGTCCCGGTCAGTGAGATGACAGATGCAAGCAGATTATCGGACTTCGGCCCTTACCAGTCAGTTGATGCAGGCATATAGCCTACTATCTCTGGGGGCACATTCCGTGGCACGAATGCGCTCACAGGGTGACTGATAAAACAGTCTGCTTGTTTAATACTATCCCACAGGTATTCCCAGGCCTCTGCCTGTGGAGAGCCAGATATTGCAACCAGGTCACTTCGAATTTGAATGTGGCTTCGAAATATAACTGGTCGATTTGGAGCTAGTCTCTTTGCGATGGGAATGATGCCTGGCATCTGGGGATCGTCGACGATTACGACATCTGCGCCGCCCTCTGCTGGTGAAAGTAAAGGTCCGCCTGGTCGGGTCCAGTATCGCCTGGTATTCTCCTCAATCCACTCCGTCAGGAGTTTCTTGTTCTCTGGTGTTAAGCGGTCATCTTGATCGGCGACACCTTGCAGGATATTGTGGTTTGTTTTGGTCACTCGGAAGACGCCCGGGCGTGGTTTCGGGACGTACCTACAATAATTGAGTTAGGCTTCATATTTCAAGACACAGATACCGGCACAGACACACCATTTAATGTTGGTACCCAGACAATGTGAAAATCGCAAGAGAGCATGCCGCATCAAAGCCACACCACCACCCTGAGGCGTGGAGCTGAAAAATGCCACTTTGGTATTGCGTTCTTTCAATTCATTGGCATAGTGCTGCATCGCGGACCAAGTTCTATCCGAGACGGTTTTCTGAAAATCGCTCAGATCCGCCATTTGCACATGGTAGGCTGTGTCTACTTCCACAAGCCCGAAGAAGCCCACTTGTAGCAGGGGCATGTTGTCCGGTCCAAATAGCCTGCGCGCACTTAGACCCAATGGCTCCTTTATGGCATTGAGCGGGACCAACTAACCTAACACCTTTTCGCGCCATGGATTCAGCCTGCTCGTCGATCGTCTTCTCACTCCATCCATTAGATCCCGGGTCTCGGGTCTCGCTAACCTGTCCGATGTTGACTCTGTCTATTAGTGTTGCGTTCGACAAGACCAAGGGAATGATGTCGAGCTCCGCCCAAAGGCGAGGGCACAGTCGAGTGCAGTGATTTGCAACATGTTCAGGCATTGCTATCCCAATAATTTTCTCCAGATGATTCATAGAATATGCCTTCAGCTCGGAAATGATGAAGTCGGTGGCCTCCTCTGTAGAGGCTTGATCGGGTGAGAACTGCTTCTGGAGGAAGTCTAGTAAATATGTGGTATCGCGGATTGCGATCGCTATAGTTGACGTATGGTAATCATGAAAGTTGCTAGAGATACCGGCGTAGATAGCCTAGTATTCCTATTAGTATTGAGAATTTCGAGAAGTGGCTTTTACTGCTACTTCGGAGACATTCATACATCCGACGGTGGCCCTAACCAAGCGTTACGCTTGTACTGTAGCGCGAGTCGACGCTGCTGTGTGACTGAGGCATGGCGTTCGAACGATTGTCCTTCGCCGGGCATGATTCTTAGAAATTCTAAGCAACTGAATTTATCCAAGAAATAATCAAAGAAGTAGCTATCAGCCATATCCATGAAGTTGACGAATGACTTCATTTAATCATGACGTAACGCCAATTCACCTTCTCGAACTATTTCAAACCTATCCATGGTTACCTTATAGAATACTCGGATGTGTACATAAATAGTAGAAGTGTAATTGTCATCGAGTACGAAGTATCTTATAAGCGAGGTGACATGCTGCACTATATTTAGGAAACCGTTAGTTCCGATTCTATCTCGAGAAAGCTAAAGAAAAAGAAACAAAGACAGCTGCATGCGCCGACGAACAGATTTGATTTCTAGAACTTCTAGTCAATCCCCTTAGACCACTCGGCCAAACCGCCAATGTATTTGTTGGGGAGATAGGCCAGTATATACCTAGAGGCTCCGATATCAGATGCATGCTGCTATATATGGCGGAGGTGCGTGTTGATTAGGTTAAATAGGCGCTTAAGAAGGCCTTTGATTGTTAGAATTGGCATTATATCCTGATCAAATGACATTTGTTCGCAATTAGTGCTTGATGAAGGAAAGGGAAGATATATATACTGTCGGAGTAATACCGCCGTGGATGAGGAAGATCACAACCACGGTTCTTACGATTTAATGACATCGAAGTGTTTTGATAGATATCTGAATATATTGTCCATGGAATGGGTATAATCATGAATGAAACAAGTTCGAGAATGATTTGATATACATGAAACCAAAGCCGAGAGGATGAAACTGCCCCCGTGGACCTCGTGGAGAGGAGATGATGAGTAAGCTCAGCCCAAGCCCCTTTTCTAGGTTCCCCCGCCTCAGGGAAATTGGATTGAAGGTCTTCACGCACCAACACACCTACTTTTCTCCTTTTCCTGTCCTTTCGTTGACGAAGTCATCTCAATCGAAGCCACTTTGCACGGAAACGTCCGGTGCCTTTCAATCTCTATTCGAAACCCGCAATACACAAGGCGGGTCGCAATTGTTGATATTCCGCCAAACAGCTCCTGAGCACGCCCGACACCGCGTCAAATCCCGCAAAAATGGGTGGACAAGTCTCTAAGATGATGGGAAAGATCTTCGGTACCAAGGAAATGCGTATTCTCATGTTGGGCTTGGATGCTGCTGGAAAAACTAGTACGATTCCTCCTTAGATAGAGACCCCGGACACGATTGGCTAACATTTCTTCAGCAATTCTATACAAACTTAAACTCAGCAACCAGGACGTGACTACTATTCCTACCGTCGGATTCAACGTCGAGAGCGTGACCTATAAGAACGTCAAGTTCAACGTTTGGGATGTCGGTGGTCAGGACAAGATCCGACCGCTCTGGAGACACTACTATTCCGGTACACAAGGATTGATCTTCGTGGTTGACTCCAGCGATACAGCACGCGTGGAGGAGGCTCGCTCGGAACTGCACAAGATTATCAACGACCGTGAAATGAAGGATGCTCTGCTTCTGGTATTCGCCAACAAGCAAGATGTTCCTGGCCGTGCGTATCTCCTGTCTCTGGAATCCGATGAATATGTCCGCTGACCCACCCCTAGACTTAAGCCCGGAGGAAGTTACTCAGCAGCTTCAATTGACTAAGCTCAAGGACAAGTTGTGGTACGTTGCGCCCAGTGTTGCAACAGATGGAACAGGTATTTTCGAGGGTCTTGTAAGTCGTATCGCTGACCTATCTCTTTGGAAACGTCAATCTAACCATGCTATTTCTTACTAGGCCTGGCTCTCAAACAATGTCAAGACCCAGCCCCAGAAATAAGATACACTGCTGTGATTTCGAGAGGCGCTCATAGAGCAGCTTCGATGTACAACATCTCGCATTCTCAAGTGTTTTCTCTTTTCTCTTCATGTCCGTGTTCTGATGACAAGACCATGCAGCATTTGGGCTTTTTGTTTTTGTTTTTCTTTTGTTGGCCTCGTTATCTCGTTGCGTTTACCATTGTTTATCTTCACTTCTATGATATCCCCTCTGTTCTTATATGGGCTTGTTGGGTCCAATTTAATACTTTAATTCATTTTGCTCTTCATCTAGCGTTCTTATTGTTTGTATACCCTTTTGTGGATGCGCTCCCTTATGCACATGATTGGCTACAGCGGAGACAAGATAGACAAGTTCTGGCATTGGTCCTAAAAAATTATAAACAAATGACATACTTCTGATTGAAGTGCGTTATCAGATTCGGGTGCTGTCGTTTCCACGGAGCCTACCTCCGCAATAGATCTAGATGTTCATATAGCCATCAATTCCAACCCAGTCAGCTCGTTTCTCCAGTTACCTCAATATGACGATAGCGGAACTCCTTTCCCCATCATGAGCCAATATAAATATAATGACAGTTTCGGTTGACTGTTGCACTCTTTCTGTCTGCAAATACGGAAGACTCTACCTGTTCACGCAAATTTGTACAACCCAATACATGTTCTCGGAATATCCAATTCCACACGCCTGCAACCAACAGCAATGCCTCATTTCAAAGAAGGAGACAAGGTCAATTACAAGCCGGTCGGCGGTATGATGCACCCTTTATATGCATGTCCAAATGAACCACTGTCTAACAAAGTCCAATAGGCCCGCAATCCAGAACCAGCATGAGCGTCGGACTCGTTCGTGAAATCCTGGGGGGCCGCAGTTCGTCAGATGAGGAGACACGCTATACGATAGAGAACTTGCACACCCACAAGACCTCCTCCATAAAGGAGAGAAACATCGAGGGACCGGCGGAGTAAACCGATGTCTTTCCATGCCGGTGGGAGATGTATATTGACTTAGCATACTAAATTGAGCTGAATTGCTTTGTCTAGAGGTTTCCAGAATTCCAGTATAAGCCATTGTAGCATCAATTTGCTACATCGAGGTTTAGACCACCTGTATATCTTGGTTGGATTTCTGTCTTGTAATATACTCCGTACATGGGGTCCCACCCGCGTCATGTAAAATAAAATCTCTATTCTTGGAATTGGGGATCGACAGAATGTAGATCAGCGTGTCTGGAGTTAGGGTTCGGGAATCAAGTCACAAGAGGGTGGAGATAAAACTGATTTCGAATATGACTGTACATCCACTGATACAGCTCATCAGTGCTCAGAACCAGTTTGTCTGGTTTCCATTCTGACTCAAGAACAAGCCGCTAGATTCAGCATCCAGCTTCTCAATTACTTGAAGACCCTTTCGAACACTTTCCTCGGGCTGGATTTGCCCCGTGAGTCCTGGCTCCACTGCCTGAAACTGCGACAGCATACCGGCAAGCGCTTGAATTAATTCGGCCGGTTTCTCTGTTGCAAGGCTGTTAGATTTTATCTCTAATGCAGTGGCATATATGACTCCTTACCGCCTTCCCACGTATCAACCCATCCAGGGCTCAAAGCAAGCACCTTGATTCCTTTAGGCGCAAGCTCCGCTGCGTACTTGGCAACTTGCACATTCATTCCAGCTTTCGAGACGGAGTACGCGACAGCGTAGCTGACTCCTGACTTGATGATGAGATCCAAGTCCGCCATGGCGCTGGAGATATGTACAATCTTCTTCTGGGTGCCCTTCTCGATCAGGGGAAGGAAGGCATTGGTCGCCCATAGACCTCCATAAACCCCTGTGCTAAGCGATGGCTCAAAAATCTTCCGAGTGGCTTCAGCATCGAAGGGAATTTGGGACGGATTGAGGCCCATGGCAGCCATATCAACGGCGTTCGAGTTGTGGATGAGAACATCAAGCTTCCCGCCTGTGATGGCAGCTGCGGCCGAAGCGGCATCGAGAATGGACTTTGGGTCTGTGACGTCGCCCTTAATAGCATGGACATTGGGATGTCTGGTGGCAAGCTCAGAAATTCCTTGCGACTCGGGATTGCGCACAATAGCCAGGACTGTGTTGTCTTTGTTGGCGGCGAGTTGACGCACGTATTCGAGGCCAATGCCCTTGGAGGCTCCGGTGATTGCGTATGAGGCCATTTTTTATTGAATTGATTGAACTATATCCAGTGATTACTTGGAATAAGTTGCTATGCTGATGATTCTATTTCGATATTCGACATTGACTCGTGTTATATACTTCGGTGAATCTATGGATTATTACAAATCGGCGCCGACCGGACGCTCCGGTCCTCCCGTTTCCCCCTCCGATTGCTCAGCAATCGGCTTATACATCTTGATCGGCCGCTCCGTTTCCCGCAGCGACATCATGAGCGCCACAGTCCCTGTCAAAAGAAGAGCCTGTGTGGCCTGCACGGCCGCTAAGGCGAAATGTACACCGCAGGCTGCTGACCTGTGCCAACGGTGCGCTCGTTTGGGCAAGGCATGCACGTACCTTGACCTCCCGCAGACGAAGCGAAAGCACAAGGTTGCACCAAGGTGATTCGTCCCAAAACAAAAAGCGCTAGTTTTATTAATAACGGATGCAGCCGTGTGGATGTACTGGAGAAGAAGGTCGACCAACTGATGTCACAGCTGGCTACCTTGACCCAACGCACCGTGATGACCCCGTCCGATACTCTCAACCCGCCCACCCACGACTCGGCCTCTAGTCATGACCCGGACTTGGATTCGGTAGACATCGACGCGCTGCATGCTGCTGCTCAAGATCCGTCACACGGTCCCGATCCGCCTACTACCTCTGCGATGGAGGGCCAGCCGACTATCGTTGATCGGGGTATTTTGAGCGAAGCCGAGGCTGAGCGCTTAGTTTCGAGTTTCCAGCTTGACTTTATTCCTAAATTTCCTTTTGTTCTGCTTGGACGCGGTGAGACGGCTGAAAGTCTGAGGCGTACACAGCCTTTCCTCTTTTTGTGCATTGTAGCTGCCACTATCGGCAGTGCGTCCCCTCTTCGCAAGATTGTCGCGGATGAAATTATGAAGCATGTCACCATGAGAATCGTGGCACGATCTGAGAGAAACCTCGAATTACTCCGTGGTCTGCTTGTTCACAGCGCATGGTACTCATATCCTGGGGAGAAACATCACCCGCGGCTTCTGCTGTTGATTCAATTTGTTGTTTCTATTTCACAGGATTTGGGGCTACACAAAAAGACCAATTTAACTCTAGATGAGCAGCGGGCATTACTTGGCACATATTGGCTGTCTTCTAGGTGAGACTGTCTGCACTGGTAGATGCAGCTCTAACTAACTGCATCTCAGCCTCCATGGAAGTCTCGGTCGGCTAACTAGCATGAGCCGAGATATTCAAATCGATAGGTGCACTCGGAATTTATCATCAACCGAGCAAATTTCAGATCGATGGATCGCACCGTTCATTCACATACAATCATTTTTGGCAACATTGGATGACGTCCATGCTTCGATACAGCCAAGCGGTGGAACAGTACAAGCCCAGGTCATGCATGGCTGTCTGCTGCAACAGTTCAATAACTTGAAAGCATCCGTGGAGAAAGACCTCGCCGGGATTCCTTCGTCAACGGGTATGTCAGGGACCTTATTTGAAGTTATATGATTGGCTGGGATTAACCGATCTCTGCAGAGAATGCAATACGCACAGAACTCAAGTACATTGAGGTACGCCTTGAGGAACTATGTCTTCGAGAAGAACTGTGGACTATGGAATCTACCCACGCAGTCCGCATCACCATGTTAATGAATATGATTCAACGGAGCAAAGAGCTCATTCACACGATCAGAAATTTGCGAATATCAGAAATCAGTCAAATGACAATATCGACAAGTGCTCGTTTATGTATTGGAGTGGGCTACATTCCCACTTTAGTATTTACCCTGCTCAATCTCATTACTGGTCCTATTGACTCTTCCACCGAATCCCAAGCCCAGGCTGTTATCGATATGGCAGATTACCCCAGTCTTGTCACAGAGCTTGCCAACACGTTGGATGTGAGGTTTGAGGGCATGTCTACTGCAGAAAAAGAGACAGATGTTGTGGGCAGTCTCTGCAATAAAATGCGGCAGCTTGCTCGAATTTATCCCCACCAAGTCAGAAATATCATTGAAAATGCGCTATCTCAGGATGCAAGGCCGGATGTGTCTATGGGGGAAGTTCCTCCCAATGATGTTGCTATGGCACCTACAGTTTGGCCGTCGATATATGGCGACTTGGACGGCATATTCCCCATTGATGACATTCAGTGGGATTCTCTTCTGAGAAGTTTCACTGAAATTACTAGTACTAGCTAGTCTAGCCGATACGTTCTTCATGAAGCACCATGCAAGTATACAATGTAAACTAGCTTCGGTCTATTTGCTTGGAATATGTGCATTGTCATTCTTGAGATTTATAAAAATAATGATGAAAGCAATCAAAAATTCGACGGTTATATAATGCACCGTGATCCTGCGATCGGTCTCGGTGCGTAGGCCAAGATGCTGAAGATAAACGGTTGGTTGCGGGTATTGTGTCCAACTAAGCATTCCTGGAGTTCCAAACACGGAAGAACAATGTTAAGACAGCCCTGAGATCAAGTGAAAAGACCTCCCAAAAAGCATAGCAGACAGTCTCATTATAACACTGGTTGAAGAGGCGAAGGTGCCTCCAAGGTTACAATTTCAGGTGTATTCCACTGATTGGAGACGCTGCTTGCGTCTACATCACAGAAATTCCAGCAAACTACTGTTTATAAATATTCGCTAATTGGCACTTAGGCAAATATTTAGGACACAACAAGCTTCTGCTACGTCATGGCAGGAAATGACCCTGATGAGAGGTTGGTTTACCTCGCATGCCAGCATATCTTTCGTGACTCGAACTCTCAGGTGCGAAAATTGAAGACAGTCAAAGGATTGATAGAACAGAACAAAACCGCATTGGCAGATATTCTGCGGGAGTACAACGTCGACCGAACCAGCAACGTTGCCAAGAAGCTCTTGGAGAATCGGGTGTTTGACTCTACACTGGAAGCCAAAATTCGCTTCCCAGAGTTGTTCGATGTTTCGCCTACTCAAAGCGCCGAAAGGGAAGCTTCGGAGGCGGAAGCAGCGAGAGATGAGGCAAACACAGTTCAAAAAATTTCCCAGAGAGAGACGACAGGAGAAGATGCAATTGTCCCTCGGGCTACTCATCAACGGGAAACAGACGTGGAGACTGAAGGTGAGCTTTGATTGTCGTGAGTTCCTCTGCATCGAGCGCTGACCCAACCCAGTACATCCTGCGAGCCTAAATTCGGACAGAACTCCTGCAGTTCCATCGCTCTACCCAGTGTACATACACTACCGTGGTCAACATGTTGTCCTGACAGCCATTCAAAGACTTTTGGAGGAAGGTTGCTTCGAGTTCGCTCAGCAGGACTTTCCCCAAATCTTGAAAGAACACGGCTGGGACTGTACAGAGGCTGTAGAGCTTACCCAATGGACCAAGTTATTTTGTCGGCATTCCACACGGCTGAAGGAAAATTTGACGAGGCCATTAGATGAGGTCATCAGCCTCCTTCGGGAGCTGAGGCACTCGGCCGTCCACAGACTTCGAAAGACTGCAGCTGGCATTGAGCGACTTGCCGAAAATGCTCAGATCTTTCTCGAAGCTCTGAATGATTCACTCCGATCTGAGAAAGTTATGCTACTCCGAAGAGAAATCCGATCAACAATCGAAGAGCTCAAACGCAGCAAAGATCTCCTAGAAGGTAGGTTGCTCGTGCAACTCAAAGAAATACGCATCAAAAGAAGTGAGCTGGATAAATGGGAGAAAGAAGCAAAAGAGACTATGGTGTTTGAGGACCTGCAAAATCTAAGGGGTATAGGAGAGGGTCTCGAAAAATTGGTTGAAGAGCTTAATTCAAGACATACAGCAGACCCAAAAGAGCCAATAGAAGGCAAGGGAAAAGAAAAAATGATGACTGTATACCAAGAATCACTGGACTCGGAAGAAGAGTTCCTTGGGGCTGTTGTGCAAGGAAATAGCTCTGAGACTGATTGAATCAATGATATTCTTCAACGGTGCCTGAATGACTCGTGTTTAAAGGCAATGATCCCTGCATATTTGTTGTGTTTGATTGGTTTCGTCATCTGACGATATCTACCTGGGTAACTACCACACTACACTGACCACTACTTTCGCAAAACCAGCAAAATGAACTTCGACCAAATCGACACTATGCGGCAGATTTTACAGCAGGTATCAATAAAACGGCTCATACCCATAGGAAACAGGATATTAATACCCCATTCGCCTAGACGAGCGTCTTTCCTCCGCCGGGGACTCCCATCAAGACAAGGGGTCTCAGAGAAGTGTGCGAGGTCGACGGCCGCACATTCTTTAGGAAGCGGGGTGCGCAGGATTGGACTGAGGACACTTCCAACCCCGAGGAGTTGAAGCCACCGGCCGAAAATCCCCATCTCTATCTCTATCTCGTCCAAGAAGAACAAGCCCCCGGAGAGCCCAACCATTGGGCACTCTTCCTTGCCGACGAAAACGAGCCGGACTACGGATATGTGTACCAAGTCACGGGGGATGCACAGGATATGAAGTACGACCCGTCGACTGATAAGATCAATGTCGTTGACGCTGGCTTCACTGCCAACATCTACACCCTGGCTGTTGTGTCGGAAGACCAGGCCAGAGTAGCCAAGCTGGTGAAACAGGCTGCGGAGGAGGAGCTTCCTCCCCAAGCGGAGAATCGGAAATCTGTTACGGAGAATTGCCAGGGGTGGACTGTGCGTGTGATCGCTAGACTGGTTAAGGAGAAGATTGTTATGCCTCAAAAGCTTGAAGTGGCAAGGTCCCTGATGCAGCCTGTGTGAGATCGGGGGGCATCAAAAGCTAGTGCTGCTCCTCGCGCTTCATGTAAGCAGACAGAGACCGTTGTTGCTTCTTGTGTTACAATGAGACGAGGACAGAGAATCGGACTTCAAAAAAGCGTTAACCATATTCAAGAATAAAGATAGCAAATGCTCGTTCAGACAACTATTTAAAACATTCATCCAAGGTATGTTAAAAAGCTCCGTGCAGAATTTAGAACTAAAAACGGACAGAAAAGTGATTTTATTGTTTACTCTTAAAAACCAAGTTCAAGCCTGGTTGGGCCAGATATCGTTCGCAATATCCCGGACCAGCTGCAGCTTGTTGATCATACCATCCCAGTCGATGGCATTGCCCTCACGATGGGAAGCAAAACCACACTGCGGGCTAACACCGACCTGGTTAAGCGCAGCATCGAGGGAGATGTTGTTACCCTCAGCGATGAACTTAGCAGCATCGATGACTCGCTTCTTCATATCCTCCTTATCCTCCAGCTTGGCGAACTTGCTAGTGACAACACCCAGAATGATGTTCTTGTGAGTGGGCAGGAACTTGAGCGGCTCGAAACCACCGGCGCGGGGGGTGTCGTACTCGAGGTAGTAGGTGTGGACGTTCAGTTCTTGGAAGAGCTTGATGGCGATACGGTCGTAGCCACCCTCGGAGAAGTGGCGGCTGCCGACAAAGTTACCGCGGCATAGGTGAACACCGACGTGCATGTCGGCGGGCAGGTTTGTGAAGCAGTCATTGTACTGCTTGATATACTTCTCGAACATGGTATCGGCGGAGTACACATTCAAAGGGTCTTCCTTGAAGCCAGTGAGGAACTTATCGGAGCAGAAGTCTTGGTGGAAGGTTAGTTTCGTCAATCGATATTGGCTGGATGGGTAGGTACATCTTACAAGCTAGGTTGGGGTCATCGAATTGGACATTACGGCAACCGGCCTCATACAGGATCTGAAGCTCGGCTTGGTAGGCCTTGGCGATGTCGCCAAAGTAATCCTCGTCGTTGGTGTATACAGACTTGGGATAAGCCTTGCCCTCGCGGTAGCGCAAGTGGTACCAGTTAGGCGCGGCAAGAGTGATCTTTAGGTTTCCGACCTCGTTGGCAGGGACCTGGCTAGCGAGGTACTTGAATTGGTCGACATAGGTACTACCGACGTGCTTGATCTCGCCGGTACAAATGACGCTCTCACCGGGCTTGTGGCCGGCCTCTAGAAATGCGGCGATATCGGGGGCATAGGGACGGAAGTCATCCACATCGACATTGTTGACCTCCTCGAAGCCGTCCAAACCGGGGAAGAAAGTACCCCAGAACACTATATCTGTCAACTTCACTCACCCAATGGCTCTCCGGATCTCTTACTGTGACGGCGGTACTCGCCATCAGACATAGCGGCATAGCCAAGCTCTTGTTGAATCTCAACGATAGCTTTAATCTCCTTGTCCTCGCAAGCAGTCAGTTGAGATTCGGGGATCTTGCCAGCCTCATACGCGAGCTTGGTTTCCAGAAGCTGGTGTGGACGTAAGAGAGAGCCCAAATGCTCTGCGCGGAAAGGAGGACGCTGGTGAAGTTGAGGAGCCATTGTGAAGGGAGTATATAGATAACTGCGAGAGACGATGAGCGTTGTTCTTATAAGATGCTACAGTATCTTACTTTAGAGATCTACTGAGAAAATGAACATGAGAAGAAAGCAAGGGAAGTTTGTGAAACGGATAAATCAAAAGAGGGGCATGACATTGCCATTGCATCTCATGTGAGGTGCTCTACATCGTATCCAGCCATGATAGACATGCCCCACAGCAAAACGCTGAGGCTCTCCACAATTTGGTGACTCTGTGGGTTTCCCCTGTTTGTACGGAGTAGATTCTATGCTGATTTCCTTGTTGGGTCATTTCAAGAAGCAATTGTTCTGTAAGTACAGGGGGGATCCTTGGCAATCGGACAGTGCCATTGTTCCACGTCATTCCGACTATTCTAATGCTAATACACCCACCTAATACTATCTTCATGCCCTAATACCATCCTAATACTCTTGCGTATCGGACATGTCTCGAATCTATTATAGTGCACGGACCACGAGGTTGCACGCTTCTATAAGTTTTTTTATACTCGTAGTCCCTTTAATTGTATATGTTTGTCTAACACCCTGATATTCCTTTCTAAAGGAGCCCACACATCTATAATAACTCTCATTTTCAAAAACCATTCGAAAGACCATCCGCTGAGTCACCGATTACAAAGAGTTCAGTGGAGCCAGTGGAGTGGGGAAGCCCGGCACTTCACTTTCATCCCCTCAGCCGACGACTACCCCCATCTTAGTCGACTAGTGCACTCTTGGTATACTGTTACATTGGGCAGTACGGGGTACTGGATATCCAATTGTTCATAGTAATGTGGGGCGAGGTCCTCGACATGAGCAATTCGGCATGTCTGTGCCGGCATCTCCATTAGAACTTCTCCCCAATGAGCTCCTAGACCAGATTATCTCCTACTTATCCACGGAGCCACCATCATTCGGACAACTACATCATGCACCCAGTTTGCAACTCACCCAGTCTCCAACAAAAGACCTCAAGCATTTCGAACTGTGCTCACGGCGCCTATCTCAACTTGTGAGACCGAAACTGTTCAGTTACGTCCGACTCAAGCTCCATGATGAACCCAACTTCCAATCGTTTATGGTCAAATCAGACCTCTGTCAATATGTGAAGTCTCTTGTTGCGATTGCGGATGAAAACCCAGATCATCAGATCGATCCATTTTGGTGGCGCCGAGTCCTCCGCTATTTGGATCCTTGTCGTGTTCTAGTAATAGGGCCGCCAGTCTTCATTGGAAACACTCTAGCTACCCCGATCAATGATGGACACCACTGGGCATTTGATATGCCCCTACAGATCTTGGTTTTGGAACGAGAGTGCACACCTCGGGACCCATCCCACCTGCCTGACCTGCAGCCTTGTACTAGTCTTCTAGCATCACGAGCTTGGACATCGATGACTTTTAACGAGTCATCTTCTCTGAAAGCATACAACCACTACGAGTACTTCCTTTCATGTGTCCCATCGGTTCTTACAGAATGGGGCACAAGTGGGATACGTGATTCAACTCGTACGCTTCAACGCCCGACCAATCTGCCAGCCCTCTTAGATGGCCTCACATACTTTTCCTACACGGCTGTGTTTCCATTTTACAATCACTCGCAAATTGTACTGGATGCGGTTGTGAGAATGCGGCACCTGCGACGCCTTGATGTGCAGCTGGCTCCCCCTCAGGATAATCATATTACCGAGCTTGAACAACGAGGGTCCATGGACCCTAATGATCCATGGATGGAACTCGCAACCTCGTACTCCCTGGTTGGGTATACTGTGAATAATCTGCCCTGTTTGAAAGAGTTCAGGAGCGGTGACCTGCATGTGGAGCCTATGCGGCAGGATCTGCTAGCCATTTTGGACGATGTCATTGGAGACGGTGGCTGGGTACATGATGGGCGTGGAATATGGAAACGAGCTTGATAATATATTTACAGCAATGTACCTTGAGCATCTTGTTCTCTATCAAAATTTCCATATATGCAATTTCTACTTCATGGCCAAGACCAACATAGTATTCCTAGTATCTAAGCAACATGAATTGAACGTTCAAGTAGAGTCGATCAAAAAGAGGAAGCTCATAGGCTGGATGAGGCTAGACCACATCGGGGAATATCCACCTTCGCGTTTGTCTCCACCCACCGCTCACTCTTCGCTTCTTCTACTTATATCCTGATATCAGATCTGTAACAACCGGACAAGGCTGTATATACGCGGAATCATGGCAAGCACAATGGATGTTTACTCGGCAGAGCCCGCATTTCCGGTCCTTGCTGATTCTCTACTCCGACCGCCGGAGTCAACGGAAAGTGAAGCTCCTCCTTCAAATGAGACAACCGCAAAAAGTGACTGGAACCTCAAAAATGATTGGAAACAGGGCATCCAATCCTCCAAGGAAGGGGTCTTTCGGTGTGGGGTTGTCCTCGGCTTCTCCAGGCTGCGAATGAGAAGCAGCGAAAGCAATGAGTATATCGGAGAGGTATGACCGACTCAATACCACTCGGAAATTGTCCATGAGACTAATACATGTATTACAATAGATCCCTCGATACATTCTCACAAATCACCTGCGGAGTATCCATCCATCATCTGAGCCGAGCGCGTTCATTATCCACCCACGAAGTTTCGAGGCTTTTGCCCCGAGGACTCTACTCAATGAGCTGCAGTGTTCTTCCCATGACCAGCCTGGTCTATCAAGAGATGATGCAATCCGTAAACTTGACTCTGTGCAGTTACTTCCTGTACAAAACTTCCCCAATGCCGCACAGGCCATCGGTAAGGTCTCGGAAGCGCTGCGCGACATCCAAGATAATAGAGAAAAACAGAGAAAATCGGCCGAGGCAAGCCCATCCACCAGCAATCCCATTGTCTTCATTATTGCAGGTCTCGATACTCTAGCCGAAGGAGTAATTCGAGCCTCCAACCCAGCTCGAGGTGCAGCCGTTCTGACAGCTACACTTCGCACCTTGACGCATTTGTCTCGTGTGCACGCCTCTCATCTCTCGATCATTCTTGTCAATACTAATGGACTGGGATCTATGTATCCAGGATGGGATAAAAATCAACCCTCGACTGGAAATACTACTACCTATGGAGATGATGCTACGAGGCAGCCGTTGGAAGATGGCATCCACTCCGTCTTCCATTCTGATATCCCCCCTTTGTTCCCCACCTTGCTCATGAAGACGTCAGACCAAGGCATCGATACCCATTTGTTGGTTTCTGATTTGAGGGGAGCTCAGATAGTCGAAGTGATCAAAGATCGAGTTGGCACGAGTCTAGGCAAATGGGGAATATGGAACGAGCAATGAACGATAAACCATTTATCATATCACTGTGAGAAAAAGTTGACCTTGATCGATCTCGATGCAATTGTTCATACTCTTACAAAAAATTATTCTCAAACATGACAGATCCCCTCGCAAAGCGCCGTTTTGTATGCAATTGGCCCAAAAACTCAGCCACTAGGTACCATCCTGCTATGTTATAATCTGCAAAATACCAACTCCAGTCCATGAGGCTTTTTTTGTCAAGGGGTATCAAGCTTTTGTGAAATCCGGCTGGCCATGGAAGACCCTTGAGAAAATCCATTTGGCATTCAAGCCTGATTATCCTTCTCGGCCCATCGTCTCATCACACCCCGCTCCACCACGGACCGAGCTTCCTCCTCACACTTGGCGAGGTCCCGCTCTGCCGTTTCCTCCTCAAAGAGAATATCTTGTTGCTGCACTTTGACCCACTGCTTGTGTCTCTCGCACCGCTTCTTAGTGCACACGCCACGCGTCCAAAATGCAATATCATCGTCGCCATCGCCGTTCATCGCCGTGTCCCCGTCTGCATCAGTGCCAGCTGAGGAGCTCACAGCCAAAGCTTCCGCTGTTCCCTCCGCGAGAGCTTTCTTTCCAGCGTCGGAGAGTCGCCATTCATCGAATTCTTCGTCGGACCACGAGAGCCGCGAGTCAAAGCCACAGATATCTTTCCATCCGCCCTTCGGCTCGTGCTGTTTCAGTTTCTCTACTACGCCCTTGGCGCGGGGTTTGAGAAGAGAGACGAACGTTGTGCGTGCGGCAAGCATCTCCTTGCGATGAAGGAGCTCCTCACGCTGCGTGCGCAGCTTTTCGATCTTCGCAATCTCATCGGGTGAATATTCCAAGCCCTTGGCATGGACGTCGACTCCCAACCATCTTCCGGTCTGCGGATTTGAATCCGGTTTGATCACAGCCATAGCAGTTTCTTTGTCATCTACCTGTGGTGGTGGGGAGATGATGCGATCTCCGAGCTTTCGGAATTCTTGTGTGGATGTCACCCCCATAACGGCAGCTTTCAAGTCCCCAGCTGTAAGAATGCCACCCATACTACCCAAATCTTCAAAAAGACCATTAGCCTGACCGGTACGTTTTTTAAGATGCTGAATCTGTTGGCGCATGAATTCCCGGCCGTGATCGTCGCAGCAGTATTTGCTCGGGGGCTTCGTCTTAGCGCGCGCTGGTTTCCGGCACTCGATCAGACGGCACATCGGTTTCCATGTTGTGCATCCCTTTCCTTCGCTTGCGCACTTTGGGCCTAGTGTATAAAGTCAGTTTTGAATGTAATAGATCCGTCGCTCATGGGCATTTACAGATATACCGCTCAATCAAATCCGCATCTCGAGGATCAATATTGACGCATTTCCCATGGTACCAGTCATCACAGTCGCCGTCACACCCGATCATCCACGTATGGTTATCAGGTCGGCGGCAAATACAGAAGATCGCGTTTTCATCGAAGCTGTCGGAGTCGTCATTCTCCTGGGCAGTAGGTGGTTTGGGCCCTTTTTTCTTCTTCTTCTGCGGCTTTTTCTTCTCTTCGGGAGCGGGTGACCCTGCGATCGAGACAGAATTTTGTTTCTTGGCAGGTGTTTTGCTGGCCCGGGAAACAGGTGTGTTCGAACGCCGCCCATCAAGGCTGTCTGCGTCCGGGTCATTTACCTTGCGCTTCTTGGCGGCTGGCTTCTTCGCAGTTCCCTTTTTGCTAGTGTTTGTCGTGGGCTTTTTGTTTGCTGGTTTGACGGAATTTGCTGGGGAGGACCGGTCGGATGATGACGCCCTCGACGTCAGCCCATGCTTGAGATTCGCCACTGTTTTGGACGTCGCGTAGTCGCTCGTGCCATCTAGACCTAGTGAATTTGTGTCCAAGTCGTTGCTAGCTGGGAATTTGTCGAGGGTAGAGCTTGTTGGCTCGGTTTTGACTGACGGAAGGGGTGTATCTTGGTTTGCGACCAGCGGAGTGCCTTTACTGGGGTCGTAGGCATTATCATAGAGGTCAGACCACGTCACTCCATTCTCGGAGGTGTCGACGCCATTTTGAGACGCAGGCCCAAGATCCCTGAAGAGTCGATGGACCTTCTCGGCTCTGACAGTGCCAAAATATCCGCATTGTCGCCAGCCAGCAATCCCCACCACCCGATCATCCTGGACAATAATATTGCTTGGAATGAGGTTGTTATGTGTCAAAGATAGTTCTTCCTCCTTGGTTTTGTCTGTAAATAGGATATCTCGTTCGCGAGTGTCGACAGAGGGGGGAATTTGCGAATTGAGTTCACGGCATACATAGGATGGTTCGTCTGAGGGGGAATGGATTGTCCCGAGCCGTTGGAGGATCTGGCGACACTGATTTTTGAAGACTTCGATCTGTTCCGTGTCGAGATACCTCCATGCAACTTCCAGCGAGACACCAGCAATGCGCGACTCGATTGTCACATTCCTCCCTTCAATCGTCCCGCAAAAATATACCACTGGGACTGCAACTCCGATCTCTCTGAGCGAGTCCTCTGCCTTCTGCGCGGCTAACAGTTCATTCGCATTAGCAGATGAGTATCTCGCAGCCGCCGCTCCGTCGGCCAGTTCGCGGTCAACCCGGATAATTATACTCCCAGCCGCGAATGCCTCCCTCGAACCTGAAATATTTAGTGAGTATTCTGGGGTACAGTATTTCTGCGCGACCTTCTCCCAGAAAGAGTTCACGGTCGGGTCAGACCGATACCAGTTCATAAAGCGAGGGGTGAAATCGTCGGCGCGGGGTGTGTAGCGGCCGTATTGCGCACTCAGGGAGATAAACAGGTCATCGCTGGGAATGCGATCGGGGTTGGTTTCGTAGGGGTCGGTTGTGGACTTTTTGGTCGCGGAGCCGTTCATGTGGTTTGCGCCGACGGCCGCCTCCATCTCCGCCATGGCTTTCACAAGTGGAGCGGATAGCTGTGTTAGGCGGAGGGTCGAGATGATAGCTCCCGACTAATTCCCGTTCGTAATTGTGAGCTATGAAGCTTGTGGACTCCTGCGAGGTTCAAATATGCGAGCGAAGATCGCGCGGGCAAAACTAAACCGATATGAGTTCCACTGAGAGCGGACACATTATGTGGATTGTATCGAGGGTGTAGAGTCTTGCAGATGAATTTTCGGGATTTTTCCGGTCTGTGCGATCCCACTTATACAATTGGGAAAGTGCTTTTGGTGGTCTTGCGTTGACTGTTGAATTCTCACGGGGTTGAAGGGTTGCGATACCACCGCCGATCGAAGAGATGAGGTCTGGTCCAATGTCTTCGCCGAGGGTGCTTGTGTGGTGATTGAGAGAACTAAACAATCTGAAACATTCTCTTGGGCATATAGAATTCTCGATTCCAGCTTGGTTCAATGTCCAGCGCCTTGATGTCTGGATTGGACATTGTCGGAGTTGCGGACTGGGCGCGAAGAGCGCGAAGGCGGTGAGCAGATCCCAGACACGCGACAGACGCCCACTTCACTTCTGTTCCTCCACGGATACTTCCTAGGACGAGTAAGATCTTTGGTTGAAATCTCTTTGGAGCTTTGATTGCCACTAGTATCCTCAACAGAGATCTCTTCAAAAAAAGGATTATGAATGTCATTGTGGCACTTCTATATTCCGGTAACGATATAGGGAAGAGTGCGAGATCTGATATCGGCGGTCACCTTCGTCTTTAGATATAGACCAGAAAGCTGCAGCTGGATTCTGAGAGGTGTAGTAATTGGCAATTGTTTTGAAAGGGTACCTAAGAGCGCTCAAGCCCCCAGAAATGTTCAATAGTACTATGTATAGCCAGCTATACATGAATCGGGCAACTACAGCAAATGCATTCCAGCCCAATGGCCTCAAATAGACAGAGGAGGCTGGCTGCACGAACCCATAGTCAATCAGCTCCATGACCAGCATCGGAATTCGAGCTTGGGTTGACAGAGAGGTTTACGATAAGGAGGCCGTAGGCTCATCTCGAAAGGGCATTGAAAGGACATTTATTATGACGCGCTAGCTCAGATAGCATTGTCTTGGCTCAGTAGAACCGCATGTATTATGGGTGCATTGAAATTGTATCATTCTCAAACTGCCAACTCTGGTCTTCAATGAGAGCTCTCAAATCGGAGTATTCTCCTGTCCAGCATCTTTGTATCACAGGTCTAGCCGCCAGTCCGTCAACCGGCGGGTACCTTTTAGAGGCAAATAGATCGTCAACCAATTCTTGGTATTTCTCCATCTCCTCTAGAGACTCGAATGGACCTGGAGACCTGTAGGGCCAATGGCCAGTCATTATCGTATAGTAGATGGACCCTAGGCTGAAGATATCCGTGCTTATCGTCGATTCCGGCGGAAGGCAAGGATTGAAAAATCTGGCATCGGGGAGATGCCGACCATCTATATCTCCATTTGTTGACCCCCCAAAGTCACAGAGTAGAAGATCGAGCTCGTTTCCGGCAACAGTGTGCAGCAAAAAATTCTCAGGCCGAAGATCAGAGTGTATCACACCTTTCTGATAAATGAATTGGATCGCCTCCGCGGCTTGTGTGTACCATTTAAGTCGTAGAGATATATTAATGCTAGTATGATGCTGGTCGATGTAGTTCTGTAGATTTCCATCGCTTGCTTCGGCAAATAACAGTCCAAATGGGTCCTCTGAGACGCCCTTTTACCGGACCAGGTTATCGATATTTATGGCACCAGGGTCTTCCATGACTGACGTTGCCTGTGTCTCGTCCGCTATACCTAGAGGTTGTTTCCCATTAACGGTCCTCTATAGCACTGAACATTACCTAGGACGAATCTTCAAGAGCAGAGGTATTTTAAAGAGAACGAGACGATACAGATGACATTGCAGAATCGAGAAAAAAGCGAAACCGCGATTTACAATGCTCGTCAACATGTCAGGAGGTTTGAGAGAAATTATGGCAGAATCTATGGTCGCACCCGGTTGGGAAGATGGTGACTGATATTTCGGGCAGAGAGGGGTAACTATCCAAGGGTCTAGTCATGTAGATGCTCATGCGTATAAAAAGTAGAGACGTGCGGTAGTCAAATAGAAGTAGTATTTGACAAAGCGAACAATCAAGCCCTCTCAACGGGAATTTGTCCAGGTGCACCAAGGCGATCATGACCAAAAGGAGTATATGCGTCGATTCTTATACAATGCCACGTAACTTGTTTGCTCTTTCCTATTTCGAAACCGTTAGATTATCTAAGTCTGAGACCGATGGGGTTGGCTTTCCTTGCTTTATGGTCAGATCGAACTACAATATAGTGGTCCTCGACGATCAGCGGGGGTTAATCTTACTTGTACCTGAAAAGTACTCCAAGACCGGAAGATAATCACATTCCGCCCTATGCAATGTGCACTCTAATTTCCACACACCTTAATTTGCTTTCTTCTGGGCATTATCGAACCTGTGGATACACATTGTGGGACTTTAGTGGCAACAAAGTAGAGAAATCTACGGAACGACCGATGTACGATCTAGACTAGTAGTATCATAGTATTATTGTCCCTGTGGATACGGATTAATGAAACCTGAAGGATGAGTATGAAATGAAAGCGGGTAGATCCTTAAATAACCATGCCATACTCATCTGTCATAAGATAACAAAGAACAAGCAAGGCCTTTGTCGACAAATCCGTGGAAATCGAGCATATATAGACTTGATCTATAAGGCTATGAAAGACCTCATTGTTATGGAGCTTTGTCAAAGACTGGCAAAGGCCACTGTAGATTGTCTCGGTTGCCAACGTATAGAAGGCCGTGGTTCCCTCACGTTTCTCTCATAATCCACAGGGAGCTATTTTTTTACCACCAATCAGCCAATCAAGAAGGACTTTTCTACTATTTTACAGGATGACGTCCGATTGTAAACTTCAAGCCAGTGTGTTCATGAATGACAGGGGCCGAATCGCAGATCCCCACGACGACATGCCAGATTATTGCTGGGTTACAGCGCATTTGCCCGAGAGTATGTCGTGTGGTGGACAAAGCGACGAGGAGATTCTGAACCTTGTACTATGCAGGATCCAGATTGGAAATGTCATCATTGGTGATTGTGCCTTGCATAGCTTAGGGTTCTATTGCCTTTCATTGCCGGTAAAAGGCATTCCCGGGGAGAACGCCGGCCAAGTTTTATCTCACGCTGAAACTCTCACCGAATGGTGGCTCAAGCAAGTTCGCCTAGGTAGAGTCTGTCTTGACCAGTACAGTATTTTTGAAGCCACTGCGCGCACTCTGGAGCATACTAACAGCCTAGAGGATGTCCCCCACATATGCAACCAGTCCTGATAACCCATCAGTGTTTTATAGATTATTACCGCCCATGGCATGGGATTGGCGTATCTTAATTGTTTTTTTGGAGAACGGATATTCGGAATATAGCAATTGGTTCCGGTGGTCGGTGATCGACTAAAAGGATACCCAAGAGGGCATGTCGCAAGCGTAAAACGTGGGGGCGGAGAGCTCGGATAGTCTCATAGTTTAAATCTCAAAGGTTCGGTCTGCAACGATATTTAGAGCATTCTATTCTGTAGAACCTGTGGTTTGTGGCGTACTACGTCAATCCAACTTTTATATACTCCACTGGGGTAGAGTCAACAGAAGGGCTTGTTGTATCTCTACAAAGAGTCATTATATGGGTATTCTACGATCTTATGATTGCTTTGTATCACCGCAACGGCAAATCTAGTATCCATAGCCAATTCGATAATGCAATATAGACGAGATGATCAGCAGGTTCAGATACCGTTGAGATTGTAAAAGTTTCCGAACTTTCCTTCTGCAGAGATCTCCCATTTAGCCCCACAAAAGCAATTTAATTTCGTGGCCAACGAGGTCCTCTATATCCATTCATGTGCATAACTCTGCAGGTTCTACCGCAACGAATTAGAAACAGCTAGAAACGTCATGCAATGCTTCCGCCGAAGAAAGGTTCTGACACATCACGCCGTGCAAGATACAATTACAAAATATTGCAAGGTACGAAACAGCTGTGATTATGCTCTAAGCGAGGGAACTATATGATCACCTTCAATCTGTAACTCACAGGCAACTTACGGGAATTAGACTGCAGATCGGGTAGAATGCCGGGTAGACACCCGGACACACAGAATTGATGATTCGACATATGGGGGTAGTGGAGCCAGTTTACTTGCTGTGAAATATGGACCTGGTAGATCAAGCTTTGCCTAATATGGAGGAGACAACATGGAAAGTTGGTTTTGTCACAGCTTTTTCAGGGGATCTTATCGACCCTGACGCCCCAGTTGGGGTCCCAATTCTAGTACTTTGACCCCCAAGCTACCAAGAGGTGCATAGCTCATACACGGCTATTTGCGCCCTGGCCCGCTGTAATGCTGATCTCCACACTTGTTGGCCAATGTGCTGGAAGACCGTTCTAGTCTAGTCTAAAGACGATGAGTGGAGAAGCATATCCCGATTAATGCTCTGTATCTAGTTATCCTGATCGTGCGTTTGTATATTTCTTTTTACGTTAGATCAATATTTGCAGAGTTGCCCCATTCTTCCTTCGGTGTTCTATTCTTGGATCTCTTTCTTTTAAGGGCGGACATTAGACTCGCCCCAGCGATTATATCCTCAAACCTCTCCATGCTATCCCTCCCTTGCCCCACAAGGAGACGCACGGCTCATATACGTTTCTTCTGCCAGAAAGATGTCAACCTTTCTTGATAAGGCTGCCAGCAATGGGCGGTGGCAATTCATCGACTCTTCGAAGAATAGGCGAACCAACTTAACCCAAGTGAAGCGTCACGTTATGCAAGAATATATGCGCCAGAAGAAAGGCGGCACTCGCCAAAGTGAAAGTGAAGAAGAGGCACCACAAGCAAAACGTGGGGAGCGCAGGAAGACTCGGGGTGCACAACGAAGGTCAGAGAAGAAAGCGAATTCAGACGGTGACAACAAGAACAACGAACCCCGAGTGAGGAGATCAACCAGGATCCAGCAAGCTACACGCAGAGAAGATCTCAATGGTGAGGCTAACTGCGATATGTTTGTTTTGGATTCTATCTCATCGGATCCTCCGTTGATTGAATCTAATGATATGCCTCGGTTTCCTCCACGGTCATCTTCTGTCCAATCTCACGATGTTCCTCTTCTACTAGACGACTTTATTGATGTAAATCCACAAAGTTGTCCGAGCTATGATCTACATCTCAACAATTTCTCATGGCCACCACCCTCCATGCTCCCATATCAGTTCGTGCCATCGCCAACTACTATGATCAGCGATGCGCAATTCGACACATTCAATACTCTTCCTATAGAGTTGGAGCGAGGTGCACACGGAATATTTGACTCCTATGTGGACGATATGCCAGCCTCCTCCTATGAAACCCATTACCAGTCACCCATGGCCAACGACTGTTATACACCGACTTTTGTGTCTGGGATAATCAAAGGTACTGTTGCATTCCAAATTACCCTTTCTAGTATATGCAGCTAATTCTTCGTGATGAAGACGAAACCCAAAATCCCCTTGTTCATAGCGATCCTGCTGTCTCCGTGCTCCAGGAGCACCGCTCCGACAACCCTCACGAAATCTCCGATGATGCAATCATTTCCTGTCTGAATACCGCAGCCTTGGAGGATTCTGATCCCCGACTAGGCCACAAGGAAATAAGCCAGGTGCACATGCGAGACGCACGCGAGATGACCAACTGGCAGAACTATATCTTGCCGGGAGATGAGACCTTCTTCTATGATTATGACCAACATGCGCCAGCCTCATCTGAGACTTTACCACCAGCACCCCAGCCCACTCTAAGCCCCCGCTCAATGCTATCTCCGCTATATTCCACCTCCTCGGGCTTCTCAGAAGTCAGCCCCGAACCTCAACCAACATTCCCACCTTACTCAGAAGCGATCCCAGCGGATGAGATCCAGTATGAAGAATTATTCGACTTTCTCCGATCCTGTGAGCAGCTTGCCGTATATTGATGTGACAACCCCCAATCATTGGACATGATCCGACACAGGGCAGTCCAAGAAACATCCATCCTCCATCAAATCCTCGCGGCACCCCAAGCGCCCGATGCAACACATTAGATGACCAAACACAAACGGTCGCCCATTTCACAGCGTTAATGACACTCAACAACTACCGCGATGTGGGATTAGTAAGAGTACTGCAATACCCTAGCGCGTGTAGCAATCTTGCTCGCTCGAGAAATCCGTGGATGACAGCGAAGTCGAGATGAATGGCTGCATTTGACGCCATTCTCCAAGCCCTGCTTGAACGCAGTGACGGCCCACCAGTGCCGCCGGCTTTGCTCCTGCTGCCTCAGTAGAGGAGCTCTCGGACTTCTCTGGGTACTTATCGACTCTGGGACGCGGGTCTTCGTCGTGGGATCCTCGATGCACTCATTCATTGAGTAATGTATAGCACTGGCCTGGACCAGATGACTTGTGTTTTTTTTATGTTTTCATGTTTATGTTTATGTTTATGTTTTCTACCCTCTTGTATCACTCTTTCACGGTTTCTTGTCTTGTATATACCCTTGCTATCCCTTATAATATACCGTGAACTATCGATGGAATTAGATGATTGTGAAGTGACAGGGCTAAAGGATATGTGTTAATCATAAATGATGGTCGTGAGCACTATTCGCCCCATGGTATCCCTCGAAGTATAGCATGCACCCCATCACCCATTCTGCGTGAGATGCGCAAGCCAATGGAAACCGTGGACAAGATCAATTGCTGCATAGATGACGTAGCATCAGAATACGCATTAATAGTGCAACGTTTTATTTTGCAACAGCTAGACATCTATGGATGAACATGACTTATGTATGAATATCGCAGGATTGGTTCCAGATGAATCTCGGGAAGCTCCATTCGGCCGTGCCACTATTCCTAGGTAGGCAAGTGGGCACGTGCCCAGGTGGATACGTGGTTTAATCTTTTTAGCGACAATGAATGTGAACTTTTTTTGGCTATTGAGATATCTGTAAGTCAACGGTTCTGTTAATGTATTTTGTCGAGAGCTCTTCAAGTATCGGACAGCGGCAATTGAGCTTTTTCCTTTGCGCCTGAAGATGAGACTGATACTTTGACAAGGGTCTGCATTAGTACAGATCTGCTTGAAGTGGTCTGTGCGTTTGATGCCTGAATCTGTAGATGTTCACGCCTATTTAGTCGGCGGTTTCTTAATTTCCTTGGGCCAACGCTAAAAATAAAAAAGATTCTTCCAATTGCCCATGGCGCCTTCGAAGGTTCCAAGGTTCCAAGGTTATTACGCCTCCAACCAAAGTGTTGGGAAAAGCGCCCTTTCACATGCAAATGGCTTAAGTGGGGCCAACCTTGGAAGTCACATGTGATTTCTTCATATTTGTTGAGGCTTGACATCATATAGCTTACATGAAGAGGAATGTAGAAAGAGGACTATAGCAGAATTAACGGGATATTCAATATTCTAATTAGAAGAAGACCTAAATGGTTGACATGGAAGTAGACGGTATCGGAGTCACGATAAGAAGCCCGTTCCCGGAGAACCCCACGCGAATACGGCCCTGGAAGGTTAATAGGTTCCATTGCTCGAAGCTCTTGGAATCTCAACAAAATTTCGTCTTTCCTCGTTCTTCTCTTTACCATCGACGTACATCGACATTCCCTATGACCACAACTTTACAATCATATCTTTTTTAGTTCCTTATTTTGTCCTGTATACCCCTTTTCCGAAACAATGGCCATCCTCGATATCACTAAGGATTTGCCCACACTATTTAAGCGACAGGTACAGGCAACCCCAGATGCCATCGCTCTGGAAGACGAGACCACGACATATACATATACCCAGCTGGATGAAGAGGTTGAGGCTCTTGCCAGTCGCTTACGGACCTATGGAGTGAGCCGGGACACCCTCGTGGGTGTGCTCCTACCTCGCAGCGCACATTACGTGATTGCCTGTCTGGCAGCGCTCCGTGCGGGTGGTGCGTTCCTTGTTCTCGAATTGGCTTACCCCGCGGACCTCTTGGCGGATGTTATCGAGGACGCTAGCCCCGCCGTGATTATCACCCACAAATCTGAGACCGACAAAATCAAGGCGCCCGTCCCCGTAATTGCCTTGGATGGACCCATTGCCGAGATCAATGGACACGCCAAGGAACCTTCTCCGTTGCCCGCAGATGACGATTTGGACCGTTTGGCGTTTGTGTCCTATTCGTCAGGCACAACAGGCAAGCCGAAAGGAATCGCCAATCCACACCGCGCCCCGGTACTATCATACGATTTGAGATTTGCAGTGCAGGACGTACAACCGGGCGATCGAGTGGCCTGCAATGTCTTCTTCATCTGGGAGATGCTGCGGCCGCTACTGCGCGGAGCTACCGTGGTTATCGTGCCCGATGAAACGAGCTATGACCCCGCAGCTCTGGTTGACCTGCTCTCGGCTAAGAAGGTCACTGAAACCCTCATGACACCCACACTCCTGGCTACCGTTCTTTCACGCTATCCCCGGTTCGGTACTCGTGTGCCTGATTTACGCATCATCTGGCTGAACGGTGAGGTGGTGACAACCGATCTTGCCCGCAAGGCCATCAAAATTATTCCTAATGCCCGCTTGCTTAACTGCTACAGTGCGTGTGAAACGCATGAGATTGCCTGCGGAGATATCCGTGAGATGGTTGATGGCGACTCCATTTACTGCCCAGTCGGCCCATCGATTGTTCCTGCACACACCTACGTTCTAAACGAGGATGGACAGGAGGTGGAGACGGGCACATCGGGAGAACTCTTCATTGGAGGTCCTTTGTTGGCCCGCGAGTACATTAACCTTCCCGAGACCACTGCAAAGGCTTTCCTTCCAGACACCTTTGATTCCACACCCGGTGCTCGTATGTACAGAACGGGCGATCTAGCCCGCAAGCTGCCTTCCGGATTCCTCGAGATCACCGGCCGCGTCGGCGCAATGATCAAGCTGCGCGGATATTCGGTTGTGCCGGCAAAGGTCGAAAGTGACATCTGCCAATACTTGGCTGTTAGTCAGTGCGTTGTCACTGCGTACGGCGATGGACTGGAACGACAACTGGTCGCATATGTTGTTGCCGATAAGGAGGCTTCCTCCGATCGCCCTTCGGTCGTGATCAACGAGTCCGGCCACTCCCCCAGCTCGCGTCGTGTCCTCGAGAACCGTCTTGCCCAATACATGATCCCAGCTCTCTGGGTTGCACTAGACCAGTTGCCTACTAACGAGGTCTCTGGCAAGGTTGATATGAAAAATCTCCCTTCGCCTCGTAGCTCTAGTCCCAATGGCAGCGAGAAAAGCACAGGAAAAGACCCGATCGGTCTCCATGACATTGCGGCAATCTGGGAGGCTGTTCTGAAAGTCTCAAAGAGCCTGATTAAGGCCGAAGATAATTTCTTTGATCTGGGTGGACATTCCTTGTCTCTGGCTGATCTGTCATCCAAGCTTTCCAGACGTTTCGGCTTCCGTGTTCCTATTCCTCGTCTTGCGGAGAACACTACTCTTTCCGGCCACTTGGAGACTGTGCGTGCTGTCAGAGATGGCCACACTGAAGAAGTGCAAGCAAATCTGCCCGCTGTCTTGCTTTCCGATTCCACACTGGACGAGGACATTAAGCCCACGAATACTGCGTTCACTTCAATCAGCTCGGCTGAGACGGTGCTTCTGACTGGTGTGACTGGTTTCCTGGGCGCTTTCTTGCTCAATGATCTGATTGAGAACACCTCTGCTAAAATCATCTGTCTTGTGCGTTTCAGCGACCCCGAGCAGGATGATCAAGCCGGAGGTGTGGCCCGAATCCGCAGGAACCTCCTAGATATGGGACTCTGGCGCGATTCTATCCTGGAGCGTCTCGAAATCTTACCAGGAAACCTTTCCCGGCCTCGACTGGGCCTGAGTCCGGAGGAATTTGACAACATCGCGGCTCGTGTCCAAGTAATTGTTCATGCTGCAGCCACTGTCAACCTTGTTTACCCCTACGCTGCACTTCGGGGAGCGAACGTTGGTGGAACCAGAGAGATTCTGCGTCTCGCCGCTAAGGGTGGCGCGACCGTGCAGTATATCTCTACCAATGGTGTCTTGCCCCCATCTGGCGAGAAAGGCTGGCCCGAGACTACTATACTAGATATAGAAGATGTCCCCAAAAAGCTACTCGATGGCTATGGCCAGACAAAGTGGGTTGCAGAGCAGCTCGTTCTCAAGGCTGGTGAGCGTGGATTGCCAGTCAAAATTCACCGGTGCGGTACCATCAGTGGTCACAGTGTCACAGGCTCCGCTAATGCGTGGGATTTGCTCACTGCATTGATTGTGGAATCCATCCAGCTTGGATACGCCCCAGAGGTGGACGGATGGCGTGCCGAGATGACCCCTGTGAACTTTGTCAGCAAATCCATTGTGCACCTTGCCACTCTGACCCAGGCAGACCAAACGGTGTTCCATCTCGGAGACCCTACGCCGGTCGATACTCGGTCGGTCTTTGAGGACCTTAAAGAGCTTGGTTATGAGACGAAACCTCTCCCATGGGATCAATGGGTGGCCTTGTGGTTCGAGAAGAGAGGCTCGGCCAAGGGTGGTGATGGTTCGTTTACCGTCGATATTCTTCGCAGTGGCATGCCGACTGTCGAGTTCCTCCGAGATATCGTGGTCCTTGATAACGCTTTGACCAGGCCTTTCCGGGCCGTTATCGAGCGTCCCAAGGTGGACAGCCTGTTGCTGGAGACCTACACTCGGCACTGGTTTGCGCGAGGATGGCTACCCCGGCCCCCATCTCGTCAGAATGCCCTCAACCGACCCAACGGGGTTTCAGTGAAGGGGCCACTCAGCGGTCAAGTCGCCGTGGTGACTGGTGCTTCTTCAGGCATCGGTGCGGCGGTAGCAGCCGCCCTAGCCAAGCAGGGTTGTGCTGTAGCACTTGGCGCTCGACGCCTGGATGCTCTTGAGAGCACCAAGCGCAAGGTCGAAGTCCACGGCGTGAAGTGTATCCTCCGATCAACCGACGTCACAAGCAAGACTCAGGTGGAAGCTCTCGTTCAAGCAGCAAGTGAGGAGCTCGGACCAGTGGATATCTTGGTTGCATGCGCTGGTGTCATGTACTTCACCATGATGGCAAACACGCAGACGGACGAGTGGGAGCGCACAGTCGACGTCAACTGCAAGGGCCTTTTGCACGCTCTTTCGTCAACAGTGCCTAGCATGCTCTCGCGCGGCCGCGGCCATATTGTCGCCATCTCCTCCGATGCCGGACGAAAGGTCTTCCCTGGTCTAGGTGTGTACTCGGCTAGCAAGTTCTTCGTCGAGGCCACCCTCCAAGCCCTCCGCCTCGAGACTGCAGGCGCTGGCTTGCGCGTGACGAGTATCCAGCCCGGCAACACCTCCACTGACCTACTGGGCATGTCGACGGACGCTGAAGCCGTCAAGAAATTCGGAGAGCCATCCGGAGCCAAGATCCTCGATCCTTCGGATGTTGCCAACTCCATTGTTTACGCCCTGACGCAACCTGAGCATGTCTCCGTCAACGAGATCCTTGTTGAGCCTCGTGACGAGCCTATTTAAGCAATATTGGCCATTTACCACATGTTTTATTGGGGTTTGTATAACTTGCTGTTAAAGTATTTGCTGCTCGCTAGTTGTGATTTAGACGGTCTGATTTGACTCACAAAAAATAGACGGCCACATAGAGGTAGAAGTGGTATACTGTATAGACTATTGAATACTGAATTTCCACACGCGCTTTGCCCATGCAACTTGAACCCATATGCTCTTCTCATAAGCTGACGCGTCAACATTCGGATCTATGGAACCAAAGCAGCCGATAGCCCTATGCTATTCTATCTTCCATCCTATACCTACCCCATTAAACCCCAGATCCATAGCCTCAATCCCCCCATCAAAGTCCAGCACATCCAAATTCTGGGCAAAAGAGTGCAATCATTCGACTTGACCCTACACGCATCGATCGTCAGCACCAAATCCACCCCACACTCGAACCGAAGTCCCAAACTCATCAAAGCAAAGCCCTCACAGACGAAACACTACACCTAGTTGGTGATTGACTTTACCCATTGTGATAGTCATTTTGGTCTTAATTGAGACAATTTTTGCTATCAATAATGCATTCAAGCTGCTGAAAATGCTGGTGGATCTAGTTGCCTATTTCGGACGTGGGTCTTGGTATTCCCAAAGAGGCAATTTGGTGGAACCTTGAAATCTTCCTTTTCTAATCTTATTGCGAAGTAGACGGAGTAGCGCGATTTGATTCCAAGGAAATCACATCGAAAACATAAGATGTTCTCTTCGTGAATACTTCATTTCATCAATTCATATCATAAATCTTACATCGTACAATCTAAACCGCCTTAGTTTCAATATCATTCCCAGACCCACTGTGACTGCTACCGATACTAGCAGTGTCATAAGTAGGATGCTCATAAGTAGGATTCATCGACAGCGGATGCAGTCCTTGGCGCCGAATCTGCGAGCGCGGCGTAATAGCCACCGGCGTCTTCTCGTCAACAAAAGAGCGCTCCGACTGCTCCTCAACAAACTTTGCCGTGAAAACATCCTCGACCTCCTCAAGAGAACAACCCGCAGTCTCCGGATAAAAGGCCCAAACAAGTACCATCGCCGCCCAATTAAACGCGACAAAGCAGTAGAAATAATTAGACCCGATATTCGTCAGTGCGATAGGCGAGCACCGCGCGAAGACAAGACTAACACTCCAGTTCGCAGCGGTCGCCATCGACGAGCCGCGCGCACGGATAGGCGTGGGGAAGACCTCGGACTGGTAGATCCAGGAGATCATGCCTAGAGCCGTGAAGAAGAACGAGAAGACGAAGAACATGGCGATGGCAGCGCGCAGGGCATGTGGGTTGGCGTTGGGGTCGTTGAAATCGATGTACAGCGCGAGTGTGGCTTCGATGCATAGGGCTGCGCCCATGCCGAAAAGGGATGGGATGAGCATTTTCCGGCGCCCGACTTTGTCGACGAATAGCATGAAGAGCGTGTTCCAGAGCTGCGCCAGCGCGCTCCAGAGTCCGATTACCATTAGGGATGTTGATTTTGTGAGGCCGAGCGTTTGGAAGAGGCGCGGGCTGTAGTTTGAGATTACGTTTGTGCCTGAGCACTGGGTGAATACTTGCAAGCCGCAGGCTAGGAGGATTCGGCATTGCCACCGTGGGGAGAGGAGAAGGTGGCGCCAGGACCTTACGGCGAAGTGCTTCTCGGATGCTAGGCTCTCTTGGATTTGGAAGAGCTCGTGTTCGAGTAGCTGGTTGTTGGTTGCGTTTCGGTTGAGGTGGAGTCGGGCGAGGACTGAGCGACCTTCCCCCTCTCTACCCTTTTCGATGAGCCATCTTGGCGATTCGGGAAGGAACCAGATGCCACAGATGAGAATTATTGCTGGTATGACTGGAAAGGAGAGTGGAAAACGCCAGGAGAAGGCTCCACCTCGGAGAGTACACCCGTATCCCACCCATCGCTTGAAACCCTGTCAGCTGGATCGTATCTAGGTAGGAAATCCCGGCGATTACTCACAGCAACCAGGAAACCTAAGCCAAGCATCCATTGTTGCATACTAGCCAGCATTCCCCGAATCTGTGGCGGGGCAACCTCGCTCTGTGCTCACGTCAGACGAGGCTTAGCAGCTGGGCCGTGTATCAACCTACACAATAAACGGGGATAATGGCAGACATCTGCCCAATTGCCAGACCCGCGATGCATCGACCGGCGATAAGCATGGCGATACTAACTGCGCCTCCCTGGAGGCCAGCACCCAGAGTGGCAAGCAGACCACCGATAAAGAGGACCATTCGGCGGCCATAGTAGTCCGAGACATATGACGCGAGCATCGAGCCCACGATTGCGCCTCCTGATCACTAAGATTAGATCCGGGTCGCGGCAAGATGCAACGAAGATGAAGTCTCACCGGTATACGAGGAAATAATGCCCCCGGCGACGGCATCAGACAAAGCAGGAGACCCGAACCGGCGCAGAAAGGCCTCCTGCTCGATACTAGAAGAGATCACGCCCGAATCATAGCCGAACAGGAATGATCCCAGCGCGGCGAAGGCGCAGCAGAAGGTGACGAGGTAGAAAGTCATAGTATGTATCGCTTTGTCCCATAGCCTGTGGAAATCGGCATAGGACGAGACGAGCCATATAAGGCCGAGGCAGCGAACGTCGCGAGAAAGTCGCGTTGGCGTTGTTATACATGCCGATCCACCTTGGGGAAAGTGGGACGTGCCACAGGGGCTAATTTCAAATGGAATGCCATGCCCGATGCGAGGGATCGCCAGGATCGATGGCTAAAAGGAAGTGGATAGTTAATAATAGGCTAATTGATAATTCTGAACGATTATGACGCAGGTGACTTGGCGAACAATGTTATATACTCCGTGTGGAGCACTATGATGAGGCTTATCGGAAACCCGAACTTCGGAGGCCTCAAAATAGATTGTCGTTTATAGGTCATTTCGAGGTTCGCATTCCCCCTGTTTCGCGTTCCAGGACTGTCGAAGCTATTTGCCGCATATTGCCTTGTTTCAACGGACCCCTTTGCATGGCAGATCCCTTCGTGATGGCAGCGCAAGGGCGTTCAAGGGTCCAGGCGTGTACTTTGTACCTTGCAACGGCAATTCCTGTTACGCAGGGAACAAGAATAGAAACGGAGGGCTCCGTACTATTGTCGCGATAGTCGAATCACACAAATAGAAATGAGGAACCTTGGAAGTATTATTAGTTCCCAGACGATCACCCTTTTCTGTGCCGGGATACTCCGTCGATGGATGATATATGCCAGAACCGGTAATATCTTACTCAAACAGGCTCATCTGAGGCTGATACGAGGTAGTCATGAGTGAACTAGCCCCAGCACGCCTATTAATAATTCAAACGCTGCCGTTCGCTTTGCAATCCCATATACAACACATACATGGAAGTCGGCGAATTGACCGGGGGCTAGACGAATGGGGCAGTGGAGCCGGGCTAAGACCTGGGAGATTCGGCCTGTTATACATTGAAAAGGCCGAAAATGCCTCAAATTAAAGGGAAAAGAGCGAAAATTCTGGAAAAAAGGAAAATGACGGCGGAACTTTATTTGATCGGTGTCGCCCATATGAACCGCCGATATCCACCAACCAGTCATAAGGCGTGCGACTCTGAATGACTAAACTATAGTGTCAACTCGCTTGAATTTTGACCTCGGGAACTTGGCCGTTCTTTTTCTCCAAGATATATACATTGGGATATCCTGGACTCTTGGGATATATAATCTTTCCTCACACCGCCCTCGGGAATAATCATTTCATCATCGTCGATCTCCATTTCCCCCCCTCAAGACCCTAGTCCCCCTCAGACCCTTCAACTACTCCAAATTCTAGCGAACTTTTTTTTTTCACCACCGAGACTTCGATCGACATTGTCGGACTTGGCATAGGAATTTTCAGTCTTCGTTCGTGACTCTACTTATCTTACAACTGTCAATATAGGGCCGTCCATGCCCTAGTGATATTTGGTCATATAGTGATAGTATTCACTTTGAATTGCCCGCCAAGATCCATATTCATCTTTACATGACTCCGTGCATTCTACGCACCTCAGATATCCAGTCATGGCGACTACGACGAGCCCTCTTTCTGGCGAGAATGAGGAGGATCCCGCGCCCATGACCGACTTGAAGTATTCGCATGATGACGATCACCACGATACTCCTACCCCTGATGCCACCATCATGGACTCCAAATCACTGCCGGCGCAGAAGAGACGGCGCGTTGGCCGCGCATGCGACGAGTGTCGTAGGAAGAAAATCAAGTGCGATGGCAAACAGCCGTGTACTCATTGCACTGTTTATAGTTATGGTATGCGCCCCATATGTTTATATCTCGAAATTTTTCCATTTGCCCTAACAAATCTTTCTAGATTGCTCATATGACCAGCCTTCCAACCGTCGTCGGAATCCCGCCCCGCAATATGTCGAGGCCCTGGAAAATCGCCTTCAAAAAGCCGAAGCGCTACTCCGAATCGTTCTTCCAAATGTCGACCTCGATGATCCACAACTAGACCTGCATGCGACAGAACAGAAATTCACAGCCGCGCAAAAATCAAAAGCGACGGAAGATGTCAGACCGTCAGGCGCACTTGACCCGGCGCAAGAAGGCGCAGACGAGGGACTACTCGAAACCATGGTCGATAATTCGGGCTGCTTAGATCGAGATGACCAAGGCCATTGGGATTATCACGGTCACACCTCGGGCGTTCTCTTTGTTCGCCGGTTGCGCAAACAGCTGGGCGCCGCGGATATTACAGCGCCTATGGCTCGATCGCGCCCCTCGATAAGTGCGCATATGATGGATAGTCCGAAGTCTGTGTCCGAGTCGCCTCAAGATTCAACATTACCTCCCACACATGACCTGCCGCCGCGGGCGGCTGCGCGCCGTTTGTGCCACAATGCGATCGATCATGCCTGCTCCTTGATGAAATTTGTGCATATACCCTCTTTTTTTGCAAGTCTGGAGCGCATTTACGATACTCCCCCGGAACAATTCACAAACCAAGATCACTCCTTCTTGCCGCTTTTATATATTGCCATTGCCGTTGGCTGCTTGTTCTCGGACGATGAATCAGGACAGGGTACCTTGGATTTGGCTGGCTACGAAGGCGCAATAGGCCAAGGGTAAGTCATGGTTAATCTGTATTGATTTTGGCACCGCCTAATTTCTTTGACAGGTTCCAATTCTTCAAGGCCGGTCGACAACTACTGGAGATCACTGACTGCCGTGACTTGGTTTCTCTACAAGCAATCTGCTTTATGGTTCTCTTCCTCCAATCATCCGCGAAGCTGAGCACATGCTATTCATATGTGGGAATTGCACTTCGTTCAGCACTGCGATTAGGTCTCCATCGCTCTGTTGCGGCAGACTTCAATCCCCTCGAACGAGAGCTTCGAAAGCGCATCTTCTGGGTCGTTCGGAAGATGGACATCTACGTGAGCACATTATTGGGTCTTCCCCAGATCCTGAGTGACGACGATATCGATCAAGAGTACCCAATGGAAGTTGATGGTGATTTCATCACTTCCGAAGGAATTACTCAACCCCCGTCTAACTATACACCGTTGATGGCTGGATGCAATGCACACACTCGTCTTTCCAACATCATCTTAAAGGTGGTGAAATATATCTACCCAGTCAAGAATGCTCGCTATCGCTCGAAGTCAGACCAGCGATACATGGTCAGCCACTCCAAAATCCGGGAGATCGAACGAGATCTGCAAAATTGGATGGAGGAATTACCCCCTGCTCTGCGACCGGGCACAGAAGTGTCGCCCCAGCTAGAACGGTAAGTCCAGTCTACAGTGGTGCTCGGAACTAATTTAGCTAACATAACTAGTGTCCGGCAATTGCTGCGTATAAGCTACGCCCACGTCCAGATGGTCATGTACCGCCCATTCCTCCACTACGTCACCGGCGGTTCGCAAGCGCGTGGCGTAGACAAGCGATCATATGCCTGCGCGGCAGCCTGCGTCAGCGTTTCCCGAAATATTGTTCACATCACGACCGGAATGCAAAAGAGAGGACTGCTCAATGGATCCTTCTGGTTTACCATGTATACGACCTATTTCGCTATCCTCTCTTTGATCTTCTTCGTGCTTGAGAACCCGGATTCGCCCACAGCCAAAGATGGCGTCCTGAAAGATGCCATGGAGGGCAAAAATACTCTAGCCGGATTGGCCAAGAAGAGTCTTGCTGCCGACCGGTGCTCTCAGAGCTTAAACGTAAGTTCTTCTATCTAATTTGGAATGTCCTTGACTAATTACAATGCAGTGCCTGTTCAAAACATTGCCCGAGATGTTGAAAAATCGCCAGAGCTCAAAGACCCCTGTCAATCTCAAGCGCCCCGCCCCATCCAACACCGCCGAGCCTGAGCCGAACAATGCCGAACCTCAGCCGAAGCCATCCTTCGAGAAGACGCTGCCAGTTCGGTCAAGCACTTTTCCAGTGCAAATGATGTCACAGCCGGCTGTCGCCGATGATCAGAATCGCCGGCAACGAAGTGTGGACAATGTCCAGCCTGTGACCAATCGCCCTGCGGCTGATATTCATCACCAGTCCACATGGATTTCAACCACGCCTGACCTACTAACAGAAACCATGACAACCCCGGAACATATTTCTTCCTCCAGCATGACCTCCTCCATGCCCAATCAAGAGCCATCAAGTCTAGCATGGGCTCAGCAATTCACCAATCCATCCAACCTCCCAGATCTCATGCCAATGATGTTCCCATCGGACGATCCATTCGCGTATCCAACACAGCCCATGTCCACCTTGGAAGATGCTCACTTCCGGCACGACCCTGCAGGTATGCCGTCACAGTATTCCTTCGATTCAGCCCCAGGCATGGGGCCCACCACACCAGTGGATCCCTCCAGCGCAGGGGGCACTCCCACCTTTGACTTTAAAAACATACCGAACTACCCCATCACAAATTCCGCAGGGATGAAGTCATCAGTGCCAAGCCACCTCCGCCCCTCCCACTCCCGAACTTCGTCCCGCGTCCACTCCCCAATATCGCAGAGCCAGACTCCGACAGATGCGAGCAGCAGTTCAGACCTGGTCTCAATCCCGAACCAGAATTTCGTCTGGCAGGGCTACAATTTCCAGGCCAACATCGCAACTGACATGGCACCTGAAACCGCACCCCAACAGCAAGAGATGCCCGCTCCAAATGGATTGCCTCCTTTCAGCATGGGCATCGATGAGAATATAGGCATGAATATGGATCTAGGGATAACCTTTGATGATCTGTTTGGCAATAATGCTGCCTATCGGCCGGGCAGCGGGGCGTCTGCTGAGGATTGGGCTCAGTGGATGAATGCTAACAGCATTTAACCTTGGTCTGGTTTGCCATATTCGTTTGCTGTGCCTTTTACGAGGATATGCTATTATGATGCCCAAAATCTTGGTGTAACAACTGTTGATATTTGGTTGGGGTTAGGAGTCTCGCTTTTCTTTTGCAATTATAAATGTATACCGGATTTCTATACCCCCTGATGTGTCTTGTTTGGTCCATTATTGATTCAATGGGAGTAAGAGCGAGATAAGTGAACATTCTATGTGCTTTGGTATAGTTGCATCAAGTACTGGATCAACCCTTATCCGACGACGTTCCTTCCCCAACCAGCCCTCAAATCTCAGTTTTTCCCTTTCAATACTTGCGAGCCTACAGGCTGCACGTGTTGTAAAGCTGACTTCGTGTCAACATGTCTTTTGAGACCCTGAAATCCGCATGGAAAGTTATCCCAATGTTTCAATCACGCTCCATCCCTCTACGCTGAGCAGCTCAGTTCGGGACCAGCGTAGAACCAGTAAGGCTCACCCGAGCAAACATTCTACTCCTTATTCATCGACAGAAAATCACGACGCTAACTTCTACTTCTCAGGGGCAATATGTGGGGATTCAACCCGTCGCCGGCGATAATTGCCGACCTCGCTGTTAGATAGGTCCGGGCCAAGACTGAGGGAAATTCGAGCGGTCACATTTTACGGCCTTGGCCATGGATGTCTGCTAGTATTACCTTGCTTTTGAGATCCAGGTGCTGCAATGACTCCGACCCTGACGGCGATAGTCGAGCGCGCCATAAGACTCGTTGGGCTCCATTGCGATGTCTTATACCTGGTAGCTAGCCCTGTTTGATTCTATCGACAGTGTATTTCGTAGTTACAGTTAAGTACATAGGTAACTCGAACATGAATTGTTCAATCATCAATGACTCCGAAGCCAAGAAGGTCGGAAGTTTCTAATGCATGATGAAGATTGAATATTTACGGAGGAATGGAATGTTTTACTTTCTCCTTTTGGCCGAGATATCTGGGCCTTATATTCATTAGACATTCTATTGGTAACCGTATACTAAATTTACAAGGTAGGAACATGATAGGCAATCAGAGTCTGAGACTTCCCCTAACTTCTATCCCTAGTTCTTGCCACCTTGCACGTTTATATACATACCTACCATCTCTGGGTCTGTGTTTACTAGACACTAGACATCCTCTTCCCGAGGTCTTGCTAATGCTCAAGTGCTGTCCAATTGGCCTCAATTTGCAGTGGTATTCAGAACTACCATGCACTTTGACTTGGCCCTCTTCGGTCTTTGGATGCATTGCCACTTACCCCTGCTCGGATCCTTGGTCCCTGGAGATCTGGACTCTAAAATCATGTAGATCTTCGCTTAATCGGGAAAATACTATCATTTTAGGCAATAGAAGAGAGTATGCAATATTTAACTTCTAGTGTCGTGAGCCTGTTGTATATTGTTGGCGAGGGTATCGTCGGGACGTCATATCTGGTGTATGTGGCCTAGAACTATCTGAGATAACTAGCTATGATGGCCTACGTATGTCATAATGGATCTAATGGATACATTCTCCACACATAGCGGATTTGGTCACTCTTTTTTCGGCAGCTCTGGAGGACTATGTAGCGATTTCCGGCGATATAGAATATCACATTTGACTAGGCCTATCTGGGTAATGACGAACCAGATAAGCATTTCGACAGTTGTAGGCTCAATCTCTTGGCCACATATCCAGATATACTCCGTACAGCTCTTTTCCTAAATCAGCCTACGGAATAGGCTACCTGACACCAGACTTCACTCCTGATCGCCCTAACCCCGTATACCTACATATGTAGCTATTTTTCCAATGAAACCTGCTCATCGTTAACTTCGGGCTAGAGCCTAGCCTAGACCCACATACTTCGACATTTCCACCTCAACGTCCAAACCCTTTCCTTCGCAAGATGGCCTTGCAATACAACACTCTTTCTTGATCATATTCTTCTTCCATTGCCCTTGGGCCTTCATCTTTGTACAAAGACAGATCAATTGGCATCTGCAACCCTCCACCCCGGTCGCATGGAGAGCTAACAGTCCAAACCTCCTGTACATTTACTTGGCTTACAACATACATATTGCCGGGACTATTTATAGCCAATCCAATGGGGTCACTTCCAAAGCTTTCCACCGTCTTGACCTGGGCCCTCTACTTCGTCCCCTTGTATATCTTCATCCTGGACCCGGTAGTGCGCGGATTCTTCCCGAGCCTAGTGGCACCACCCAGCGACAGCGACGAGCTCTTCGATGAGTCCAGCGCACCAGGACCGGGCATCAACCTGACCGACGACAGCTTCATCAGCCCCGAAGATGGCGTGCCATTCCGCTGCGCCAGCGCCGAGGAGTACCGCGTGCATCTCCTTTCACGCGAACCGCTGATCATATACATCGAGAACTTCATCTCCGAAACCGAAGCAAACCATATCCTGGACATGAGGTAACTCACCAATCTCAACCGCAACCAAATCCCCGAGAACACGGATACCCACACAAAACACACAATATAACCAAGCTAACCGGATAACCCTCCCCTGAATCCCAGTGTGAACAAATACACCCCTTCAATTGTCTACGACGGCAAAACAGAACAGGTAGACCCGACCAAACGCCTCTCCGACCGTGCCCTCCTCGACCGCGACGACACAGTCCGCTGCCTGGAAGACCGCGCCCGCCGCTTCCAGGGCTGGCACCCGGATTTATACATCGAGCGCATGTGGGCGCAGCGCTACAATGCCTCCGGGCACTACCGTCACCACTATGACTGGGCCGGGTCGTTGGCGCGCGGGGGGGACCGCTTCAGCACGTTTATGGTGTATATCGACGCGGACTGTGAAGGTGGGGGGACGAATTTCCCGCGGTTGAGGATGCCGGCTGGGGAGAAGTGGTGTCAGTTTTTGGAGTGTGAGCAGCGGGATGAGAAGGGGAATGACATGGGGATCACATTCAAGCCTATCAAGGGTAATGCGGTGTTTTGGGAGAACCTTCGGTCGGATGGAACAGGGTACCCTGAGACTTGGCACGCTGCGTTCCCTGTGACAAAGGGGACGAAGGTTGGGTTGAACGTTTGGAGTTGGTATCAGCCAAAGCGGAGGTACCGCTCGGGAAAGTAAGGTGGCACTTGTGGTACTTGTGCGGAGCTCAGACGTCCACGTGGTTGCCTCGGGTTCGGCTGGCCAAGCCAATGGCCAAGCCATGCTCCAAGGAGGATTGGAATGCTTGGGCTAGGCCCTTGTGAAGACCTCGGGATGATTGATCCTGGTGAGTTGTATAGTTGGGGTCTGACATGTCAGGTCCAATGTTACGGATAGAATAGAATAGAAAACTAGACTAGAGAAGTATAGAATATATAGGAAATAGACAATATAGAAGCCAGAACATATGGTTACATGGCAATACCTTCAGATGTGGTGATCTAAATCCGAAACCGACCGACTCATGCATGCCGGCCGTAACAAGGGCACCAGGCAGCCAGATTAATCAGACTCGTCACACCAGAGACAAAGTTAATACGAAAGGGATATGGTCATACCAAGACTCCAAGAGTCCAAGACCTGAGTCTTGGTGCTCCGGAGCGGGAATTATTGGCAAGAGGAATCACTTGGCTGCCAAGAAGCACTGCCTATCAGGATGATTCTTGGACGTTGGCTTGGCAATATGAACCGGCAACTCTGTTTCTTTCTCGGCAACGTGATGTTTCTATGCAACATTGCCGTGCACTGGTTAATTTCAGTACTCCGCAGCAAGTGCACTAACTGATTTAGCCTCGCTTACTAGACAGGACAGGCCAGTGATAGACGGCCAGAGATCAAATCTTATTAAAATACATACCGTACTGTACCCCACGTACCATCCCCCCCGTACTGTACCCTACGGTGGTACGTGTTAGCCCTGGAATGCTCACCCACAGCCCCTCGTCCCCCCCTCGGTCCACCAGTCAAAAGCCATGGCGCCAACGCCCCTCGGTTCTGGAGGCCCGCACAGGCTCTTGGCCCGGTCTTGGTCTTCGCATTTCTCTCCTTGTCTTTCCGCTAGGCTTAGCAACGCGGTATTTTCTGGGCAAAGGCTCGGCTCCTTTTCCTCTTCTGCGGAGTCCCCGTTTTCTCTCCTTTTCTCTTTCCTCTTGTATACATATCGGGTCTTTCTTCTCGTAGTCGCTGGATCCTTTTTCTGTTTTCTCTTCTCATTTGCTTTCTAGGATTTCCGCCAACTAATCCAATTTCTTGGCATCATGACGGAGAACCATTCTCCTTCTACCCAAACAGCCGTGCCGGCGCCGGTGACTGAGCCGGCGGCCATCCAGGCGGCCATCCAGGCCACTTCACCTCCTTCCGCCTCGGTCTCAGCGACCGTCGCCGCCGCTGCTGCGGCCGCCAGTGAGCAGCTGCCGTGCCAGTGGGTCGGATGCACTGAGAAGTCACCCAATGCTGAGTCTCTCTATGTAAGTGGGATCAATCAATTCCAGAAAAAAAAAGATGCTAATAACGGATAGGAGCATGTTTGTGAGCGACATGTTGGACGTAAAAGCACCAACAATCTCAACCTGACCTGTCAGTGGGGTACTTGCAACACCACCACAGTCAAGCGTGATCATATCACGTCCCACATCCGTGTTCACGTGCCGCTCAAGCCTCACAAGTGTGACTTCTGTGGTAAGGCTTTCAAGCGACCTCAGGATCTGAAGAAGCATGTCAAGACCCATGCCGACGACTCGGAGATCCGCTCTCCGGAACCGGGCATGAAGCATCCGGATATGATGTTCCCTCAGAACCCTAAGGGTTATGCTGCTGCCACACATTACTTCGAGAGCCCTATCAACGGCATCAATGGGCAGTATTCGCACGCACCGCCCCCACAGTACTACCAGCCACACCCCCCACCTCAGGCCCCCAACCCGCATTCCTACGGCAATGTGTACTATGCCCTGAGCCAAGGACAAGAGGGAGGTCACCCTTATGATCGTAAGCGTGGATACGATGCGTTGAACGAGTTTTTTGGCGACTTGAAGCGCCGCCAGTTCGACCCTAATTCCTATGCCGCGGTCGGCCAGCGTCTGTTGGGTCTGCAGGCCCTTCAGCTTCCCTTCCTCAATGGTCCCGTGCCTGAATATCAGCAAATGCCTGCGTCTGTTGCGGTCGGCGGCGGTGGTGGTTACAGCCCTGGTGGTTCCCAGGCTCCGGGCTACCACCTTCCCCCCATGTCCAATGTTCGGACTAAGAACGATTTAATCAACATCGATCAATTCCTCGAACAAATGCAGAATACCATCTACGAAAGCGATGAGAATGTGGCGGCTGCCGGCATTGCCCAGCCCGGCGCGCATTACGTGCATGGTGGCATGAACTATCGCGCCACTCACTCCCCCCCGACCCAGCTCCCGCCAAGCCACGTTACTGCAACTAGCTCAGCCCCCATGGCTGCTTCGGCCCACTCCCCATCGGTCGGCACCCCAGCTTTGACCCCGCCTTCCAGCGCACAGTCATACACCTCCAACCGCTCTCCTATCTCCATGCACCATGCTCACCGCGTGTCGCCCCCTCACGAGAGCGGCCCGGGTATGTACCCCCGCTTGCCGTCGGCCACCGTCGCCGACAGCATGGCCGCCGGTTACCCGACCGCCTCAGGTGCCGCACCGCCTTCTACCCTGAGCGGCGCGTATGACCACGACGACCGCCGCCGCTACACTGGTGGTACCTTGCAACGCGCCAGGCCGGCCGACCGTGCTGCCACCGAGGACCGCATGGATATCTCCCATGATGTCAAGGATGACGGCGAGCGCACTCCCAAGGCCATTCACATCTCGGAGAGCTTGATTGACCCCGCTCTGTCGGGTACCTCGTCTGATCCCGACCAGGAGGATGTCAAACGTACTGCGCAAGCGGCCACTGAAGTCGCCGAGCGCGATGTCAACGTTGCCTGGGTCGAAAAGGTCCGCCTGCTTGAGAACCTCCGTCGCTTGGTTTCTGAATTGCTCGAGGCCGGTAGCCTTACTGCGGAATATGGAGCGCAGAACTCTTCGGCTTCTCCGCCCGGACTCGATGCCATGGAGGGAGTTGAGACTGCCAGTGCACGTGCCGCTTCTGAGAAGCCCCAGGAAGAGCACGCCAATTCTGCAGCTGAGAGAGTCTTCTATCCCATGTTACGTGGTGTGGATGAGGACGAGGATGGGGACGCCAAGATGCCTCAGTAAATCTTTCCGCTCTTTCTGCCTTTATTGGCCGTAGCTTGTTTCACGCCGTGACGACATTTGTTTATTGCCTTCCGCTCTACACCCCCTTTCTACCTGGTCTTCTTTGTTCTTTGAAGGCTTTAATTTTTTCTTACGGAGAAATTTTCCGCTTTCTTTCTGATACTCTTCCGGTGCTTTCATCGTGCGTCGTTCCTGTTTGTATGAATATTAGGTAGCGCTCCATGAAACCCTTTGAACTGTTTAAAGTGTTTATTTACGTAAAGTGTTGCTTGCGTCTTGACTCTTTCCTGTAGACCCTTTCAAGGTGAGAAGATCCAAAGCGATGTGACCTTAGATCGACATGTCAAACCCAAAGAGGCAAATCAACATTCCAAGCTAAGCCAGATCCGGGGGATGACGCAAACGGGCAGATCTCATTTTTATTGATCTGAGAATTCGTGTATGTATGAGGGAGGGAAATCTAAATTAGCTGTTAAGACAGGTGTTAGACATGGATATGTGCATAGTAAGAACAATAAAGACAAAGAAACAGGATATCTACACCAACTGCATCCTTATGTAGGCATCATAGAACATCAACATAGAACATCTCTGCATCTGGATATGAAGAAGTTCCACTTTCTGCACTCGGAAGCATCCCAATCCCACGCTGAGCACGTGCTGGTATTGGTATTTCAGACCTATCTCCGCCTTTCGGGCAGCTTTCCCTGTATCCATACACCGTTATTACCACAAACTCCACCACTCTGTTTACGGTCACATCCCCAATCGCACTTCGGTTTCTTTTCTTACTTGTACACTTTGTTTTCCTTCTCTTGTCTTTCCTATATTCTCTCTCTTCATTCCCTTCATTCCCTTCTCCTTTCTATCCTTTTCTGCTGTGTCATACACGTTACGCGACAAGGCGGTCACCCAAACAGACGCCATTGCGCGTGTCGATCGGCCTAGGGATTATCGATAATAACATCCAGCCACACAATATCAACCTTTCGATTGGGGGAGTTTTTTGTAAAAAAAAAGATATCCAGCCTCTTGATCTTGTTTACAGTCTATCTGGGCTTCTTTTTTTTTCCTTTTTTCCTTTCCCTTTCTTCCGTGGTGGCAAATCTATGCTCCGACGTTCTTCGTTCTCTGGTTCTACCTCTGAACGGTCTTCCGATTCTGGAGGCGCTGAAATCCGATTCCAACCTTGGAAGACTTTTGTTTTTATTTAAACTGTGTTTTGCCTTTTCTCGCCTCTGCCTTGTCATCATATTTCCTCTCTAGTGCCCCGCGCTTGTTTGTGGAGTACTTCGACTCGGACTTGATTGCCTACGCAACGGGAGGGAAAAAATACTCCGGCTTTGGTTGTCTATTATATCATACCAGAGACCAGGAAGAGTGAACGTCTATACATAATGCCGCTTACGAACCGCCGCCGCGCGCGCCGCAAGGAAATTCAACTGCAAGAAACCTCCGACGCAGAGGCTCCGGACTCATCACCCAGCCGGCCATCCGCGAAGAAGCGCAAGGTGAGTTAGAACAACGGAGCGTTTAGTTTGAGACCAAATAGATCCTCGCGCAAACAGGAGCTAAGACTAGATTTCTTCTGATCCTCAGGTTGACCGCCGTACCTCCCCTCCTCGAAACGTCAAACATGAGTCCGCCGACGAAGCCGAGGACTCAACGGGCGAACACGAACCCGCTACCAATCAAGACCTCGTCGATCTAGTGATTTCATATCTGAACACCCCCCGCGAGGAACTGCGCGTCTCGCGCGACCACTCCAACACCAAGACCGAGAATACACAGCGCATCCAGGCGTATGCTAAGATTGCCGGCCGCAATTGGACGTATTACGTCAAAACACTGCATGTCAATATCGGCCGTGAACCGGACCGCGAACAGCGGGCTGTGGAACAGTCTAGCCCCGTCACAATAGCGGCTCGTGCGCTGCCAGATGTTCATGTCGACTTGGGCCCTAGCAAATTCGTGTCGAGACTGCATGCTGAGATCTTTTATGATGGCGAGGAAACCCCTGCCTGGCACATCCGGGTCAATGGCCGGAATGGTGTGCGCTTGAACAATGCAATTGTGAAGCGCGGCACCGATGCGATTCTCTCATGTGGCGACATCATCGAGGTGGCCAATACACAAATGATGTTTGTCACGCCCGGCGACGAGGCCAATATCCAGCCCAGCTTTATCGAGCGTGCGCAGCGCATTGCGAGCGGACAGGAGCCGGATCCGGCTTCGGTTGCCTGGGATGCTTCGCAGCATGCCCATCCTCAGCATTCCCAGAACAGCGAGGCTACACGACCATCTTCGTCCGGCGGGCCCTCGTTGGCGCCTGCTCCGAAGTTCAACAAGCGCCAGGTGACGCCCCCACCGCGATCGCCCGATACCGCCGGCCAGCGCACGGCTAAGCAGTCCCCGCTTTACAACCGAGGCATGATGATGGAGAGCACGGAGGAAATCGATTACAGCAAGGATTCCTCCAAGGACCTGAAGCCGCCGTACAGCTATGCGACTCTAATCGCTCAGGCTATTTTCTCGAGTGAGGAGGAGAAGCTCACGTTGAACAGTATCTACAATTGGATTATGGATAAATACGCGTTCTATCGACACTCCCAAAGCGGCTGGCAAAACTCCATCCGCCACAATCTCTCGCTAAACAAGGCGTTCCAAAAGGTTCCCCGCCGGACCGACGAGCCGGGCAAGGGTATGAAGTGGCAGATCGCAGTAGAGTATCGGGAGGAGTACCGGAAGAAGCAAACACGCAAGGGCGGCACGCAGTCATCTGCCCCGTCCTCGCCGGCGACGAAAGAGCCCCCGTCATCAGCACGCGGGACTCACGTTAGCAAAATCGACACCTCGTTCTCAGCAACAGCGAGAAAGTCGCCACCCGTTTCGTCCCCGGGCTTCAGCTCGTTTCCCGTAGCCCCGGTGGAAGCATACACACCAGAGCGTGGTTCCCGGCTCGGTCGAGGGCTCGGCTCCGACCACCCACTGCGACATATGAACCCACGCGACTACGATGAACCCTCGCCGCTCCCGTCGCGCTCACACAATCACCACTCCAGCATCTCCACGCAGGTTCAAAATAGCAGCAACAACCTGGCCCGCGCGTACGGCATGTCCGACAACGTAGCCGGGTCCCCGCCAGTCCTCTCCTCATCCTACTACAACGAAGAGCCCTCTTCGATGATTACTCCCGCCCCGCAACGGCAACAGCCCCGTCTCCCGCCCCCCAGTACCGCGCAGATCCCGTCGAAGTTCATGCCCATGAGCTCGCCCGCGCAGTTCTGGAAGTTCGCTGATATCGGGAGTACCCCTGCCCGTCCGCCGCCGGACATGAGTCCCCTGAAGGGTGAGGTCGAGGACCGCATTATCGGCGGGTTCCCGAGTAGCTCTCCCCCGCCGCCGAATCTCGTTAGTCCTAGTAAACCCGGGACGTCGAATGGACTTGGCTCCGGTCGGACTCTGCCCCCGCTCCAGTCAGATTCGGGGGATATGGGACCCAACGGGACGTCTCATGCGAGGAATGAAGAGCGAGAAGAGGAGGATGATGATGATAATGGATCGGGGTTTGATCTTGCTAGGTAGGTTTTCTTTTATACACTTGGTCGGCGCGCAGAAACTAATACTATTTTCAGAGGTTTCGAACCTATCGGCTCATACCATCGACAACTAGGCAATGCTGCCCGTGCGGCTGCTACGTGATGTTGCCTACGATGGTTGGTGCAGACTGTCTTATTCTGTGATGTACAACATGTCCACTTCCCAGACTGTGTCCATGTGTTTTACTACTTGCTTCATGCTTCATGCTTTCGCATTACGAATGGTGTTGGTGGATTTTGTCATTTTTATACTTGTGTTTTGACGGTCTGCTCGATGACATTGTCATTGGTTTGAGAGCAGAGACCGGTTCGGAGTTTTGATTTGATTTTGCCTCGGTCTGTGGACGGCGTTATTGTTTTTGTCTTTGCTTTTGCTCGTCATCCCGTTCTAGATAGCCTTGTGCACATGGGATTCAAGTCAGATGTATGATATTCTACATACAATATTTTTCAACCGCGACAGCATGTGCACAACCCTAGAGATAGTGACATTTCAAGTCGATCTAGAGTTGATCAGATAACTCTACATCATTTAGCAGCATTTGGCCAAAAGTTCTCCTCCAACCAAACAATCTGCCTCCACCACTCCAAACACCTTCCCCGCATAATCTCCAACTCCTCCGCCCCCTTAATCTGCCCCGCCATCTCATCAACCACGTCCCCAATCCGATTAACAAACTCCTCAAACTCAGCACTCGACCAATTCCCAATAAACTTCTCCCTCAACGCACCCCCATCCGCATCTTTCTTATAATCTGTATTCCGATCCTCCCGCATACACTCCGCCGCAAACCTCCAAGACCGAAGATAACAAACCTCCGTAGCCCACAACACCGCCATCCCCTCCAAGATCGAAACCCCACTACTCCCCGCCGACATGAACATATCAATGTAACCCCTAGTGGTGCGACTCGCACAGAAGAAAAGAGTCCCACACCCCTCCCCGCCCGAAGGAGAAGGGTCGATATCGCGCCCATACTCACTGAACTGCGGTCCGGGCACACAAAGCCCCCCACCAGACGGCATCTGGCACTCTCCCTGGCTCTGACACAGGCCGTGTCCGGGCGCGCCGCTCTGCTCGCCGCCCGCATTTCCCTCCCCGTCCGCTGGCGGGCCTTCCTCGTCGCCGCCCGTGATCCCCGGACAGCTTCCAGAGCCGATGGAGCAGATGCCGGCCGAGACGGTGATGTCCGAGCCTTGGCCGCAGGAGGTGAGCGAGCAGCCGCCCTCTTCAGCGGAGATGGCTGTTAGATCGAGGTTGTAGTCGTTGGCGGTTTTCTCGAAGAAGGCTAGCTCGGTGCGGATGTTGACGAGCGCGTCGATGAGTACGGTTATGGCGCTTTGTTCCGGGGTTGGGGTGTGTGTGGTCGGTGATTTCGGGTCCTGGGTTGGGAGGCGGATCTTTGAGAGGAGGAGCCCTATGTACCGGATGTAGGCTTGCGCGTAGAGTCGGTCTTGGGAGAGCCATTGGCTTAGTTGCGACTTGGGGAGGGTGCCGCGGCCTGCGGAGGCGAGGAAGCGGTGGGTTGTTGCGCGCTTGAGTGCATTGGGGTTGCTTCCGAGCAGGTAAGCGGTAAAGGGGCCTCGACTGGTCATTTTCTGGATTTTGGGGGGAAATATATATTGGTTGAGATGGTCGGTGTTTGTGTTTGTTGGAGGGGGAGATCGGAGATTAAGATTGTGTGGGATGGGGCGATAGTGGGATGAACATGGTGTGTCGTCAGTAGGACATAACATCGGAGTTATATCATTTGCTTTTTACGGTATACTATACACCTTCGTAGTATACAGTACATTTATACGGTATGGACTACTTAGCACGAGAAAGCTTTGACATAAAATCAGCGGAGATTTTCATTCAGCTCAGACCATAGAAAGCTAGAACTAGCCATACATCCCCTTTGTTTTTTTATTTTCACCCATTTTTGATCTCACGCATTCTGTTGTAATTCACTGCGCCCATTCACCTTCTCAAGAGCATCCCACGAGGTATGTTTAAAGATTCTCAAACTTGACCTCATGGCTCCAGCCCCTCAGTCACTCCCACTTTCGTGAGTTGACGGTGAACGGGTCTCCATCAATGTTGTCGTTACACTGCAGCCTTGGGTTCAGACTCGGGGTCGCCTTGCTGATCCTTGCGCTCATCCTTGCTCTCAACATTGCGCTCACCGTTGAGCTCGTATGCCCACGGCTTCTCCCCGGCGACTCTCAGCATCAATCGCACAAGAGCGTGCAAGGTGTAGTGGGCATCATTTCCGGCATTGTGCAGGTCGAAACTCAAGATATTCAGTGATCCCAGCAGTGCTCGAAGGCCCCGCTTTTGGTTCTCTTCAGCATCAGCACGGTACAGCTCTGCCACGTCGATGGTCTCACGGATGACCGAAGAGGGTTCGTTCAGACTGGTAAAAACTTGGCTTCCCGCTTTCTGGAGATGTATGATATCACCGTGGAGATCGAGTCCGACCAAGATCACATTGCGCTTCGCGTTCTTGTGTCGGGGGATATCTTCTCCCTCCAAGGAAACCATGTATGGGGGCTGGAACGCAGCGTCCACAACCTTCGGAATTTCAGCGCTGGGAACTATCTCACTCTCCCCAAATCCAAATCTACCAGGACATCCGGTAATGTAAGTCACGTTAACCCAGTGCCGGTGCTCCTTCACACGCAGATGACGGGATCGAATCTTCTTCACCCACATATGGCCATAATCACCAGGGACGACACCTTCCAAATCCATCATGTCCAGAGTCGAAATTCCAACCTCAGTCAGAGAGCCATAGCGGTCCATCCACTCAAGGTCAATACAGATGAAAATGGGGGCATCTTGAAAGGCCCAATTGACAGGTTTCAGAACATCGATCGGTCTGATCTGACCATTGGCAAACGACGGTTGTGTATCATTTGGCTTCAGTGGGGGGCGCAGCCCAAAGTAGGCTTGCGCACGACCCAAGCTCTCCTGCCACTTCTTGATTCGGGCATCCCGGACCGCCTGCTTGCAGCTCTTCCTGATCTTGGTTGTGGCGATGGATTGTTTGATTTTCTTTTCAAAATCCTCGAAAACGGGGGGCTCAACCAGATGTGCGTGGGGTCCCCAGTTCTCCAGAGGCGAGGGAACAATACTCTCCAATTTCTTCTTCCGAGCATGGGTGCTGGTTCGGCCAAGGTACATAGGCTGCGGGAGCATCTCATTGTCGATGTCAATCACGAGGCCATCCTTGTCAACGCCCGTGAGAGACAAATTGAGGTTCAGAGCCGAATTGATTTCATCGAGCAGTGCTTGAGCTTGGGAAGTGGGAATCAAAAGAAATGGGGTTTGAGAAATAGCCATTGGGACAGACAGATGATACCTAGGTGAGGATTAGCGACAAGATACTTTGCTAACTGATTTTAGATTTCACAAACAGATCCCAAGTTCGATTCCAGAATTGATCCCCCTCATAGAACCGCTCATTGACGCTCTGGGCATCATTCTGAGGGATATACCTGAAAGGGAAGCGAGCCATTGTGGTGGCCGGAGTGAACGACTTGGTCACCGGGATTGCAGTGACCAACTCCTCGTCGCAATCCAAGTCAGAAATACCGCCGCCACCCTCGTCTTTGCGCTTGTTCAAGCCCGGGATATCAATGTGCATCTTCGGAGTACGACGGGGATGACGCTGGTTGATCTGGGTCAACGGCCTGTCTCTCGACCCACCTATGTCTCCAACCACATAGGTACGAATGTACGACAAAGGAAATTGGCCACCCTCAGGGTAAGATTGACTTACATCTTGCTTAGCTTTGGTAAACCCAGCACCTGGATCAGCTCCATCCGCACTGGGGGCAGGTTGGACGGCTTCAGCCTGGCTCAAGTGGGTATTCAAGTCATTGAGACCCGTGTCTCCTTCGAGAAGCATCTTCAGACGCTCGCGAACATCCATTTTGGAAGACTGAGATAAAAGCTTTGGCAAGATTGAGGAGTGTAGGGTGAAGAGGAGAGGAGGAAGTAGGATAAGAAAATATAAAATATAAACAAACGCGCCAGGATGCGCACGGCGAGCCTTTGGGATCAGAATTGTTAATTAGGAAGGAACGATCGGATTGGGAAGGGACGATAGGGACGATTTCAACTGGGAAAGAACGATGTAGCTCATAGTAAAGTACATAAAGAGATCACTATATCTCTCTGTTTGCTCTCTTTCTTCTCTTTCTTTTCTCTCTTTTCTCTCTTTTCTCTAACAGGCCGTCACGTTATAACAATATTATACATGCAGGTGATACTGCCTAGTGATTGGCAATCAATATCCTACCTACATTAGCAAACACTTAGCACTTTAGTCTGACTTTGAAAAGTCAGATGAAATTGAATCAACTCTTGATTAAAGAGACCAAGGCTGAGTATAGATATGAGATAGCTTTCAATAAAGACAGTAAACTATATAGAACAGACTATGTGTACATGTAGCGCATTCTACACTGAGGTGCCCATCTATATACAATTTGGATAGATGTATAGAGCTTTACAATTGTACAACCCGAAACAGCTTTAATACTACTTGACTTCCGTGGCTTTTCCCTCGTCTATCCTCCATATAGACCTCTTAGTACGGAGTATAGGTATCATTAAAGTGTCGATATTCGGAGAGGTGGGGCTTCATAGGCCATTTTAATTGGTCAAAACCGACTGACTCAGCTTTGACATGATCGATTTTATATAAGAAGGTATTAATGGAGCTCGGAGTAAGGGCAATTTCGTTATTACTATATTGGATAAGTGAAGCACTAACTCTATGGTAAAAACCGAGTACATATTCGTTACATGCGGGCTCCAAATCGGTATATCTGGGCTATGGATATATTCACGTGACCAAGAGCTGCATTGGAATAACTATCATCCGCTGTTGTAGGACCTCGTGCAGTAAGGCATTCAGCTCCATCTGTTATCTGACGTCTAGACCCCTCGATGTCCTCACTTATCATCGCAGAACGCGCCTAATTTGACACATTCTAACATCAACTACTATCGTGCTAGAAAATGCCCATGACAGACGACACAGACGATAGCGGAGGGGTCATCCTAGACGGCCCCTTCGACCCTGACGCGCAGGCCACAGTCACAGACTTTATTGATTACACTGAATACCTCCCCGCAGACTTAATCCGCTCCTTAACCCTCATCCGCGGGCTCGATGACCGATATCTCGACTCGGCGCAAGCGGTGCACGAGCTCACTCATATCTACGGCCAGCTTCCAGACCTTCCTTCGGATACCCGACCGGGCGCAATTGCACTGCGCAAAGATATATCCTCTCAGCTCGATCGTGCCATAAATGCGCGTGAATCGGCATATGCCGAGGCCTGTCGCCTCTACGATGTTGTAGATCGCCACTTCGACCGATTAGGCTGCATCCGCCAGAAACTCGAAGCACTGCCGAAACCTGCCACAGAGGAACCGTCGCCGTTGCCCGAACCTTTATCGAAGCGTGCGCGCGGAGGCAAGAAAGCCATCAAGGATGCCACGACGCGTATCACCCTGCGGTTGGATAACAATCGCAATCGGAGAGATAAAAACAGGAAGCGTCTTCTAGGCGCCGATGGGGCCTTTGATCCAGATTCTCCGCTTGCCAGTACCGAGCAATCGGACTTGGAGGGCGAACTCATTAAATCTGCTCCCAAGCCCGCGCGACCCCCAAAGAAGGAAAAAGCACGTCGCCCGAGCCTGGGTACCGCACAGTCAACAGCACAGGCCCTTGCGCTGTTGAAACCACCACCAGCTGATGCGAAATTGGGCAGTGAGGACCTGCCATGGCTGCGATTGACGGAATGGGAGATGACCAGGCTGCGGAAGAAGATGAAAAAGAATGCTGTCTGGCAGCCGAGTGAAGTAATGATTCACCGTGAGCTGGCCCTGGCGAACCGAGGCTGGGAAGCATACCGTGCAGCGAAGGCCCTGGCAGAAGAGACGGGCGGAGAGTTCATTGACTGTGATAACATTGAGGAAACGCGGCGTGGCGAGGCGGCCAAAGATTTGGAGGAGACGAAGCTGAGCAATCGCGGAATGAAATTAAACGAAGCAAAGAAATTAAAACGCGAACAGTTGGCCCGTGAACAAGCATTGATGGAAGGTGAAGGTGGTGTCTCGGTCAAACCTTTGCCAAGCCCCGCCCAAGCTCCCCCAGCCGCGAATCGATCATCACGGAAGAGGAAACGCGAAGAGGTTATCCCTGAAGCAACAGAACTTGTTGCCCCCGAGCCTCCAAAACCGACGCAAGTTGCTGCCCCGGTCGCACCGCCTGCCCCTGTCGCTGTTCTTTCTTCTAGGACTGGTCCATCTCGACGCAGATCTAGCAGAGGGGCCGTTCCAGCCGCTGAAACCAACAGCGACCTCACCCTCCCAATCAAGACCCACACGTCCCCCGCACTTGAAGCCACGTTCTCCCCTCCTCTCCCCAGCCCCGCAGGCTCCGGACCCAACCCATCACTTGTCCAAGTTGTCACCACACCTACACCACCCGTGACCCGGCCCTCATCGCGGCGCTCTGTAGCCGCCGCCTCAATCGAAGGAGGAACTCTCAGTAGCGTCCCGACCGCAATAGCAGTAAGTGGACGCGATCGCCGTATCAAAAGCGCAACACCTGCGCACAAACCACCCATCCGCGAGCCGTCACATGCGCCAAGTGTTCCCGGCCCTGCCCGCCGGCGCAAGCGTCCGGCACCAGGTCCCATTTCCACTGGTCAAGACGGCGGCGCGGCAGTAAGCTACGGACGCCGCAAAGCCAAGCCCGGAAAGAAGCGCCTCAGCATCCGCGACTCCCAGGATGTCCGTGTAGACGAAGACGGCGTCCTCGAACAGATCGATGCCAATGAGCCCCGATACTGTCTCTGTGGAGATGTTAGTTTTGGGACGATGATCTGCTGTGAGAACCAAGATGTAAGCTATCCCTATTATGATATGTTCTAGCAGAATGCTGATATTCTATTCGTTGCAGTGTGACCGTGAATGGTTCCATCTCAGCTGCGTGGGCCTGACCGAAGTCCCCTCTCGCACGGCCAAATGGTACTGCCCCCAGTGCCGTATCAAGCTCCACAAGGGTGAAGATGGCATTATCAAGGGTGGATCCCGCCGTTAATTGGATTTGAATGATTCTTCTCGCATGATACCACGAGCTGTCTTGTTTTGTTTTTTTCTTATTTGTGTGCGGAGTAGCGCCGTTTCTTGGATTTCTAGCTTTCTCTTTCAAAAATCAGATGTTCATAAATTTGGAAGCATTGGAAGCATCATTGGCACAGATCATGCCCGAAGCAGTTCGTCGAAACTCACTGGAACCGAACGATAGAATTATTGTCACGCATCGGTAGGATAATATGAAGGTAATAGTTTAGGATTCAGGATCTCATCGAACGATGTCGGGATATACAGTAGACAACTTGAAGAATGGACGTGTTCGTATTAAGCTTAAAGAATACATAATGCATAGCAGTTGTGTCTGCTTCTGACATAAAAAATTAAAACCAACTAACCCTTTGGTTTGTAAGGGCTGTAAAGTAACCCATCTTCACGCTCTGGAGCCTCTTCCATAACAGATAGTTCATTATGCGCCTTATCCAGCCGTGATGATTTCGGATATCGACTGGTATCCGGCAACTCTTGATATGCACCAGGTGCAGGTTGTGGATGATAAGAATCCCCTGGTAATTCCACAGCAAAGCTTCTACTGTGCTGGTGTCCGTACTGCGGCGGAAAGGCATATCCAGGAGACATCGGCCCCAACTGCGAATCCGTCGGCGATCGCGGTCCCCGAGACGACGAGGACCTCGACATTTGATCTGACTGTCTTCGCGACGAAAGCGACAGCTCCCTCCCAATTCTGCTCGATCGGTCGGCCGGATTATATGTCGTCAATTTGCCATCCTCCATCATAGCCTGCAAGACACCAGCATCAAGAAGCTCGGCTTTCTTAATCAGGCGATCTACCAGCACCTTCGAAGCGACCTTCAACTGACCCTTGACGAAAGAAATCAGCGTGCGGTTGCATTCGATCTCGATATCCTCGCGCAGATAGAGTCCGGTTTGCGGGGCGCCGTCTGCGCGCTTGTCTTGCGGTTCCGGTGGTTCGTCGCGCTGGTTGCCTCCAATGCGCCATTTGCTTCGGAGGTCGATTCCCATCGGCGCGTACATGTGCGTCTGTAGACCCCATGCGACATTGTGGAAACAGCCTTTGAAGCTGATCTTGCCCGATCCTATCTTGCCCAGCCCCGGGACGTATTGCACTCGTTCTGTGATCTCGTACCACGTCGAGTAGTACTCGTCGGCGACGGCATTGCGTGGAGCCCTGATGGGTTGATGTGAGAGGACGAGTGGATTTAGTGTGATGATTTCGCTATGGCTGTGTAGGATGTCGAGGGCTAGTTGGCGGGGCACAGACGAGGGGATGGGCGTGATATTGGTATAAACCTCTTTTCGGCGCATCATTCTGAATGATTTAGTCTGATATATACAAAAAATCGCCGAGGGGGGATGATAATTCTAAAAGTACAAGGCTGAATTGGAGTCGCACTCGTATTCCATCAGCTTACTATTTTTAAAGTTGCGGCCTAGTCGACTCAAGGTAAGACATTGCGCATGACAGAATCAGCACTAAATGTATTATATACGGTCATTCCAAAATAATACACTGGTTGGTATAATTTAAATCCATTTACATCGTGTTTACTCTTTACTTCAGTTCCCACTTATCGCCCTCGGAGACAATCTCCACAGGCCGCCTCTCATCCAGTGACTTGCGTCCTGCATCGAGGATTGCCGTTGTGGCGATTGTATTACGCAGAGTGGGCAGCGGGCGGGCGTCCAGTTGGTCGAGGGTCACACGGCCCTCGTTCACAGCTGTGACGGCATCGATGAATTTCTCGAAGCTGATGTAGCCGTATCCCGTCTGCCCACTGAAGTTTCCTTCTTCGTCGGGAGCGTAGCGCATATAGAATCTAGATAATAGTCAGCATAGAACCATGTTACAGCATTACCATGAGAATGGGGGTCTTACGGGTTGTAATGAATTAGACCCTGGTCGTCGCTGGTCACTTCATAGCCACGCTTGGCCTGGTTAATGCGGATCTCGCCGTTGGCAGCCATATCTGTTCCAATGTTAGAAGATGTCTGTTTACTGCCGGAAAATAGAATCACATACAGTGGAAGTACTGGTTCGAGTGAACGCCCGCATTTTGAGGTGCCGTCCAGCTAGCAGTATAGACACCAGTGGCAATCTTCGCCGGGTTATCACGGCGGCGCCACTCCACAAGGAGAGTGATGGTATCCTCAGTCTCGGGGACACATCCAAGCGCGGCAGCGGTACCCTGAGATGCAGTTGCTGAGACCCGCACAGGCTTGTAATCTGGAACCATGCTCTCACAGATATCAATGTGGTGAGAGTTCAGGTAGTAGGAAATATCAGAATCACGACCAGCCCACGCTTTAAAGGTCTCGAGCTGGCTCTTAGGCTGGCTCATGTAACTATAGAAGTAGTTGAAGTCACCCAGAGTCTTTGCCTTAGCCCGCGCATCAGAGTATGCAGGGTCAAAGCGCTTGTGGTGCTCAACGAAGACGAAGACGCCATTCTTGCGCGCGACCTCGACCAGAGCGAGGTGGTCTTCTAGCCGCTGGGTTGCTGGCTTGGTGATGAGCACATGGTGGCCGCGCTCAATTGCGTACAGCGCAATAGGATAGTGGGTAGAGTCGGGGGTGAAGATGGTGATGGCGGATCCTTTGGGGAGGGCATCAATGGCGGTCTTGTATGCGTCGGGGTCGGTCTGGTCGTCCGCGGGGAACGAAGCGAACGAGGTATCGAGGTTGTTGTAGACTTGAGAGATATTACGGTGCAAGTGGTCACCTATTCTCGCGATTAGCTTCCTGTTTAATTGCTTGTTCTTTCGCTCAACTTACGGATACCAGGGAACTTCTTGCCCGACACGCCCACCATGCTCAAGTCGCCCACCTTACCCCGCCGACGCAGGTCAAATAGACTAAGGCCTACTACACCGACCTTCTTGTCTGAGCCAGATGCACCACCGCCGACGAAACCGGTGGTGTATTCACCAGTACCGACCTGCGAGCTCAGTTAGCTTGAGGATCTACTGCGGGGAACCATTGTCCGTACCATCAAAACGCTAGGAGGAGCCATGATGTCTGTTAATTCCGAAATGGTGATTGAATTCCGGGGAATTTCTAAGGGGAAGAGGAAATTTTAAACTAATTTACAGGAAGCCGGGGTATTAAATCGCTGGATATAATTCTTCCGGCATTTGAAATAGCCCTGGGGTAAATTCAATAGCCGTATCGTCATCCACCATGGCTTTGACGCCAGTTGATCACTTTTCAAGCTCATTTTTCCTTTCAAGACATAGGGATTTCCATGCGCACATAGACTATTATACGTACGACTCAAGAACTCAAGCGATTTATCACCCGCTAGACTAATGGCCTTTTCAACGCCGGCTGAAGTGCGTCTTTAGCCATCTTTACCCGTCGCTTTTACCCCTCCTGTCCCCCACATTCTGTGTGCTTGTGCTGATTGGTGGAATTTGATTCTCCACCATACAATGTACCTCGGGGCATTTGCCGGACGTGGGGGAAGAGAAGTATGACCCGAAGGCCAATGATGTTTTCATTGCTATATACCCCTCAAGTCCCAAGTAGATCAGTTAGGTCATTTCTCTAATATCAACAACATCAACATCAACCAAAATCCAATAATCTCAGAATCATGTCTCCCACCCCACTCCGCCCCGGCGTTTACGCGCCGACAATGACCTTCTTCGATGCCCAGACCGAAGATCTCGATATCCCCTCTATTCGCCGTCACGCTGTTCGTCTAGCCAAGGCTGGCCTAGTCGGCCTGGTCACCATGGGCTCAAACGGTGAGGCTGTGCATCTCAGCCGCGAAGAGCGCAAGACCGTCAATCGGGAGACCCGGTCTGCTCTCGATGAAGCTGGTTTCACCAACGTGCCCGTCATCGCCGGCGCCAGCGAGAACAGCATCCGCGGAACCATCGACCTGTGCAAGGAGGTTGCGGAGTCTGGCGGCGAGTACGTTCTGATCGTGCCTCCTAGCTACTACCGCACCGCAGTCGGCAATGATGAAACTCTGTACGAATACTTCACAGCTGTTGCTGACGGCTCCCCTGTTCCTATTATCCTGTACAACTACCCCGGTGCCGTCGCTGGCATTGACATGGACTCCGACCTCATCATCCGTATCTCCGAACACCCTAACATCGTCGGCACCAAGTTCACCTGTGCCAATACCGGCAAGCTGACTCGTGTCGCTACCGCTCTCGGCGCCATCACCCCTCCCTCCCCCTTGGCTCCGGCCCAGCGTACCGCAACAGTCTCCAAGCCAAACGCCAAGCACCCATACGTTGCCTTCGGCGGTATCGCCGATTTCAGTCTGCAGACCCTCGTCTCTGGCGGCTCTGCCATTCTTGCCGGTGGCGCGAACGTCCTTCCCCGCCTGTGTGTCCGCATCTTCACTCTTTGGTCCGAGGGCCGTCTCACAGAGGCCATCGAGGCCCAGCAGCAACTCAGTGCTGCCGACTGGGTTCTCACAAAGGCTGCTATTCCTGGTACCAAGGGTGCTATCCAGTCATACTACGGTTACGGCGGGTTCCCTCGCCGACCTCTCAGCCGTCTTACTGATGCCCAGTACCAGGCTGTTGCCGATAAGATCAAGCCTGCTATGGATGTTGAATTGAGCTTGCCCGATGTGGCATAATCTTGGGAAATCGCAAGGAGCTTCATCTAAAGTCTAGTAAAATAATTCCAATGCATATATCAAGTTTCATGACATCTCTTTTGTTGCCATATTTTCCAACGTTGGTTGCTTATATTGTAGAGGCAAATAGTTATCGTGGCCTGAGGCGCTTCGACATTACAAAGCCCTGCATCATTCAAGTTTATCTGATTTCCCAAACTGGCATAGTTCATGAAAATATACTTTACTCTTAATTCCACGGCGGAGTACGTCCACTGGGACAGTTCAGCCTGGTATTTAAGGAAACGGACGAGCTTTTGGTTGGGGCTTAGTACATTAAATCAGTCTTACAATCCTATATAAGTTGTTCTTCTCAACCAACTAGATATGATCCTAGGTAAACATACAATCTACTTATTATAATTACTAGCACCAGGTTTCTCCTCATGATCCTGCCATATATCCTTATTGTTCAACATCTCTGCCTCGGACAAACTACCAAAATGGGCGATACCCCTGTAAATACAACCCCCCAATTTTGGTGCTTTTTCCTGAGATGGGAAAGACTTGAACAAATGCTTGTCTCCATGAAGAAAGTAACAACCTCCTCCATCCCCCAGCGGAATCTACAGCTTCTGCGAATTGATCTCAATCATCTAGACATTGCTTCTGGGATAACTTCGCCTTCGGTTACGCATTATTTCATGCCACGAAGAGGTACACCTAGGATAGAGAAGATATGTGCAGATCCAAGCTGGGACTGGTTTCTATCTCAAAAAGGCAACTACGGCAAAGGGACTTACCGTGCAGACTATCTACTTCGACGTGTTTTCATGGACTATCAGGACTGCAGCATTCCGGAATTGTGGCCATACGAGCTGGATGGAGGCGAAGAAGAAGATAATTATGATGATCCTACTGTTCATGAGTCGGGGCACCTTGATAGCACTGGAGGCGACAAGGTGAGCGATGGAAAGGACGAATCGGATCATAGGAAGGAAAGCGATATCGAGGAAATACACAGTGACAAGGCAAAAGAAGGGGAAAGTATGAACTACAAAAAATATGATGAGAGTGAGCAAGATGGCGACAAGAGTGAAGAGAGCGGTGACGAGAATCGCAAACCAAGTGATGAAAGTCACGATAAAAGCGAGAAGGAGGCAGATAATGATCATGAGATGGTGATTGCGAATACTTTCGACCTGGATATCCTCAATTACGAGACAGATGACTGGTCAGTCTACTGGTGAGTGATACATTGATATTGGGGGATGTGACATTTGTATTATTCAGGCTGATCAATTTTATCCAGGTTCCAAAGACTATACGGCCTCGATCTCCCAGACAAAATACACGGAATCAATATCACAAGATCAATGGAGATAGATCACCCATACAAGTCGCATGCATGGGCTCTGGTGGATGTAACCTCGTGCGGTTACGATCGCCCCTCGGCTGCTGAGCTCATAGCCTTAATTAGCTGGGGTTTGAGAGGCATGTTCCGTGAATTGGAATCGCTCGTCAACGCACTTGAGTCAAAGGGTGTTCATAGATTCAGTGAAGTTTTCCCGGTACGTTCAGGTCCTTCCTAACCCCATGCCTTGTGCCGAAAGAATTTCATACTGATATATTGCGAGCGATATAGACCATGATCATAGTGTTTGACCAAAGATGCTGCGCCCGTGTACTATACGCCTACTTTGATGGTAGATTTCAGGTTCAATTTACCCCGGTCTTGAATTTTAAAGAATTCACCGAGGTCAAATCATTCACCTTGGATTCTTACATGGGTCAGATTGACAAGAAGAAGTACTACGATATGATGCACTCACTGCTTCGTTGGGCGTGGCCTCTTGACCATTATCGCACCAGTATCGCTCAGCTCTAAGAACACGAAATTATAGCTATATGGAAACCATCATTTAGCTCCGCTGTCCCAGTATAGCTTTGAAAGGCTCATTTATATGGCTATCTGAGGGCATCCGATCTTTATTTGGGGAAATTCTCTGTCTACGTCGACTTTGCTAGGGCTGATTGAGTGCCACACCCCTCTGCAAACTATAATGTAGGCTTTACCAAATGAAGAAGTCTTGCAGATCTACATACTTGCCCCTGACAGACCAAACCCATGTAAAAGGCCCAAGCCCTAAGCCAAAGCCCTATATCACCCCTTATCGATAAGGCCAAACCGGCATATAATTTCTCCTGGCATGCTCATAGGTGGAAAAACCACTTGGTATTAACGTTATCGGCTACGTAGCGGATCTTACCCCACTAAATAGAACAACCACCCCACGCTGCCCGGACCACCTCCGTTCTGTTTAGCGTGTTGGCCTCTCGGGCGACAGCCACCTCCGAGTCCTCCGCTCCGATCACTCTGAATCTTCTCCGTTGTCAATTTTCTCGGAGCGGGTCCACGGGACATTGTCCGACTGGAGAGAAGCAGCTAGATTGTAACAATACGTAGCATATCCCGCGTGGGATGAATAGGGCACGTTGTGCGATCCCCGCTTGTAGATATACATCCCCCTCACCCCGCTTGTCTTCTTGTTTCTATTTTTCTTTTCTTACTTTTTGGTCCGTGTTCTATTCTTCAGACCAATCACTCATTCTTATCACAATGCCTTACCCCGAAGAAGCTGAGGGCTTCCAGGTCGATGGACCTAACAGCTTCACCCAGTTCCACAAGCGCTACGTATGTGCTCTTTTCTGTGTTCTGGTTAGGATATACGCTTATCTGGATTTATTACGCTGAATAGTTCAAGCTGAAGCCTTTCGGCGACTATGGTGAGTTAGGCTGTCGGTACCATTATGCTTGCTTCTAACCGAGTATAGACGTCGACATTAAGATTGAGGCCTGTGGCATATGTGGAAGTGATGTGCACACTATCAGCGGTATGGTAATCCCGTTGGAATACCAAGCAGAAACACCGACTAATGTATTCCTCTAGGAGGATGGGGTGAACAAAAGTTCCCTCTGTGCGTGGGTCACGGTACGTATTCAAAAAGCAAAAAAGGGCTACTGTCTCGTGCTAATAACCATCCTAGAAATCGTCGGTCGCGCAATCCGTGTCGGACCCAAGGTCACTCTGATTAAGGAAGGTGAGCGCGTTGGAGTCGGCGCGCAGTCCTACTCTTGCGGCAAGTGCAAGCAGTGCCTCAACGACAACGAGACATACTGCCAGGTTGAGCCTATGGACACCTACGGTTCGAAGTGGGCCGACAGTGGCGTCGTTAGCCAGGGCGGATACTCATCGCACGTGCGGACACACGAGCACTGGGTGTTCCCGATCCCGGACGCACTGGAGACTAACAAAGTGGCTCCGATGCTGTGCGCCGGTTTGACGGCGTACTCGCCCTTGGTGCGCAACGGTGCTGGGCCTGGCAAGAAGGTTGGAATTGTTGGATTGGGTGGCATCGGTCACTTCGGAGTCATGTTTGCCAAGGCGCTGGGTGCGGAGACGTGGGCTATTTCGCGCTCTCGCGCCAAGGAAGCGGACGCTCGCAAGCTCGGTGCTGACGGTTACATTGCTACTGCGGAGGAGGGATGGGAGAAGGATCACCTGTACTCGTTTGATTTGATTATCAACTGCGCTAACTCCTCGGAGGGCTTCGATCTTGCGCGCTATCTGTCTATGATGGACGTTCATGGGCGCTGGATCAGTGTTGGTCTTCCTGAGGAGGAGGGTCAGGTCATTAAGGCCCAGAACCTAATCTCTAACGGTGTTCTCATTGGTGCCAGCCACCTGGGTAGCCGTCGGGAGATGCTTGAGATGTTGCAGCTGGCTGCGGATAAGGGTCTTAAGGGTTGGGTGGAAGAGATCCCCATTGGAGAGGAAGGACTCAAGGAGGCCATGCTGCGCATGAAGAAGGGTGATGTTCACTATCGGTTCACTTTGACCGGATATGAGAAGATCTTTGGATAAAGGAGATATGATGTTTAGTATTAAGAATTATGTATATAGTCGGTGTCAACATACAAAATCCAGGAGGTGGTAGAGGGCTGGGGGGGTTAGGGGGTTTAGGGGTGTTTATCTGAATAGATTGAAGTCAATTGTTCTTCCAATATCGGCCTATCAGAGCCTGTCATCATCATTGTCTCGGATTTTCCTTCGAAAGCCTAATAATTGCCACCGTGAGAGTGTAGTCGGTACTTGGATCCGCAGTAGATTTATCGTGGCGATCCAAGTCACAGTTACTCCGCATTTTCCGTCCGGCTGTTTTCCCCCCAGGATTTGCCTCCCGACTCCTAAAAAAGTCTGAGCCTTGCGGGGGCGAGTACTCCCAAGGTATTCGGTACTTAATCCTTATAGCCAACCATACTTTGAATCCCAGTACTAGCGACTCTTAGGAGAACTCGGTGGTCGAACCAATCACTCCCTAATTCATTCACCGCCTGACCCAGGCCCATCCGTTCTGCTTTCTGGAATTCTTCCGCCCTTTTTATCTTCTCCTTGCGTCGTCTTTTTTTCCTATTGTTTGTCTCTGTATAGTTCATTCATTAATCTCTCTTTTTCATTCTCTTGGGTCCTTGGAGTTTTGCGAATGGTCGTTGATATACATACTTTGTTAGACTTATCTCACAGAAACCCCCCAAGACCAAGCATCACATCGGTCGATACCCGATAAAATAGACAAAAGCGTCGACATTCTTTGTCTTAACATTCGCCGTCATATATTGCGTTCATATTCATCCAATTCCTGTTTAATTCGCCCTCGGCACACCAACAACCTCAGTCATGTCGCCACGAGAGACCAACGCCACCTCCGCAAAGCGACGCTCTTCGTTGTCGTTTCGTTCGCGCCCACGCACTGCAGGTCATGCTATCCCGACGTCAAAGGAGATGACTTTGGACACATGGGATGAGCCACGCTTGACGGAAATCTGCCAGGATGACCACACATCGGTCGTGGAAGAGATAGACCCGTTCCCGAACGTGGCTCCGCGACGCCGTGGCGCCAAGAGCTTTTCGAGTTTGAAGCATCCTGTGGATGGTTTGGTCGCTCTCGGCCATCGCCTGTCCGTCAGTCTTCGCAAGCCTTCCAAGCAAACAACTCCTCTCACCGAGGACACTAAATTGGTTGATAACGATGAAAACCGTTACTACCACCATAGTTCGAACCATGCGAATCACAAGCGCATGGCTTCCGGTAGCTGGGATCTCCGGTCAACAAAAACACTTTGGCACCAGGGATATAGCGTCAATAGACGCCCTTCTTTGAATAGTGTGTCTGCCCTGCACAGTTTCTATGCACCCACTGCCTCTATCCCTGCCCCCATCCCGGGCCGTGGGCAGGCACCTCCAGTTCTGCCGAATCACATGTCTGCAGGTGCAGCGGCGCGTGCCGCAGCCGCAGCTCAAAATGAGCAGATGGAGGCTGCGCGAAAAGCGGAATTAGAGAACAAAATGCTTGATTTGAGAGTTCCCCAGGACTCGGAGAGCGGTATTTGTATTGACTTGGGCGATCGATCGGATACGTCAGACAGCGAGTTGCTGGCCATGACGCGACTCGGTAAGGATGAACACTCTGATGGGCAACGCGCATGTTTTGTTAACTTCTCTTTTTTTTTCTCAGATCCCGTGGCTCTACTTCCGGCTGAGATTACATCACACATTTTTTCATATTTGGATCCTGATTCCCTCATGGACGCAGAGCTCGTCTCCCGCGCCTGGTGTCGTGCATCCTCTTCCCATGTTTGGAGGCATGTATTCCGCAATGCATATGGCCGTCGGCCATTAAGTGAGACGGCCTCCAAGGTGAAGCTGTCATCTGGATTAGGGAAGTCAATCCCGAATCAGGACTGGAAGAAGAAGTTCCTTGTTCGGCGCGCTCTCGATCAGCGCTGGAAGGATGGCAAGGCTGCAGCCATTTATCTTCAAGGTCACGAGGACAGCGTTTATTGTTCCCAATTTGACGAGTAAGTTAACGTTATTATGTTGATGCCGTGCACTGCTGACAAGATTATAGGAACAAAATCATTACTGGCTCCCGTGACCGGACAGTTCGTGTATGGGACGCGCACTATCCGTGGTCATGCAAGAAGATTATTGGGCCACCAGCGGCTCGAACTTTCCGTGATGGTCCAGTGAACAATCCAACTTTCCAGGCCACGGGAAAGGCCCCCTTTATGACTATTACCCCGCCGTGGCCCACGCCGGACGAAATAGCGGCAATTACAACACCATTAGAGAAAGAATCGATATACCACAGCGCATCAATCCTGTGCCTGCAGTTTGACGAAGAGATCATGGTCACAGGGTCTTCTGACTTTACCTGTATCATGTATGACGTCAAGGACGACTACCGACCAATTCGTCGTCTTTCCGGTCATCAAGCCGGTGTGCTTGATGTGTGCTTTGATGACCGGTACATCGTATCATGCTCCAAGGATACTACCATCTGTGTCTGGGATCGAAACACCGGTGCGCTTTTGAGGCAACTCAACGGTCACGAAGGACCAGTGAATGCTGTGCAGCTCCGCGGTGACCTTATCGTGTCAGCCAGCGGTGACGGTGTTGCCAAGATGTGGAACGTGATCTCAGGCCAATGTGTCAAGGAGTTCACCAGCAAAGACCGTGGCCTCGCGTGTGTCGAATTCAGTGACGATGGCCGGACCATCCTCACTGGCGGCAACGACCGCATAATCTATCAATTCGATGCTAACACGGGCGAGCTCGTCAATGAGCTGCACGGGCATTCAGGTCTCATTCGATCTCTGCATCTCGACAGCGCCAATAAGCGCATCATTAGCGGTAGCTATGACATGAGCGTCAAGGTGTTCGACCGTGATACGGGTAATATGTCCATCGACTTCCCTGGCTGGACTACAAGCTGGATGTTGAGCGTACAGTCCGATTATAGACGCATTGTTGCGACGAGCCAGGACTCCCGGGCTGTCATTATGGACTTTGGATATGGCATAGACGGGATCGACCTGTTAGAGGAGTGATCTATTTGCATTTGTTTATATACCGCATGCCCCCTTTTCAGCGCTGCTTCTTTCCCTTTGTGGGTTTGTTTGGTCATTGTCATTGTCATTATCATTATACATTGCTAGGATTATGGGAGTTGGATATGAGGTTTTCCGTCTTGGATACAAATTGGATCAGGGCCTGGAATATTGGCAGAATGAATTCTTGTTCTTTGTTATACGCATATGAACTGGTGCAAAATTATATATTTAGTATACCACTCAATCATCTATATATATCGAACCATTATTACAGTTATTATTCGTATACTCGGACTCATTGTATATTCGCTTTATTCTTAATTTATCGGTTAAATTGTAGTGGGTCGCTGTCACTCGTGGAAGACATCACACATGCTACGGAGTACGATAAATATTATGAAGCTGTACACATTCCAAGGTTCTGTTTAAAGATTTGACAGAAAGTCAAAAGAGGCGGCTACCCGCCTGAGGCGACAAGGCAGCTACAAGATCAATAGATCGACCGTTTCTGCCGGTCAAATATGGCGGCGGGGAAGACGGTAGAAACGGCGGTCAGTGGTTAAGTAGAGGTGATAACTCGATACACTGAGCGACAGCATGGTGGGTGATATGATATATGAAATTTGACCTGTTGTAATGGAGTTGTGCCTCACTTGACGATATAATAGTTTCATGCACCGAGGTAATATCTTAGGCTACGATGTGAGAGCTCAGGTACAAGTAGACACCTCAGGCATCAGTAAGTGCTTAACTAATCCAGCTATGATTCGCCAGAAAAAGTGGGCTAGCGCCAGTGTGATCCGTGGGATTTAGCATCAAAACAATCCCTCCGCTGTTTCCCATCAACCACACGAGCGTAGACTGACAAGAAGTCCTGGTCTCGCGTGTCATATCTTCATCCAGCTCTTTTCCCGCTTAGCGCTTATCCCAGTCTTATTTTCTCCTTTAGTGTTTCGATTGATTATTATTCTACCCCACCATCATGGGTGAATCCAGGTTCGACTTTTCTCCTATTCCCCGCCATCTCGCGACCGATATGGCCTTACTGACGCCGATCGCTTTATGATTCAGACAGGAACTGCTCGCATGGCTTAATAACCTGCTGCAGCTGAACCTTACCAAGATTGAGCAATGTGGAACTGGGTATGGTTTGATCGAGATTCTCCCCGACTTTCAAAAGGCCCGCGGGGCGATCTCTTTTGTATGGATCAGCTGGGCTGACCTCCTATCTTCCTCTATAGTGCTGCCCTCTGCCAGGTCTTCGATTCGATTTTCAGTATGTAATCAATACGACCGGCGCAATAGTCGAGAGAAACGGGCCCGTACTGAGTTGCGGGATACATACTGACTGGTTTCTCTCTTTGTTCAGTGGATGTTCCCATGTCCCGGGTCAAATTCAACGTGAACACTGAATATGCCTACCTTCAGAATTTCAAGATTCTTCAGAGTATGTGAAGGCGGATTCCAAATCGGCCAACGATCCCCCTTTTAACATATCCAATCATCCAGACGTCTTCGCCCGACACCAGGTCAACAAGCCCATTCCCGTTCAGTCCCTCACGAAGTGCCGCATGCAGGACAACCTGGAGTTCCTCCAGTGGGTTAAGAAATACTGGGACCAGCACTATCCCGGTGGTGAATACGACTCCGTCGGCCGGCGTAAGGCTTCCGGCGCCGTTGGTGCCGCCCCCGCTTCGCGCGCCCCGTCTGCAAGCAGCGCACGCCGTGGGGTGACCCCAACAACGGGCGCCGTCCGTCCCCGAGTGGCCGCGCCCAGTGGAGCGGCCACCGCTGCCCTGCAACAGGAGATCTCCACACAGAAGGAAGCGATCGCAGGACTAGAGAAGGAGCGCGACTTCTACTTCGCCAAGCTACGCGATATTGAGCTGCTGCTCCAGAGCGCCATTGAAGCCGACCCGGAGCTTGAAAAGGAAGAAGACACGCTTGTTAAGCACATCCAGGGCATTCTATACTCGACCGAGGTCCGTTCCCTTGACCTATTCCCTGAGGATTCCCCCAACTGACGCCTGTGCGCCCCCCATTAGGACGGTTTCGAGATCCCTGCCGAAGGAGAGGAGATTCCAGCCGACGAGCTCGAGACTTTCTAAGCGAAAAAATGTGTTCTAGGCCCGTGAGGAGGAAAGCCCGTTACTAAATACCCCCCCTTCTATTCTTTCTTGTCTTCCTTCCATTGCGGGTGTCAAATAAGACGAGCTGAGCGCGTAGATATGGAGTCAAATGCATACATCCCATTTTTTCACGGAGTGGTCTGACACCTAGGCTTAAAATAGGTTTATGGAGAATGGGATCGGCGAATGATTGTCCGTTAGCACAACGTAAGTGCTCCATATAGTGTGTGCCTCCGTAGTTACTCCGTACACCATGGCACATTATTTTTCCTCGAAAGATTGAATCGACCAAGAGACATTTATACAAAGATATAATCTCTTCACTGACGCACGTCGCCCTTGTCCCTTGCCTATGTATACAACCATTCGATGGCCAAGCCGATGATAATTAAACCTGCATGGTAGGCTAATCCCAGAACAGCCTAGTGCCCTTGGTCAGAAGCTCATCGGGGCCTCGTCACTTTTTATTCGTCGACTCCCGCGGTACCTGGCGGTACCTGCGTGGAGAGCGACCTGGCTTTTGTTTTTTTTTCTGCTCTTGGGGTTTGTTTTCTTCGTTTTATAAAAAAAAAAGATCGTCAGAAGTCAATTGCAGATACTATTCCCCGAATTTCAAGGGAAGAAAATAAAAAGAAGAAAGGATCTGTCGGCCTCCGAGCCTAGTTCGTCACTAACACGGGTCGCCTAGACTAGGCCTCGATAGGGGATTGTTTGGTCCAGTCTGGGTCTTTTCCTTCATCTTCCCGTTTCGCTTCTCTTTCTTGTTGTGTGTGTTTTACTTTTGGGTCTTTTTTTGCTTGCCATTTCGTGTATATTCATTCCTCTCGACGAAGATCGTGCCAGTGTGCCCCTCAGAGCTGTCGATTTGCATCTGCTTACTCTCGCGGCATATTAAACACTCTATATTGCTCTGGTTTCACCAGATATCCAAAACACAATGGATTAGGACGTGAGACTGCGCTCTTGCTTTTTATTCCACTCTTCTCGTCACTCGTTTACTCCAGGTATGTGTTGGTCGTCTTCGGTCTGGCTTGCTTACATGGCGTGGGGCCTCAATTGAATCCATCCCATACTAACTCCGCCTAGTCGTCTGTTCGATTGCCATTCCCTCCACGTAACTGTGCGCCATATATCGCGAGATCATTGACCTGCTGTCCATACTGCGCTTTTCTTGTTGATCCACACATCGCTTGGCTACGCTTTGCCAACATCCATTCATTCATACTGTCAGCCGGGTCATTCTTTTCTCGGGACGATCTATCAATCTTTCTACCCCAACTTTGCGCACGCTAGCACGTGTTTTTCTTTCGTTTACTCAAACCTTATCGGTCCCGTTCTTCGCAATACTGCGAATCTCAACCTCTGTGAGGATCATACGTCTTCGGTCTTGCTTGATACTTGCATGTGATTGACAATTGACGACGTGTATGGAAAACTGTCAACATGTCTCATGGTCATTTCCGTCACTCGCGCATCGGCAATCTAATTAGCGCCAGGCGCCGCCTAGAAGCAGAGCTTCATGGACAGGATGCAGGCTCTGATTTACTGGAGGATGATTCCTTTCAAACCCCCATCATCCCCGCATCGGATATCCCCGCGGATGAAGATTGCGACTCGAAAAACTCTATGTGTCTTGAGCATGACATGGACGAATCTGACTCAATATTTGAAAAGCGGGACGAGTCGACCTCCGCCGACCCGACTAGTATCAGTACTGTATTGCAGATAGTCGATGCTAGCTCACAAACCCCTTTTCATTCGACTACTAGTTACTTTCCGACGACGATATCGGGTTCTATTTACGCCACTGACACTCTATCGAGCTCGGATAGCTCGACTGTGAGCGTGATTGCAAGTACGACTGCGAGTCCAAGTTTGACTGCGAGTGCGAGTGCGAGTGCCTCTATAGATTTAGGGTTAACCTCACCGACGCCTGCTCCTACCCAGCCGACATCGGCACTACTATCTGCAACGTCGCTTTCAAGCTTCTCGAACTCCACTCAAACATCGTTGACCGCCACAAACTGCACAAGTCAACTTACATCATCATTAGCATCTGCCTCAGCCACAACCACCAGTTCGCTTACAGGGACTTCGACTCGCCTCCTCACCTCTTCTAGCTCTACACCTTCTGTTACGACAACATCACCCCAGGCGCACAATTATTGGTCATATTCAGGCTCCTCCGGCTCCGGCTCTAGCTCAACTTTCAGCTCCAGCTCCAACTCCACTTCCATTTACATTTCTACTTCCGCTTCCGCTTCCGCTTCCAGTTTCAGTTTCAGTTCCGGCTCTGTTTCCAGCGCCAGTTCAAGCGCTAGTTCCAGCGCCAGTTCTAGTTCCGTCTCCAGCTCCAGCATCAACTCCAGCTCCGGCACCGACTCCAGCTCCAGCTTCAGTTCCAGCGCCGGCTCCTCGACGAGCTCGGCTTCCAGCACAAGCCAGACAACCTCTTCATCAGGTGTATATGGAGGCTCTGGGTCAACCGGCTCAGCAACTGGCACAGGAACCGCGCCAACTTCAAGCGAAACGCACGCTTTAGGGCAGGATTCGACAAGCAATCCCGACACACCTAAAATTGTGGGTGGTGTAGTAGGATCAGTTGCCGGTCTCGCTCTCATTCTTTTTCTTTTATTTTACTACCTCCGCCGCCGAGGATTTCTTGTGGGTAAAGCGGGACGCCCCAATATGTTAGGAGACGCAGCAGCTGCGGCTGGGGCTGGGGCTGCGGCTGGGGTAGGGGCCGGTGCTGGGTCTAGAGAAATGGTCGAGCGGCGCGAAAGCAATGATCCGCTCTTCACGGCCAGATACCTCGCCCCCGCATTCATAAAGCGCTGGCGCCAGTCGACGGCAACAACGCGCTCTGGAAGCACTGTCGACTCTGGCTCCAGCGAGCGTGGGTTCCAAAAGATTTCCGGTAGAAAGCTTCCTCCCGTCTTCACACATGGTGGAGACGGATATGGGGGCGGAGTAGACGGCGATTCTCCCACTGCACCAGGCTTCCCTACTCCCTCACCAGCAACCGGGCCAAGTGGATCACCCTCCTTCTATGCTCCTCCACCAACCTCGCCATATGGCGTGCCCCTGGACTCAAACTACACCCGCGAGGTCGAGGAACACACCCCGCCGACACGGCCCAAACTTCCGCACCTCCCAGTCTCTAATACGGTCAACGTTTCCACTCCGATCACTGTGACACCGGCTCACCCCGTTGCACAACCCCAGAGTGCAGTGCCGTTCCTGCCGCCGCGGCCGGATGGGCTCGGCCGCAGTCTTCATAGTTTCGACGGGAGTCGAAGCAGTCGCTTTACTGAGGTCATTGATCAGTAACTGTCAATGTTGCGATATGGGACATGTGAAATGACGGAAATGAAGTGATGGGTGGGGTCGCAGGCCTTCTGTGACATTGGACTCCGGGGCTTGTCCCCGATCGTACCTTTTTATTGTTATTATTTACTGATCTACTTCTTTATGCTGCTGTAAAAGCGCATCTACTGTCTTTGATTGTGATTTTGTCGTTATATTCTCTTTTTCACTATTGATACCCCCCATCTTTATTTTCTTTCTTCTTCTTCTATTCATCTATTTCTCTTTCTTCTTGTTCGAATTCGTTTCTCTTCATTATTTTCTCACTTACCTCTGACATTTGCATCATTGTGGATATATTACTTCGTCTTAGTATGATACATGTATGAATCAAGACCTAAACACTATCAGCTCGGATAATCAAGATAATCTAAAGTCATCGAGCTTCGCACATGAAACGTCACGCATTCTCCATACGTATAGATAGCTTCTGCCAAGAGGAATCAGTCTTGGACTGGTCACTACATGTAACTGACACAAGTGTAACACCTTGCCTTGGGGCACGGATTCCACTGTATGGCCAACGATGCATGCTGACCACGTGGCAAGACCAATATCAAGGACTGCATCATCTGACATGTCAGACGTCCATCTTGTTGTTGTCTGAGACTAGCTACTGCAGTTGGATTAGATATTACCATATGCTTGATGAGTTGAACGAGATTATTCCTCGGCGTCGCAAAAACGAGCCGTACTTCCAAAGAAAACAATTTCAAGCATTAAATCGAAGGTCGAACTTTGATGACATACATTTGAAAGCAGCCGCAGGTACTGCTCAGCATTTGTGTCAGATGAGGCTTAGGATATTGTCTTTGCTCAACTGAATTCGCACATACGCGTCCTGACTCCTGAGACCAAAATCGGGCTGTACTGCTTCTGCCTAGCTACTCAAGAGCCTCGGAGTAGCCCCTTTCTTGATGTGAGTCTGCCCATTATGAATGCCACCTATCGCACTGCCCTTACCAAGTTATTTCTTGCCTCCCGGGTCATAGAGCTCATGAGCCTCCAGCCACAGTATGAGGCGATCGCCACATACATATTTTAAGCACCGCCACAATACTCCACGAAAGCTATCCCTGTCCGCCCCTTTCACCTAGAAACCTCAACAAATTACTACCTAGGTAATGAGTTGCGAAAGTAAATAATAATCATTTCTCTCGTGTGCTTGATAGGTTCTGACAGCGGCGCCGCGTATTCATGATGCGCACAGTCTAGCCGCTCATCAAGTGGACACCTACCCCATCTCCAGCAACCTAGAACAGACACCATGACGCCAAGAGACTCGTCTTTGCCTCCTTACTTGCGCTCACGGCCAAACAATAATGCCAATATATCGGGGTGAGAATGTGCCAAATGATTGGGTCATCTCCGAGGCGCAGCAGCTGTTGGCCTATCCACAATGAGTGCGCAACGCCCTCGCATTGGATACCTGCGCTTGGCGTAACGCTATTCGACGGCTGCTGATCCCATCGTTTCGCCATTCACGTAGCATGGATATGAAGAATTGTGGCATAGTTACAGGAAAGAAGCCCAGCGCTTATATTCTTCATCTTTTCAGGTATGGATGCCTATGAGCTTCGCCCTCCCCTATAACCTGACACTGCCGCTACATCATACACGGAGCTCCGTGATCAAGATAACCGCTTGCAACCTCCGAAGGGGGCTGTGTCAGTGCCGTACGGGGTAATAAGTGGCACAACCTGGCACCACTTCAAGAGTCTATATTATTTTGCGTTTTCTGGATCGCTCCAATCTTCTGAGGTGGATAATAAAATATTCCCTCTTATACTTGGCATCTCGACAACGCTCGTCGCGAATTGCCAGCGGAAAATTGACGAAAACCTCGGCGTCTCTGGGCATTCATCCTTGGAATACACAGCCCCGTTGAGAGGGGAAGAGATAACAAGGTCTCGCAACCCCGGCGGCACACGAGACATTTCTTGATATCAGATCGTATTACATGAACATCTTCATGAGCCGCTTTTACATTTAATTCGCATATCCTTTTCGGAATCAACTCCGTGCGATGTCTTCTTCAAACAATGACCCCTCCTATCAGGGCTCGCTATTGAGTCCTGTTATAGTGACGGACTTTTCAGGCAGAGAGGTAGGCCACTCAAGCTATTTCATCATTCTATAAACATCTGGAAATTTGTCGCTAATTGTTTTATTTTCTTTCTCTTCCAGCGATCTATGTCTACAGCCTCTTCTGCATGGTCGGGTCCTACAGATCTAAATCACAGCCCGACTTCTCCTGTCTCACCAGATATGGCGTGGAACCCACCAGACCCAGCTCGGCTGATGGTTCAAAATGCCTCGCATCGACTGTCACAGTCGATCGATGGCGATACATTGCGTCCGCGGGCGGATTCATTCGCTTCTTCAGCAGATACCGTAGTTCGTTCGCGGGCGAACTCCGAGGTAGACCCGACCCATACTTCCAAAGATGTCTACGACGATGTCTCGCTGTCGGATGCTTTGAAACCGGACCCGAGGAATGAAGCCGATTTCCAGGTGGAGGATAATCGGTTTGCGTTCTCCCCGGGTCAACTGAACAAAATGCAGAACCCAAAGTCCTTGGCTGCATTCCATGCTCTTGGTGGCTTACAAGGTCTGGAGCGGGGTCTGCGAACAGATCTCAAGGCCGGTTTGTCAATTGATGAAGGGTGTCTGGAGGGCAATGTCGAGTTCCAGGATGTGGCACCTTCAGCGCAACACACAGCTACAGAAAAATCTCCATCAAAACCTGTCACCTCGGCGCCGGCGCCGGTGTCATCTGGTCATGGTTCACCATTCGAAGACCGCATTCGTGTCTTCAGTCAGAACAAACTACCTGCTCGGAAATCGACCGGGTTCCTGAAATTATTTTGGGCTGCATATAATGACAAAATTATTATATTATTGACCATTGCCGCCGTGGTCTCGCTATCCCTGGGGATATACGAGACCGTGTCGGAAGGCACAGGCGTCCAGTGGGTGGAAGGAGTCGCCATCTGTGTAGCAATCTTGATTGTTACAATCGTTACAGCTGCGAACGATTGGCAAAAAGAGAGACAATTTGCCAAGCTCAATAAACGGGCAGGTCTTCCCCTATCAATCCAGAAACTGAGCACAGCTAACATGCCAACAGAACGATGACCGTCAAGTTCAAGTCACCCGCTCAGGCAAACCCGACATGGTTTCAATCTACGATATTATGGTCGGCGATATCCTCCATCTCGAGGCAGGCGATTCCATCCCAGCAGATGGAATTCTAGTTTCAGGCTACGGGGTGAAGTGCGATGAGTCTTCCGCCACCGGCGAGTCGGATCAAATGAAGAAGACCCCTGGCCATGAAGTCTGGCAGCAAATTGTCGACGGCAAGGCAACCAAGAAACTCGACCCGTTTCTGATCTCCGGTAGCAAGGTCCTTGAAGGGTTGGGAACTTATGTTGTCACCAGTGTTGGACCCTATTCTACCTACGGACGGATCTTGTTGTCGCTGCAGACTCCTAATGACCCAACGCCGCTTCAAGTCAAGCTGGGTAAGTTGGCGGATTGGATTGGGTATTTGGGTACAGCGTGAGTTGACTTTCATACTTCCCTTTTGTTGTACAGGTTACTGATGGTGAGACAGAGCTGCTGGTATTCTGTTCTTTGTTTTGCTATTCCGCTTTGTAGCCGATCTGCCCAATCACCCGGAAAGGAACGGTGCTGTGAAAGGCAAAGAGTTTGTGGATATTCTTATTGTTGCTGTCACGGTTATTGTTGTCGCTATTCCAGGTAAGTGCTGATGTCTACAATCATCTGAGCCCTGCTGACATCCATGTTCTTCGCTAGAGGGTCTCCCACTAGCAGTAACGCTGGCTTTGGCCTTCGCTACTACCCGTATGGTCAAGGAGAACAACCTAGTCCGCGTCCTTCGCGCATGCGAGACAATGGGAAACGCCACGGTCATCTGCTCTGATAAAACAGGCACATTGACACAGAACAAAATGACCGTTGTGGCCGGAACCTGGGGCTCGAACCAAAACTTCAGCCAGAGAACCGAAGATGAAGATGTGGAAGGTTCAATGACTACTTCGGCCATCTCCCAGAAACTATCAGCTCCCATCAAAGATTTGATTATCAAGAGCATCGCTTTGAACTCAACTGCGTTTGAACGGGAAAAGGACGGCTCCATCGATTTTGTCGGTAGTAAGACCGAGGTTGCGATGCTTCAGTTGGCTAGGGATTATATGGGCATGGATCTTGTCTCGGAGCGTGGCTCCGCTGAGATCACCCAATTGATTCCTTTCGACTCCGACAGGAAGTGCATGGGTGTTGTTTACCGTGTTCCTGGAGCTGGCTACCGACTGCTTGTCAAGGGAGCGTCCGAGTTGATGGTCGGCGTCTGCACCGCAGAAATTGTCAACATTGATATTTCCAAAGAGAGACCCGATGTGGAGCAGCTTTCTGACGAACAAAAGAAAAACCTTCTGGAGATCATCGACAATTATGCCCACAAGTCTCTTCGAACGATTGGCATAGTCTACAAGGACTTCGCAAGCTGGCCACCGATCGAAGCCAAACATTCTGAGGATCCTTCAGCAAACTTCGAGGATTTCTTCCATGATATGACTTGGGTTGGAGTTGTAGGTATCCAAGACCCTCTTCGCCCCGAAGTCCCATCGGCCATTCGCAAATGTCACTCGGCAGGCGTCCAGGTCAAGATGGTGACTGGTGACAACGTTGCCACTGCCACTGCTATTGCAACTTCTTGCGGAATCAAGACGGAAGATGGATTGGTCATGGAAGGTCCCAAGTTCCGCCAACTCACAAACGAGGAGATGGATGAAGTGGTTCCGCGCCTGCAAGTGCTGGCACGATCATCCCCCGAAGACAAGCGAATCTTGGTCGAACGTCTCAAGGCCCTCGGTGAAACGGTCGCCGTGACAGGTGATGGTACCAACGACGGACCGGCTTTGCGGACTGCAGATGTCGGCTTCTCCATGGGTATTGCTGGTACTGAGGTCGCGAAGGAGGCGAGTTCGATTATTCTCCTGGATGATAATTTCAAGTCCATCATCACAGCGATCGCTTGGGGACGAGCTGTTAATGACGCCGTTGCCAAGTTTTTGCAATTCCAGGTCACGGTCAATATCACGGCCGTGATCCTCACTTTTGTGTCATCTGTGTACAGCAGCGAGAACACCAGTGTTTTGACAGCTGTGCAGCTGCTCTGGGTGAACCTGATCATGGACACATTCGCCGCTCTCGCCTTGTAAGTTGTCGTGTTTTTCCTCTTATATTTCCCCTGGACCTCTCGCTAATGTTTTGGAAAATCAGAGCCACGGATGCCCCGACTGAAAAGATTCTCGACCGCAAGCCTGTCTCCAAACACGCCTCCCTTTTCACAATGACCATGTGGAAGATGATTCTTGGCCAAGCAGTATACCAGCTAGCCATCACATTCATGCTTTATTTCGCAGGCGAAAAGCTCCTCAACGCCCATCTCAGCTCCGAGCCCGAGATGCGCGCGAAACAACTCTCGACCGTGGTGTTCAACACGTTCGTGTGGATGCAGATCTTCAACGAATTCAACAATCGCCGCCTCGACAACAAGTTCAATATCTTCGAAGGCATGTTCCGCAATTACTGGTTCTTAGGAATCAACGCCATCATGATCGGTGGCCAGGTCATGATCGTCTTCGTGGGCGGCCAGGCATTCAACGTGACTCGCTTGAACGGCACCCTCTGGGGCGTGTGTTTGATCTGTTCTATTGCCTGCTTGCCCTGGGCTATCGTGCTCCGACTTATCCCAGACTACTATTTCGGGCTTGTTTTCAATGCCGTTGTTGGCGGTATGGCTGTTGTTTTGCGCCCGCTTTCCAAGGGGTGCAAGGTAATCGGTCGAGGCATCAGGTCTTTCTTTAGGCCTGTGAAGCGTTTCACTCGCCGTATTTTCAACAAGCGGAAGTCAGAAGATGAACTCGAGTTGAAACCAAAGTCTACTGATCCTGAAGAAGCTCCTGAGAGACTACAACTGAACACGCAAAAGCCCTCTCCTGAGCGTCTGGCCACGCCTACTCCTGTCGTCATTCCCCCTATCACGATTACTACGTCTCCTTAGCTGTCATTTTAGCGTTTGTGTTATTAGCGTTGGGCTGGCTGTTTGATATTTTATTGTGTTATTTGTACAAAAAAACACTGGGTTTGATAGAAGATGTGTCTATATATCTTATTCAACGAGAGTATCTAAATACGATCATGGGCTCCCGTACCCCTAAGTATAAGACGTATTTCTCGCTAGATCCTAGTACGTAATCCCAAAACTATTCCTTCTATAAGCCTACCTAAATACGAAGTAACTAGACTTCGGCACAACCCACGACCCAACCCAGCCCAGCCCAGCCCACTTTGGGTCTTGGGTCCAATTCTATGCTGTACCCCAATATGGGTTGTACCTAGAATATATGATACATGCAATTCTACCCAGTATCCTAGTATCATATCTTAGCACTCTCCCAATATATATTGAAGATTTATTTAACCCCCGCCTGACTTTTCAGATGCACATTCCTAATTGGGTAACTACCCTGTTTCTGCCTATCCCTCTTCACACCGCCTTTTACTTTATACACCGCTTTCGTGTCGAACTCCCTATGCAATGACATTAGGTACCTGCAATTTGTATGTAAGCCACTAACAAAATTAAGTCCCTTTTGTTATCAATACTTCATCGACTACTTCATCAACTGCTCCATGAACTGCTTATTGAATATGCATTAAAATAATCATTGGAATATATTAGAATCTGCTTATAGCTGGCCGCTCTGCAAATGGCAAGCAAACAAGACAAACAGTCAACATCACGATGATCCGTACAACTGCATCGTGACATTTAGGCGACTATACCGGCCCAGGGGGTTGTTAACTAGAAATGGCACATTTTAGCCACGTGCCATGATTATGTAAAGATTCTATAGGAGAAGTTAGATCTCAGAGCGATCAGCTCCCACAGACAATTATACTCATGTACATTTTTATCTGGACATTGTTGCCTTCCCATTGTTCAACCTAATCTCCCCGCTTCCGCCCACCGCACCGATATACCAAACGGAAACAGGTAGCTCCCCACAAAGCTTCCTCAACACCAAACCCATTCGACTGGCTTAGCCAAAATTTGATCGAGACCCAACGCTACTCTGTTTCAACCCTCAACCAAACCCCAACCGCTACCATGTCGCAAATCAACTACCGCACCATCAACATTGACGCCCTGGACCCCGAGTCCTCGGCCAACTTCCCCATGGAATCCCTCCTCCCCGCCACACTCCCCCAACCCGCAAGTGCCAGTGACGCCGCCAATGCCGCAACACAGGTGCGCCAGATGCTGCGCGGCGGTGACCCAGAGGGCGCTCTGCGGACTGTCCTCGACACCGCGCCGCTGGGCGGCGACGACCGTGCCAAGGAGGTGCATCTTGCTACCGTTATCGATGTGCTGCAGGGTATCCGACAGGGCGAGATGACACGCATCTTGGAGGGCGTGTGCAGCGGGGATGGAGGGGCTGAGCGGGCTGATTGCTTGATGAAATACCTGTACGTGGAACTACTATCTCGATTGCCAGGAGAGGAACCGTCGGAGGGAAAGTCATGGATTTGATTGCTGATTTATTGATTACAGGTACAAGGGAATGTCCTCGGCTGCTCCCGGTAGCGGTGCCCAGTCGCCGAAGAAGCCAGTTTCGCCTCAGGATACGGGCTTCTCGCAGATCCAGGCTCGCAACTTGGGTGAAGGTGGCGGTGGGCAGCAGATGAGCGTTTTGCTGAGCTGGCACGAGAGGCTTGTGGATATTGCTGGTACTGGATCGATTGTGCGGGTCATGACTGATCGTAGGACGGTTTGAGCGGAGCAAACAACATCGGATGGAGGTTCGTTTCTTATGATATACATTCTGACTGTTTTTGTTCTCGTCTTCCTGGTAGAAGCTTGATTTGCATTCCATACATGTCTGTAGATGATATCTCTCAAGTGTCGCCTTAAGCGTAGTTTTTACATTAGTATATTGTGACAAAATATTGGGCCCTTTCTATTTGCCCTTTTGTTTCCATTGCTTATGGTTTATCAAAGTCACCTCCCTCGAGGATGTCCTTGAGGTTGACATCGCCGGTGCCACGCTGCAACGGCTTCGACTGGCCCTCGCCTTCCTTCCATCCAATCATGTAGATCAACCGGAACGTTGCCGGGATACCACGCGCACCTTCTTCCATATACATGGAACGATATATAGCCTCATTAGCCAACAATACATCCCGTGAAAGCGGTGCCGATTCACGGTTCATGATTGCGTTACCCTCGCCCATCGCCTGCAAATCTTGCATGAGCGCAAAGGTATCTGGGAACTCCACCACAATGTCCTCAACATCAACAGTGAGCATCTTGAACCCAGTACGGCTCAACAAGCTCCCGACATCCTTGACATCCGCCAGAGGCGACACATGCGGGCTCACACCGCCGCGCCGCTCCATATCAGCCAGCTGCAGCGACCCGCGCAGCTCGTACAGCGTATCACCACCAAACATGGCCGCGATGAACGGCGCATCGGGCTTCAGTATTGTGTTCACCTGTTCCAGGAGCGCGGGCAGGTCGTTGATCCAGTGGATCGAGAGTGACGATAGCACGGCGTCGAAGCTGTTCGGTGCGTACGGCAACGTCTCCAAGTCCGGAATCACATCCCGCTGAATGTTGATCTCCTTGTTAAACGGTTCGTTCTCGTCGCGGTAGAGCAGTGCGCGCGATGTCTCCACGCATGTGAGCTTTGAGATCTTGTTTGATAGTGGTGGTGTGATGGTTCCTTCCGGCATGGCTGAGTCGATATTGGGGGATGTGAGAGCTCGGGCGATGTTGCAGCTGTTTGCGCCTAGATCTAGAACGTTTGGAAAGTCACGTTTGATGTCCTATTCATGGTGATAGAAGCTCTTGTCAGTTGATGTGTCCTATTTCTACTTTTGCACTATTGTCCGCGCTTGCTTCGTTGAGTGGCTTACCAGTAAGCGCTCGCATAGCCGCATTGCTACTTCATCTTTCAGGTAGTCGACATTCCGACTCTGTTCGACATTCCGGGCTGCCCGATCTTTTTGGAGGTGTTTGGCTTTGCGATTGAAGACCTCAAGCATTGGGTTACCAGGCGTCTGGCTGGCATATTTTCGGATAGTAGTTGTTGGAGCAGAGCATTGCCTTGAGAGACTTGCACGAAATGTTCGTAGGGGTATCATTGTGGCTGTGGAATGGATATGGAGGATTCTACACCTTCAAGCATGCAAGTCCATGGTTTTGCGGCGATGGCGGGCAGAAAATGGCGGGATCTGACGTCGGTTGTTGATGCGGAAGAGCTCCCTCTCCGCAAACTGTGGACTTCTTGAAAATTGGCGCTTTGGAGACAGTTGGCCTGGAATTATTTTTAATTTCTACTTTGTGCATATTGACTATATTGTGCATAGTACATTGGGCGTGGCAGAGCCATTGTGACCCCCTGCTCCAACAAGTTCCCACGCGCCAACACGCTCCGCTCAGGGTCTGATTTGGCGCAACAAAGTCGGGATCCTGGAAATAAAATATTTTTACTCGAAAAGATACGAATTTGCTACCAGTCAACCTGTTTACTCCATTACGAAGCTCTCGACCCCACAGAGACGAGTCATGAATTGACCCAAGTACACACCTCAAAAGCTACCACATAACATCTCGCTCGCTCCTCCACGTCAATATCAAAATGTCACGTCCTTTTCCATATACATACATATCATGTCCCTGCGCCGACACCCCGGTCCCCGATCCGGCTAGGAAGCGAAGGTCGAGGGAGTCCACGCAGAAACCACCACCGGAGCAAGCGAATACAGATCAGGACAAGAAATTGTCAGCAAAAGACGAACAAGAAGAAGAGGACGAAGATGAAGAGCACACATTTGATCCCCGCTCTCCACGGTCCAACTTCTCGCTGTATCCGCCTGAACAGCTTCTCTACTGCGAGGAGTGTCACCAGATCAAATGCCCCCGATGTATCACGGAGGAGATTGTGAGCTGGTATTGTCCTAGCTGCTTGTTTGAAACGCCGAGCAGTATGGTGCGGAGTGATGGCAATCGGTATGTACTAGGGTGTAAAGGGTTGTGTTCGACTATCCGTTAACACGCACTAGGTGTGGCCGAAATTGCTTCAATTGTCCTGTCTGTACGGCCCCGCTGGCTGTGACTACCATTGAGAATGCCACCGGGAACGGGCCTCGACAGGGTCCGTGGGTGTTGTCTTGCGGATACTGTCTTTGGACAACACTAGACATTGGCATCAAATTCGACAAGCCGACTAATATCCGCAGCCAACTGCAAAAGATGACAGATTCCACTGCCCCTGCTTCTTTCGACCGCTCGAGGCAAGCTTCTCGCTCTTATGGAGATCTGAAACATCCGTTGTCTAGCTATGCCTCTATTGATGGGCAATCCAACGCAAGCGAGCGAGATGGAGAGCAAGCTGCATCAAAAGAAGACCCGGCTGCACCTCCAATGGGCATGGATGCCCGGTTCGCAGCCCTGAAGAACTTCTATCGTACACAAATCGCGGAGACATCAAATTCAGCAAATGATCGTCTTAGCTCGGAATTTGGATTCTCTTCGCCAGGCGCCCTAAACCGGCTTATGTCTCTGTATACGACCTCGTCGCGTCTAAGCGGACTGTATGGCGGCAATAAGAAGCCCAAATCCAAGCCACCTGTTATGCGCGAAGCTCTGACTGCAAGCGAGGGCCTTCTGATCGCTTCAGAAAACAACGAAGCGGACATTATTGCACGACTTCAGTCTCCAGAATGTGGCTGGGATGGCATGGCCTCAATAGACCAGCGCGCAACCCAATCACCGGACGTCCGCTTCGTTGACGATCTCCTCCCACTCCCAGTCCTTCTCCGCACCAAGCGAGCCAAGCGCTGCAAGTCCTGCAAGCACATCCTCGTGAAGCCCGAGAGCAAGCCGCAATCTACTCGCTTCCGCATCCGCCTCATTGCCCTCAGCTACATCCCCCTTCCAACCCTCCGCCCTCTGGCCCTCTCTTCCACGTCAGCCCTCCCAGCCATGGCCCCAACCTCTGACCTCAACTCCCTCCCACCCCTGCGCCCAATCCACGTCCTTCTTACGCTAAAAAACCACATGTTCGACCCCGTCCGCATCACCCTCGCCACGCCCCCCGTAACCCCAGGCCGCGTTGCAACGAAAGTCACAGTTCTCTCTCCGCAGTTTGAGATTGGCGCGAACAGCGATGTCTGGGACGAGGCGTTGCAGGGTGGCTCTGCGCCCTTAACGAGCGAGTCTCGCTCCGGCGCTCAACGCGGAGTCCCCGAGGCAGGCAAGGTGTGGGACAAGGGCCGGAACTGGACGACCGTCGTGTTGGAGGTTGTCCCTGGTACCTTGCCTGGGAGTAGTGCTGAAAACGGCAATGGCGATGCGGATACCGAGACTAATGATGTGGATGTCTCGGCGATTGCGGCTTCCAGGCAGGATGAGGATGTGCTTGAGATTCCGGTGTTCGTGCATATGGATTGGGATGCGGATGCACAGCTTGATCAGCAGAATGTCGGAAAGGGATCTAAGCCTGATGATAAGGTTACCAGGGAGTTGGCATATTGGATGGTGCTTGGTGTGGGAAGAATTCAGGCTTCGTTGTAGATAAATAGGGGATGTCATTGTTTTGTTCATATTTTGCGTCGACTGGTTTGCGTTGTATACCTTTCATACCCCCGAGTGTACCTTTTTCCCGTTCATGAAGCATCGCATAATACATATCGTCTAGTGACGTTTGGGTCTGATACTGCCAAGTCAATAACAGCAGATGAGCTACTTATCCAACAATATCTAGTTGTCCAGGGGTAATCAAGCCTATAATCTACCAGCAGGCTAGATCCAATCCTAGACAAAACATCTAAAGAAGCAATGAAAAGTCGGAATCGTTGAATTGGAATACTATCAGATATTCCATCCCACCCTCATTAGATCGGGAGATAGAGAGAGAACTCAACTCCATCGCCTCACCCAGAGCTCACACCGGACACACAAAGCAATGCAACCAGTGACTGGGGGCAAAAAAAGAAAAGAGAAAAAACCGTCAATGCATTTTTTATGGAGATCATCTCTTTGGAACCCATCAATGGCGTTGAATCTAAGCAACAATTCAAAACCTAGAAACAATGCCATTCTCCCACGCATCAGCCGAGCACATTCCAAGCCCCCTAGCCCCAAAAAAAGTCAAAGTGAACAAAGAATTCTAAATGTGCATTTAGAACTCAGCGCCGCTCTGGGGGAACTCGAAGGCAACGGAGCGGCCGGTGAGGCGGCGGTAGACCTCGCCGTAGGCATCGAGGCGGTGGTCGACACCACCACGCTCCTTCTCGTCGAGAATGACCTTGAGGGTCTTGGAGCCGTCCTCCTTGGTGCGGGTACGCTTGCCGACGATCTCGACGGGGTAGACGAGGTCGGTGAGGATGGCGTCGTGGACAGCGGTCAGAGTGCGCGAGCGGGGACGCTTCTGGGTCTGGGTGGTGCGCGAGTTGGCGGAGCGCTTGGGGCGGGGCAGGATGCGGCGCTGGGCCACGAAGAGAACGTGGCGGTCGGAGAACTTCTTCTCAAGCTCGCGGGTCAGACTGGAGGCGGGTGTTAGTCCGGGTTGTTCTTTGGTTTGAGTGGCTTTGTTTCGGTTGGCCCATTGGGGTTGGAAGGGTTGGTGGTTGCTTACCGCTGCTGGATCTTGTGGAAGTTGTTCAGGAGGGGGACGGGGACGAAGACAATGATGGCCTTCTTGCCGTGGCCGACCTCAACCTAGATAGCGAGAATAATGTCAGAGCGTTGTCCGGTTGAAAGTGTCCTGCACACAGAAACAGAATTCCTCTTGGAACGGCGTCTTGCTCTGCGAATTTTCATATCCATTTGTATATTGCCTCCTTTTGTTGATGATTCCTCTGCATATTGATGATTTTTGGTGTTGGTGGATAAGAATTGAAATCAATCCACAAATTCAACCAATATACCCCGGAGCATCGAATCCCTCGAAAATTCACAGACGCCGTTCCAGAACGATTCAATCCGTATGTCGGGAGCCTCGGACAACAATTCTTACCTCGCGGGCAGAGACGAACTGCAGGGGACGAAGGCTGGCCTTCAAGTCCTGTGTGTTGCTCTCGAGGTCGAAGAGAGCGCCGGCGATCGCGGTCTCCAGCTCGGAGGGGTTCTGCCGGGACGGCGAGTTGGGGGCGATCTTGTTGATGGCAGCCATTATTGCGAGCGACGGGGTGCTGCGGGAAGTGCTGGTGGTGATGTCGACGGAGGGGAGGTTCGCAGATTGAATCGAATGGGAATTTGCTGTGGGATCGGCGCATTCGCTTAGGGCGCGCTATTTCCTGTTTTAGTTTAGCGTGTCCGTCTTAGGGCTCGTTGCTGATTGGGGGGCTGCCGCTGAAGGGGATCCACTATCCGACTCGTCTTTAGTCAAGAACTCTACCCCGGGACTCTTTCTGGCCATATTGTCTTATTCTTCACGGTATGTAGGTACGCTGGAGATGATTTCTGATTGCCAATGCCAATCTCAAAAATTTACACTCTAATCATTGCTGAAACGAGGTGCTGCAGGGAGAGTAGCACACTATGTACTATAAGAGCACACGGAGTCTCCATCGAAACCGGAACAAGCAACAAAAAAAGCAAGAAGGACGCCCGTATCCATGGAAATAATTGCAAAAACATCTGCCAAAAAAAAGACCCAAATCAGCAAGCGCAGCCTTCCTTAGCCGTAGCAGCATTTCGATCACCCAGGTTGACCCGTGAGTCTTCTGCTGACCGATTACCCAACGAAGTCTGACCAGTTCCGGCACCGGTACCGCGACCAGTCTTCAGACTGCTCTCGGGGATGGCATTTGCAATTGCCGTGAAGACTTCCACAACATTGGTTCCGGTCTTGGCGCTAGTCTCGAAGAACAGAAGACCCTCATCCTCCGCATAGGCGGTAGCGTCTCGTGTCGATACCTTGCGAGCATCGCCGGACACGACATCCTGCCCCTCGTCTTCCTCACCGGCACCTTCATCTCCACCTTGGGCCGACTCAGGCTCGCTCTGTGTAGCGCCAACGGCCTCGGAAACATCTCCGCCGTCATTGGTCAAGTCCAGCTTGTTACCGACGAGGGCAATGACGATTCCAGGGCTCGCTTGGCGCTGCAGCTCGGCGACCCAGTGCTTGGCTTTTGTCAGCGAAGAGGGTTTCGTGACGTCGTAGACAACAAGCGCCGCCTGTGCGTTGCGGTAGTACATCGGGGCGAGCGAAGCGAATCGCTCTTGGCCGGCGGTGTCCCAGATCTCGAACTTGATCGTGCGCGTAGGAAGGGAGCATTTTTGCGTCAAAAAAGCAGCTGGAAAGACGACGTTAGATGGTTATTCTAGTGCAAAGTATTATTAAGGGGCCGGGTTGCCCCGTTTGCGGGGAACAACTCAATTTTGGATACAACACACCGTCCCTGGATTCTCCAAAAAGTTTATGATCTGCCAGGAACAGTACCTTGTATCCTGTGGGGGGGGGCTAAGTCCATGGGGAAATCTTACCGCCAATAGTTGGTTCCTTATTCTCCTGGAAATCATTGTTGACAAAGCGGAGGACAAGCGATGACTATGGGCGAATAACAAGAGACGGTTAGCTGTCAAAATCATGTAACATGACGAATAGAGCAGTACCTTGCCCACTGCGGCCTCTCCGAGCAGCACAAGCTTGACGCTGCTGCTCGGCTTCGGGGCATTTGCGTTCGCTGATTCGGACATGGCTGAGACAACGAAACTACGGTAAGAGCAAAGGTGACAGTTAGGCGTCCTTCTGTGCGTTATTCACTGTCAATCGATCAGCGACCAGGCGACCGGATGAGGTGGCAGGTGGATTCAGCTAGTAGCCACAGTGCCAGGAATGGGGCTGTCTGGGGGTAGGACAGCGGGACACGAGGCGTTGCTTGTGCCTAGTATTGGTAAAGTAGTTAAATCCTGGTCGAGGAATGAGAAATGCAAAGCGTAGTATAGACGTTGTCGAAACAAGGGTGATTGAACCTGAAGTTGGAGAGAGGCGGAGGTGGATGATGATGATGGGTGCCTCGATTGGGCTTAGCGCGGTCGTCAGTCACCAGTCACGGGGAGGCCTGTCCAAGGTTGAAGTATACAACTGACATATGCACCTAGCATTGCATTTGCGTTGCTCATACTTCTATTGAGGCTTAGTTTATCTTCGTATCTAATTAAAGAAACTCACAGCAGACCTAAATTGGATGTTCCAGGATTTCCAGCATGGTTCATATCATCTCATTGGATACACTGCACCGATGGCATGCAGATAACATGGATATGAAGATTTGAAAAAGAGTGCATCGAAATACGTGTACTATGACTTGATAAAAAGTAGGCTAGCGGGAGACAAACAGGTTCCTGGCACCTTGACAGCTGTCGCAGATTGGGCACTAGCCTAGCTGGCCTGCAAGATGATGTCGGGCGCCAGTTAGCAAAGACCCTGGTCAGGCTCGGGAATATCCCGACGCACTAGCTAGGCCCGCATCAACAATCGGGCTGTCGTTCCTGTCTCGGCATTAGTCGGCAAGCAAATCTGCCCGATGCTAGCGCAACCGCGGTCGGTCAGGTACAAGCGAAGTACGACGTGAGATGAGTGCGAGTTTGCAAACTTGGGGTTACAGAGCGCATCTATGACTGCAAGTGAAGTCGATGGTGGTCTAGACTGGCTAGATAGAGAATGTAGAGAAGGTAGAGAATGCAGAGAAAAATTAATCCATTGGCGCTGACAATTATGGTTTTTGTGCGCAAAATATTATACACAGGCATCAACGTCAAAATAAAAAAGTACAAATACTCATGCAAATAAACCCGGGAGCTGTACCCATCCAATAGTAAAACAAGAAAGCAATCAAAGCATGCTATTGACCGTGAGGTCGAGGCTCTAGATTTTGGTATCAGCCCATCCCATTCAACATTCCATCCCGTCTATACCAAAACGCCGGTCGATAACGAGACACAGAGACAAAAGAGATGCAAATAAAAACAAATAAAAACAAAGGCACTTTTTTGAGAGAAATAGGACCGTGGTATCGATTCGTGTCAAGAGGTGAAGAACGTGAGGTTAGGCGGAATAAGGTTCGAGGGCCCGAAAAATAAGGATAAGGCTCATGTGCGGAGACGAAAGATCAAAAGGTCGGAAAGAGGGGGAGAAAATGTGCCAACGCTTGGTATCCGAAAAGAAAATGCTGGCGAAAGTCGAGCAAAATTAAATAGGGTATATTGTCGCGCGATGCCTGTAGCGAATAGGCGAGAAAAACGTATGACCCGTGACCGGGGCGAAGAACAACAAGATAGTGTTACAGATCTCTGGCAATTCGGTTAGTTTTGATGCCCAAAGGTGTGCTCGGAGTGGACATGTCTTACCAAAATCACGTAAAACTCCAAACCGCATGTGTCAAAAAAAAAAAGAGAGAACTCCAGCCGCTGTTGGGCGCCAGACCATCCGAAACATGACCGAATGGTGTAGAAAGCAATGTTGAGTATGACGAAGGGTATGTTTCCGAATGGATTTATTTCGGTGGTGGTGGAGGCACGCCGGGCTTCTTCACGCCAGTTGTATCGTAAGCTCCTCTTCCCATGTTGAAAGCAGATAGGTCCCGCAGGATCATGTTCAGGTCTGCAGAGGCAATCATGGTTAGATGCTGAAAGGTAGGAATTTTGGTAGAAAAGAGATGTGCGAGTTCCAAGGCGCTAATGGCAGAGAGTGGGGAATGAGGTAGAAAGACTTACCAAGTAAACACGACGTCGACGCCAGGATCTTATATAGATGTTTCCCTTGGGGAAACAAGCGCGGACAAACGAAATGCCAATCCAACCCCCAGTTGAGAAAATCGAATTAACAGAATAAAATCAGATCCAGATAAAAACCAGCGGTGCAGGCGATAGATGCAGATGCAGTCGGGATCGGAAAAGTCGGTCCTTTTGAAGAATCACCACTGGCACCAGTGCGGGTTCCAACAGATCGTAGGGCAGGAATGTGACGAAGCCCAACAAATGAGAATGGAGTCTTTTGGGAGAGAAGCGAGTCGGTGGACAGGTCGCAGCTCGTTGCTTTTTATGAGTAGAGAGATGGAGAATTAAATCAAGGAATAATCGAAATATTCAAAATGATGCGCGCGAGGGTGGCTGCAGCGAATCCATAAAAAAAAAAAGTCGCAATCCCAACCAAGAAAAACGGGCAGAAGGGATATGAGGTTTAAGACGGCAAGGGAGCCAAGGAGAAAGTGCTCCGGAACTGGCTCCGATCGATCCGGAAAAAGTTCAAATCGACGTATCGCAAGGGAGAAGGGAGAGCAAAGGAGGGCTGTAGGGGGGTGGATGTGTAGAAAGATGGTTATCAAGTATGTTCAAAGGAAACAAGAAGGGAGGGGGGTTTGCGTTGATATACACGGTTTTTTTTCCCTTAGGCATTGGAATCAAAATTAGATTTATCCTTTTAATAATATAATAAATCGAAAGAGGAAAAGAAAATAATAGTATATAATTGATATTGGATATTCGGTATATTCGATATAATTCATATATTTGTTGATTTGTTGATTTTCCCTATGTTTTTCTATATTTTCATTTCTTTGTTTAGCACAGCGGCTCTCCCGTCCCTGGTCCCGGGGAATAGGGAACGGATTTGTCCCCCCTTTCTTCTCCAAACGTTCTAATCTATAGCGCCTGTTTGGTCCTTTATGACACCAAAACAAGCTAAAAAGGTACCCTTGGATTCATCACAATTCCACGAGATACATCCAACCCAGGTCTTCACTACTGTCAGGTCCCAGAAGTCCAGACCTCTCTCTATTATGTATCAACTAGCCATAGAAGCTCTCCACTATAAAGCTAGGAACCAAATCTCCGGGCAGCCTTTGTGCAAAAGTGGAGAACAGAAAAGGGAAAAACAGCCGCAGGAACGAGAAACGGATCACTCCGAGCATTGGATTTAATTCTTTTTAATTTCTATATTTCTCGCGTGGTCGTGGCTCCATCGGTGTTGTTCGTTTTCATGATGTATGTATATGGAGTCCAGAGTGCGTTGTTCAAGAGGCAAGAAACTACAACCCCAACAGCGAACGGATTATGACATATGATGCAAATAATCCAACCCTCCAAGGGTATTTCGGCTATTAATTAAGGCCATCCGTATTTCAGGCGGCCTCCCGTGCAATCCTCACTTAGTAAGACCAGTCGCAAACTTCGGGTCTGGTCCCGGAAGTCTTGGGATCAATTCCTCGTCGATTCGCCTACAATTCGCAATCAACCAGACACAAGACTTATCAAAAGCAATTCCAACATATCGGAATTTTGACTTCATTCCCGGCGTGTCTATCTGATGATTCCCTACGCCCCAATCAAGAAGGGGAAAAAAAAGAAAAGAGGATTATCTTTACGATCCTGGGCTCCATCATAGGGGGTGGAGATACACTAAGCAAAAGGAGGGCCCCCGTAATGATCGAAAAAGTAAAATCCCGTCTCGGTTACGTACGAACATTCTTTTCGCCTTCTAGCCTTTCTTTTCGTTCCCGGCACGCTGGGTAGAGACAATGAAGAACCTTGGTGTCCGCAGGTGTTGTACAGGATGTACTCCGTCCTCCGTACATCACACATAACATCTAGAAACATTCGGAGAGGAAGCCCCACCCCCATAATCCATAATCTAGGCTCTGGAAGGTAATCAAGGGTATCTGCATCCGCTCTCATAATTTGCCACACTGGGGCCGACACATCTCACCACGGTCAGCCACAATCACCCTCTTGCGGTATAGTGACCCCCAGCTGACAGGGTTCACATTAACGACCTTCTAGGCTTGTGAAAGGGACTCGTAGGCGTGTTTCAGCCCGTGTCCACACCATACCGAATGGAGGAACTTCCTCTCCCGCGGGTCTTGAATCTGGGTCTTCCTCGTGGAAATCGGGGGCTGGAAGATCTACCGTACATGGCTACCGTTAAGAGATTCAGAGTTCTCAACGTAACCATGTTCGATCGATCTCACCTCTACATCCTAGCATTGTGGCTTGCTCTGTTACGCTTCTCATTATTGAAACAAGACATTCTCTCTCGTGTCTTTATCTCAGGCGTATCTCCCAGTGACACGTTTCCACATGTTCAAAATAGGGGAAAACTACTCCATACTTCCCCCCGTACTGGAGAGCATCGTGTGGATCAACTGTTTTTGAGGAAAAGAAGTCACAAGCATACCCTAATGTGTAAAAACATATTTCCATGTCCTAATCCAGAAAAAAAAAAAAAAAAAAGAAAAAAAGCCTATGATCCAGCTTCCTATAGTGGAACTGAACTGTTATCGTACGGAAAGAAGCCGTTTCAATTACAGCTAGAAGGGCGCTAGAACCGGGAGAAAAACAAGAGTCCCCATATCAGTCCCCATCGACTCCATCGACCCCATCAGCTCCATCAGCTCAATCCTCTCACAGTCAACCTTAATAGCCTTGGTCGGTATTTCTCCCCCTTTTTCCTCGTTGGGAATGACGTCCGAACCCAACGGATTCTGGATCTTGCATGACCCAAGACGACGGTTCATACGGTGTCGATGTTCCAAGGTTCTAGATGATGTACTAAGCCGAGATAAAGTCTAGGGAGGGTGCATTAGTTCGAAAACAAGGTTGGGGCGATTGCATGAACCGGCTTCCATCGTTTCCGGAACGTCTTAGTCTTCCCGGGGCTGATCCATGGTACGTACACTGTTGTATGTTGTATTTATCTTGCACTGATATTTCTCAAAAGTACATTCCTTGGTTTGAATCTGGAAATCGTAGCTACCCGCATACGCCTTGATTGTGGCGTCGAGATATCGAGACAAAACGGTCGCGGATCACCACCCGCATTGACTTGGAGATTTGCCTTGCAGCGCATCAGGATGCAGGGGGGTTCCCGGTCCGGATGCATCGGGCCCCAGCCGGACTCTTTGCTTTTTGACAGATGTGGATGTGTTATCGCTCCTGAAATTGGGATATCGACTCGACTTTGTTTACTTTTTCCTCTGGGTGTGTGGCGTTGGAGTCGTCTCTTACAACGTACAATCCAAATGTCACTATGGATAGGAGCAGGGAAATAGCGCACTAGGACGCCGCGGATGTGAAGCCGGGCGATCTTCATTCATTTTTCCGATTCTCTCAAAGGAAGGCTCCATAGATGGAAAATTCTGGAAGCACTATGTGCTCCATAGCTGATGGTTGTAACGGGCTATACTTAGGTAGTGTCCACAGTCGGTATTCCGTTGGTACTCCGCTATTATTCAATGGCATTTAGGGACCAAATGGGTCGAATAGAAGGAGAAAAGAAGAAATAGAACGCAAATTAAAGTCCAATCAGTTGGAACTGGAACCGCTTCCCCGTCCCGAGACAAACGCTTTTTTCAGCCGCCTCAATTCCTAGCTTCTCCTTTTTATTTGGTAAATCGTTTCGCCTCCACCAAGTTCCGGCCTTCCTATTCGACTCCCGAAACATGAGACACGACGGCAGCTCACAGCCGAACAAAGAAGGGGAAAAAAAGTGGACTGACCTTTTAGACCTCTCTGGACTCTTTGGATCCTGAGGTGACAGGCCCATACCCACATCAATGACCGGGTTACCTGATTAACTCGCAGAAAAGAACCAAAACTGACGATCGTCAGCTCCACAGCTCCAGCACCAGTGTGCCGGGTTCGATCGTCCCCTTTCTTTTTTTTCCCTGGGTCAACCCCTGACTTCGGTACTTTGGACCTATTTTAGTTGTCACGACATGACGCACGAAGGAGGAGATTATGACTGATCGAGCCACACAGATACAATCAGGTACGACCCACGTCGATATAGACCGGCTTTTGGCCGGGCGATCCCGGCCACTTGATGTGTGTCAACGGATACGGAGTAATGTTCCCCGAGGTACTCCTGCACGGGGGATCATGCCTGAGGATCGAAGTACATCGTACATACCTCCTGCGTCACGCGCTCTGTACTGTGTACATGCAGATATGTTGACATGTAGCGGAGTATACTGTGCAGCTGTATGACACGCTGCTGAGCCAAAGAAACAAAAGTACATTCGCATTCTGCAGTGTCGATCTCTGCAATGCGGCCTTAGCCCTTGGACGCCATCACTGGTGATTTGATGTCTGATCCTCTAGATAGCAATGCAAGATTGATTAGTCGACCTAGGGGCGCCTCCTAATTCGCTAGCTCGTTGACTTCGCGAATTGCAATGTGCTATCTGAACCCGCTAACCTGCAGATCATCAGAGCTACCAGGACCACAATTGAGACCTCGATCTTCCCCGAGGCGATCGCCCTCGATCGCGTCAATCACCTATCTTGTCGTGGTCCTGCATACAATCGAAAACTCTGAGAACCGGGGAAGTGCCTCCCCCCGAAGCTATCAAATCCGACAACCTGGATGTGTCACATTCACTCCTGCTGCAGGTTACATTTCCCCTTTATTTCGATTTTTCATTTCCTGTTCGATTGTACGGAGTATGGGGTACACGATCCACAGCAAAGTAACCCAAGCTAGCGCTGGTATGTAGGGACTGTGTCCTCAGGCCTCTCTTCTCCCCCTACCTACTGTATGCTGTTGCAGAACTCACGTACCAGGAATGATAAAGGATAAAGGCTGCATTGCATTGAAAGAGGCGTAAATATATGACCAAGTACCTGGGACTGCACCCTTCCCGATTCCCAATCACCGGGGTTGGCAATCCAGGGCTGAAATGACCCATCGGAGACTACCTGTCAACCCAGCCACATAGGGTTCCCCCCCTCAGTGACAAGAGCCAACTATGTTACATGCTTTTTGCTTTTTAATATTTGGATCTGATTTCGATTAACTATTTGGAATATCGATTAAGTATGTACGGAATACAGGTGTACAATGTAGAGAACCTTATATCTGTCGTAATCCAACCATGTTCAACCCCCCAACCTCTTCTATTAACTACCAAGGTAGATACTGATACTATTGTTGCTACTAATAGCAAAAGAAGAAGAAACTAATAACAAAACTAGACACCGCGCATGAGAAATCAGCTCCTCGAAGCTGCACAGTGGTATGCCATTTCAAACTGTAAGTGAAATCCCAAGTCAGTAAATCAAAGCAAAACAACCTATAACCTAAACCTTCACCTCCAAGAGAGGTCAAGGTTACGGTCACGGTCAATAATCCTCAATATTTGAGACCACATACCTGTTCATTGGTCTGGCAAATCAAAACCCGGGGCCCCTTGCCGGAATCCTTGGAGATATCCTTGACCGTCTCATCATCTCCAGGCCCCTTGTCATTAGCCGCATCGTCGATTGCCAAGCCTAGACACTGGCATTTATCGACAAGTGCTTTTCTCAGCAAGGCACTCTTCTCACCGATCCCACCGGCGAAGACTACACCGTCTAATTCACCGTTTAGTTTAACGTAGTAGCTGCCGATGTAGCCCGAGATGCGGTCGACGACGATATCGAAAGCAAGTTTATGTGCTTTGGTTGGTGGATTCGCCACTGCGATCTTGGAGAAGTCGGTTGTTCCTGTGAGGGCTTCCCAACCTGATTGTTTATTGAGGATGTTCTCAGCCTGAAGGTGTTGGATTGGGTTAGTATTTTCCTTGCTCTCCTTTTTGGCACTGGTTCTTGGGTATTCATACCGTGCTAATATGCATACTTGTCGTGCTGCCTGGGTTTAGATGGCCTGCTTCGTTGGTATAGTGGAAGACCAATCTAGATCACCAAGTATTAGTTGGCCATAGTTTCATTGCCAAGAAAGCCCATTGGATGTAACTCACGATGGATCAATACTTCCACTACGCGTTGCACCGGGTAATCCTGCCAAAGGAGTGAGGCCCATTCTAGTCACCGTGTTAGCACGACTCTCAACTCGAGATAGATTGAGATGCAATATAAACTTTGCGGGACTCACGATGTATCCACCGACTCTCCGTTCTTGATCGCACAGATCGACGCCCCGCTCCCGATATGCATAACGATAAGATTCGTCTTCTCCTTCGGTTTGTTCAAAAATTGTGCTACAGTCCGCAGGATGAACGAGTAGCTGATGCCGTGGAAGCCATACTTGCGCAGACCATTGGCCTTGGCAATTTCCTGGTTGATTGGGTACGTGCGGACAGCTTCGGGGATTGTCTGGTGGAAACAAGAGTCGAAGAAGGTGATGCTTGGAACTTTGGGGAACTCTGCTTTGCACAGGCGGACTATCTCCAGCGCGGAGAAATTGTGACTTTTGGTCGGGCGGGGTTAGCGGGGTATTGACCAAGGCAGGTATATAGTCGATTCCAGGTATAAAATCCCGGAAATATGAAGACTCGAGATATATGAGCTTACAGAGGTGCGAGGTCTTCCAATTTCTTCAAGCGATCAAGTGTCTCATCGTTGATGAGGACTGCGTCGAGGTAGTCTCCTCCGTGGACGACTCGGTGGCAGATGTACTCCAAATCGTCGATGCTAGCGACTTCTGAAAGCTCAGGGTCGCTAAAACAGCGCTGCAGGAGATACTTGAATGCATCTTGGGGGGTGCTGAGTATTTGTTTGACATCCTGTTTGTGTTTCTTGTCTCCCTTGTGGTACTTGAATGTAGGTGGGGGTGCAGTAATTCCGGAGATCGACGCATCTGCGATCAGTCTCGGTGGGTTCTCGAGGGTATAGAAGTTGATTTTGACGGAAGATGAACCCGCGTTAACAGCTAGGATAGATTTAGTCATTTTGAACCTGTTTTATCGCGTCGAGCGTGTTTTTGAAAATCGGCACGAATTTCAAAAGGTGAAGGATTAGCCGTAGTGATGTCAGGGTGTGTGGGCTGACGTCGATAACACGAAGTACACGGCATGTTTCATGGCAACTTGTTTCTTTGCCTGTTTCTTTCAATTCCACTTGTAGTTTTCACTCATTCACCTATTGTGTCTTGAACTCATTCAATGTTCTCTTGCTCCTGTCAAGTCACTAAAACCCTACTATATCAAATTCATCATGCCTGCAGAAATTATAGACCAACCAAATCCAGCTGCGCTGCCGTCGTATCTACCAGATTATCTTGAGAAACTGAGCGTCAAGTTGGATCATGAGAAACTAGATGAAAAAGCTTGTGATGCCTTGCTCAAGTTTCGCCGAGCGGCTTGTTACATTGCGGCAGGTAATTGTGGTTATGTGCTATATATATTGCAACGGCGCGACTGACTTATTGCTAGCTATGATATTTTTGCAAGAAAATACTCTTTTAAAGTCGGAACTCACACCTCACGACATCAAACCTCGACTACTCGGTGAGTAGCATCCCCGAATTATTCAATTCGGCCATCGTGACTGATGTCATACCCCCAGGTCATTGGGGAACATGTCCGGGCCTAATTTTGGTCTACTCTCATCTGAACTACCTGATCCGGACAAGGAACCTGGACATGCTGTACGTTGTCGGCCCAGGACATGGTGCACCAGCAATCCTAGCCGCACTATGGCTAGAGGGCTCGCTGGAGAGATTTTATCCCGAATATTCGCGAGACAGCAAAGGCCTGCACAAACTGATCTCGAGCTTTAGCACAACAGCTGGCTTTCCTAGGTTGGTGCCTTGCCTTGCCATGCTATTTAGATCTTCGGCTAACAGTTATGCGCAGCCACATCAATGCTGAAACCCCTGGTGCTATCCATGAAGGTGGAGAACTGGGATACGCTCTAGCAGTGTCCTTTGGCGCTGTCATGGACAACCCCGATCTGATAGTGCCTTGTATCGTGGGTGACGGAGAGGCTGAAACCGGTGCCACCGCCACGTTCGTCGATTATTTTCCCCTTTGCACTGTACAACGCTGATAGCGGACAGGTCCTGGCATGCAATCAAGTACATTGATCCCAAGGAATCTGGTGCAGTTTTGCCAATTCTGCATCTGAATGGTTTCAAAATCAGCGAGCGCACAATATTTGGGTGCATGGACCACAAAGAGCTTGTGGCTCTCTTCAGTGGATATGGGTACCAGGTTCGCTTCGTGGAGGATCTCAATAATATTGACGCGGATTTGCACTTCTCCATGACCTGGGCTATCGAGGAGATCCAGAGGATCCAGAAGGCTGCCCGTTCTGGGAAGCCGATCATGAAACCGAGGTGGCCGATGCTGATTCTGCGTACTCCCAAGGGTTGGTCGGGGCCCAAGGAGGTTCATGGCATGTTTCTCGAGGGCTCGTTCCATTCGCACCAGGTGCCATTGCCCAAGGCAAAGACAGACAAGGAACAACTCGATCTGCTGCAGAAGTGGCTCTCTAGTTACAAACCAGACGAGCTGTTCACTTCGACCGGTGATGTAATTGACGAGATCAAGTCTGTGATTCCCACAGAAGACAAAAAGAAGCTTGGTCAGCGCATTGAAGCCTACAATGGTTACAAACGACCGAATTTGCCAGATTGGAGGCCCTTCTGCGTAGAGAAAGGCTCTGACGCAAGCGCCATGAAAGTGATTGGCAGTTTCATCAATCAGACATTCAAGGATAACCCGACGAACGTGCGATTGTTCTCACCGGACGAGCTGGAAAGCAACAAGCTCGATGAGGTGTTTGAAGGCACAAACCGCAATTTCCAATGGGACCAGTTCTCCAACGCCCGCGGCGGCCGAGTAATTGAAATCCTTAGCGAACACATGTGTCAAGGATTCCTGCAGGGTTATACCTTGACCGGTCGCATTGGTATTTTCCCGTCCTATGAAAGCTTCCTCGGCATCATTCATACGATGATGGTGCAGTATGCAAAGTTCACTAAGATGGTCAGCTTCCCTTTTCCCTTGCTAATGTCAATTCTATGCTCACCAAATATTTAGGCGCTGGAAACAACTTGGCACACCAGCGTCAGTAGTATAAACTACATCGAATCGAGTACTTGGACGCGCCAGGAACACAACGGCTTCTCTCACCAGAACCCATCTTTCATTGGCTCTGTGCTGAAACTGAAGCCCACTGCAGCTCGCGTATACTTGCCACCGGATGCGAATACTTTCCTGACAACCGTTCACCACTGTCTAAAGTCGAGAAACTACGTCAATCTGATGGTGGGTTCGAAACAGCCAACTCCAGTGTACCTTACCCCCAAAGAGGCCGAGAGTCACTGTCGCGCAGGAGCCTCGATCTGGAAGTTCTGTAGCACGGACGAAGGAATTAATCCGGATGTCGTGCTGGTCGGTATTGGTGTTGAGGTGATGTTCGAAGTCATTGCAGCGGCGGCGCTTTTGCGTAAGCTCATACCAGAGCTTCGTGTTTGTGTCATTAACGTGACGGACTTGATGATTCTTGAGAACCAGGGTCTGCATCCACATGCCCTGTCCACTGAGGCATTCGACTCCCTCTTCACTGCTGATAAGCCTATTCATTTCAATTACCATGGCTACCCAACTGAGCTGCAGGGCTTGCTCTTTGGACGTCCGCGTCTTGAGCGTGTCACTGTCGCGGGCTATATTGAAGAGGGTAGCACCACCACGCCTTTCGATATGATGCTTCTCAACCGTGTCTCGCGTTACCATGTCGCTCAGCACGCTATTCATGGTGCTGCCAAGGGAAATGAGAAGATCCGGGTGTATCAGCAGGAGCTGAATGCTCAGCTGGAGGGGAGTATCGTCAACACGAGGAGGTATATTGTGGCAAACCGCGACGGTGAGTACTCTATCCTCTTTGCAATTTTCCATGCAATACTGACTTTCACTCATAGATCCTCCGGGTATCTATGACACGCCACAATTCCACAACTTCCACAAACCGGCTGAGCCATTCTGGGATCTTGAGTAGTTCCAAGGTTCTTAAAGCAATGTCAGTTATTCTAGAGCAATCAGGCATGAAAAGTTACCAAAATGAAAGCTCGTCATTTTTTTTTTTTACCTTCTCCTTCTCTTCTGCCCATCCACAATCGAATAGGTTTACTATAGCCATGTTTTAGCAAGAGTAGCTGAACGAGGTAAGACAGAGCCCTGGCCAAGGTCACCGAGTCGTCTGTTCATATCAACCTTGGTCTGATCAGTCAACAAAAAGATGAAGGTGCGCGATTCTCAGCGACACGTGAGAGCCGATTCATCATATTCAATCAGCCTATCACTCATACGCCGGGCTAATCATCGCAGCCCTAGCACACCCAGCAGGTATCCAGAAATGACGTAAGCGAACACGGCGTCCGCGGGTCGAGATTGGAAGCTGCCCAGAATCTGTGACGTACTTTTGGTACCATGTCAGGGTGCCATGCTTGGCGGCCAGAGTTTGGAGGATTTCTGGGAAGCGAATGGATGTGGGGGATGGGGATATACTGATGCAGGCACCAGTGTCAATCTCCTGCATCTCTCCCCACGAAAACCGTTGCTCCCGATCCATACAGAGGATGACATCGCCCCCACTCTCTGCGATCGCATGGCCCCCGGCTCCGCCACTGACTATGGGCGGGGTGTCCAATCGGGTGACATGTGTCTGAGTTGTCTCGCTATACGGAGTACATATGCATGGTTGCATGGGCTCACTCGATTTGTCCGGCCGGAATACCGCCGCAATGTTGCAGGCGAGACTCAATCTCCGTTTGGTCATCATACTTGGGAAATACCTTTGTTCTGTTGGTTGACTGGACCTTGGAGAATCGGTATCGGAGAATTTTTTATTTGGCTGTACCAAGTGTGAATGGCCTGCTTTTCGTGAGGTTAAATACTCCACTGCTTTTGCGATCTGCTAGAGTGAAGATCGGCGATCGTTACCTTTTCTGGCTTGCCTATAAGTATACGAAGTATGAGTTCCTTTGGCTATTTGTTAACATTCATGGACGTTGCCAGTCTATTATGTTGTCCAGGGATGCATAAGCCGATATGAGAAGATGTGATATTCAAATAACCAGTCACGAATAAGGTGCATGTGGATCCTCGTACTCTTTTTCGTAATTTTTTTTCACATACGTACATCCGCGCCATCCGAGGCGGCGGACCTGGATTGTCGTTCATCCGATATCCCGACAAAACTAGGGCCAGAGCCAGACTTGATCTGTTTGATTGTGATTGTCTCTTATTATCTTGAAGCGGTGTGTGGAACTGACTCTTGAATACGAGCAACCGTAGACATAGCCTCGCTATGTCTATTGTAGGATGGAGTGACGTTGGAAGTCGGAGATATAGAAGCCGGATTCTCTCCAACTGCCTAGCGCTTGGTTACCGATTGTCGTGACGCATTTAGACCTTTCATAAGACTCTTCTTTGTGTGCGGTTTTAGCGGAGATAAATAGAATCCCTTATGAGGCAAACTTGGCGACATCCACGCTAATCCCAAAGAGTGTAGGCTTGCGAGGTAAGTTGTAGTTCGGCCCGGTTATCTATCAGATCGCGCCCATTTTTTATGAGGCTTGACTTTGACGCCATCCTTAATCTACCACATCATAGTAGTCCGTCGGGTGTATAAAGTACAATACTCATCGGCTAGGGATACCCCCAGGCGGTTGGCTGCCTGCTCGCTTTTTACCGTATCTTATGGATGTGCCTTTCTATACCAACCGGAGTCGGCCTGTTTCTCAATCCGCTTTGGACGCTGGAAACTGGCCATTGGACATGAACAACTTGAATGTCGGGATTGGTTGCGCCGATGCGGGTCTTATCCTCCCCGGTAGATTATTGTACTCCGTAGTGCATTCAGAGACCCGTGGCTTTGGCCTTGAAAGGTCTTTCCCGATGGTGGGGCTAGTGGATGCTCGGCCATGCTCTTACTCCGTACTCTTTCTCACTTATATTCAAATTGTGCGCGTGGATAATACTGAAGCCTGATCCTTGGCTCTCTTTTGGTATCTTTTCGATTTTGGACAAACGGGGTGGTTGTCTATAAATCTCTTCTCTAGTCGTCTGGGGAATCTCTGTCTATCTTTCAATCCATCCAAGTACTACGGATTTACTGTTAGCTTTAATTTTCTCGCCAATCCCCTGATAGATTCCTCGGGGTCATTCGTTTTCTTTCTCGCCATGGTCGACGTGCTAGAGCTGCAATACGGCTGTCCTGCCTATATCGAAGGCGTTGGCACCTCATATGGATATATCCCATCGCTAGGAGCAGGCATTGCCTTCTGCACCCTATTTGGCCTCTCGTTGATTATCCATACAATCCAGTTCATATGGAAGCGACAATGGTGGGCAAGTGTGTTTAGTGTGGGATGTTTGGGTAAGGCCTATGACATTTGAAACCCTAACTCCCCGCAATACTAACAACATCAACAGTCGAAGTAATCGGCTGGGCCGGTCGTACCTGGTCAGCCAAATGTCCATACAACGGAACTGCCTTCCTAATGCAGATCTCCACCCTCATCATCGGTAAGCTACCTTCTTGCCCTTGACTATCCATGCCCACCCTAACATTCCACAGCCCCAACTTTCTTCACAGCAGGAATCTACGTCGTCCTAGGCCGCTTCATTCAAATCCTCGGCCGCGAATCCTCCTTCCTGAAGCCAAGCCTGTACCTATGGATCTTCTGCACCTGCGACGTAATCTCCCTCGTCGTCCAAGCCATCGGCGGCGGCATGGCCTCCGGAGAAGCCAATACGGTCGGCGGCGACACCGCAACTGGCACGCACATCATGGTCGCTGGAATTGTCTTCCAGCTCTTCTCGGTAACCATATTCGTCATTTGCGCGGTCGACTTCATCCGCCGCGTTATGCGCAAGAATCTGCTGCAGCCGGGGTCCGGCTCGATCCTTCCCCTGTTCGGGGCGATGGTACTTTCCATCATCTGTATCTATGTTCGGAGTATCTATCGTACGATCGAGTTGTCGGAGGGATGGGATGGTTATCTCATTTCTCACGAGTCGTACTTTATTGGGCTCGATGGGGCTATGATGATTGTTTCGGTGGCTGTGTTTAATGTGCTGCATCCTGGATGGATGTTGAATAACGAGAAGGCTGATTCGTATAAAACCGAGCGCACTTCGGTTGATCAACCGGACAGGTACGGGGGGCCGCCGACTCACTGGTGATTGCTTGATCATTGTGCTTGTTACTTGGTTTGCCTGTTTCCTGTTTTGGGATTGGTCTTGCTTCTCTATACCTGTCACTTCTTACGTACGATTTGCCCCAGCAAATACTAGATACTTAATTGGGGTGTTGGATGTTATACAGCGATTAACGTTCCAATGACATAGACTTATGATTAATTTCAATTCCAGGCCATTTTCAAGATATCAGATTCAAACAATAACGAAAGGGTAATAGAGGAACGTTCCGAGTGTGAAGAAGTATGAAGAAGCAGTACTTGACATTTGGAAAAAAAAGATAAGACTCGGGGATTTTACAAAACGAAGATAATGAATGAGGCCAATAACCCCACAGCTGATCAACAAAAGGTATATATCGTAATTCAAGAAAACCATTGGACATATCAAAACCAAGCGCGCCATAAGAAATAGGATAAGGGTCACTGCCTCTACCTCTCGCGCACCCGTCGCAGCTGAAACGAAAATCAACCTGGGAGCACAATCCCTCATGCTGTCATTATCACATATTATCATACGCCATCAACGGCTTCGATCCAGCCGAAGGTGGCTCCTGCAATCAGTATCGCGAATGACCAGACCGCTCCCCAAGTGGCAGCACCTTCGATAGAGACATCACTGATTGTGCCGGCCACTTGAACAATCGTGTTGAGTAAGACTGCAAGCGCGAGTACAATGGACCGAGAAACCAAAACTCTCGTCTTGGTGGTCAGTTTGCCCCAAGTGTTGCGACAAATGGCCGCAACCAAATATTCACCCTCGCAGCAGTTTGCAGACCCATCGTTAGCGGTTGAATAACCAGTAGAGCTAACAAATAAAAAGTCACGCGCAGCCCAGCCAGCAGGAATCAGTGTCAGGAAGAGAACAGGCAAGCCAGCGGGACCAGCATGCGCCGCGCTGATATCCGGGAGGCCCTCGAAGTGAATGACCAGCTGTGTAGGAAGCCAAGTCGCATAGCTGGCGTACAGCACAACGCTGAAAATCGAGGTTGCCAGGAGAGTCGTGAATATAGTGGTAGTCTTATCCTGTAGAATGTTTCGATTGGCAACTGCACCAGCAGGTGTTTGCGAAAGGTTGTGGACGGACGAGGGCCGGCGCAGGAGTGCGAAGGGAAGCGCCGTGGAGACAATCGTGACTCCATATGCTACCAGTGCAGAAGTCGGGCGGATGCCGTAGAAGAATGACAAGAGAGAGTATGTCGGTAGGTGCGTCAGGAATAGGAACGATGCCACATCACGGCCTAATCGCAACCACGAGGTTAGTTTTTTGCATCGTCTATATAGCTGTAGGAGCCTCGAGTCCGGACGCAAAAGGGGCCATGTGTATGGTATTGATACTTACCATCAAATCCTAGAACCCAAGCTAATCCGACCTCCACAGCCCTCCAGGCGATCAAGCCGCCCACTTCCCACCATTCCTCAAGGTGTTTGCTGATAGGCCCGAGATCGCCAACCGTCAAAGTAGAGGTGAGTGTGAAAAGAACGGAGCTCAAAGTGAGACTGCTTAAAACGACAAGGATGAAGCGCGCTGGAGATGGGATGCACGCCAATCGAGAGGTCTGTGCAGTGGCCGCGATCGCGAGCTCACGCGCGGGTCGCGTGTGTTCACTTAACGATACAGTTCGTTTCTTAGGGGTCTTAGTCGGCATTTTGAGGCTTCGAGGCTTGTAGATGTGAAAAGCGAGTTAAATTAAATGCAGAGTCAAGAGTAGAAATCACTGGTAATTGTGTTCACGCGGTTAAAGCTTGGAAGAGAAAAAGAGAAGGCGGGCCAAATGTTTGGTTGGCGGTGAGCACACGATGATGTCACTCTTGCCTTTCCAAGGGCCAGATTCGAGGACTCGGCGACTTGATGTCTCCAGGGCTGCCACATAGTATAGATTTGTAATTACAATAGGACCTCCAATTTGTGAATCTAGGTATGACATATACAAAATAACTAGTCTTCATCTTCACCTTCACCTTCACGTTCAGCCACAGCAAATTCAACTGTCCCACTCTCTCGTCCGCGATTGTCCCGTACAACCATGCGATACTTGCCATTATTCCAGAGATCTTTGATGGTCAATTCGCGAGTACGGCCAAGACTCTCGATATCTCCAATCCGCTCTAAGGTTCTGTCCAGGTGGTTGTCGAAGTTCTCCTTGGCGCAGATTTCTTGGAAGGCACGCTGCATGGGTACGGAATCAGCACGCACCATGGCTCTTGAATCAATGGTGAAGATATTTTCGTGATCGTAAGATTGAATGAAGTCAGCACGGGTCATGATCTCGCGCGCTTCATGGAGCGGAATTTCTGGCAGGATGTGGCCTTGCTCTTCGTGGTAGTTTGACTCCATCTCTTTCTCTTTCTCTACCAGCGCTTTCGCCAGAACCATAGCAGCAGACTATGTTGTGGTTTAAATTAGTTCTGAGTTGCATCGAAGTAACAAGAACCAGAAGATCTTAAAGTGTGTACTTACGGCGTACTTCTGCTGGTCCATCACATCATCATCCATCTCCATTCCGAGGATCCAGCACTTATTTAGGAACCATGTTTTCTCCGCTTGACAGATTTCATCGCAGGTCTGTGTCATATCCTTAGATTTGGCCACACGGTTCAAGAAGGATAGTCGACCGCCGACTTTGTCATAGACTTGCTCGAGGATCCCATATGGAAGTGTCTCGTTGTGGAATTGCTGGCGATATTTCTTCAAAGCACTCATCGCCTTGTCCTTAGGCAGATCTGACACAGGAATGACCTCCATGCGGGTTGCATAACGCTTCAAGCGCTCGTATACCCAATAGTCATCGCTGTTAAGAACTTGAAAACAAAATTAGCTATGGCAAGAGGAACCGACGTTTGTTGGAGTCATACTTGTTGTGACAAGACCACTAGCAGCCCATTGTTCGGCACGCTGCTGAATCATCTCAAGCAAATCCTGTCCGTCGTGGTCATCTCGGACTAGGTGGGTACTGTTGATGATCAATATAAGAGGAGTCGACCCATTCCGCCTTCTGGTGAGAGCCACTTTCTCAAGCTTGTTGAAGGCGCGCTCAATGTCCAAGAGAGCCGTAGTGTCTCTCGGACCACGGATGCTGAAAAGGCTGCCAATATAGCTGGGTACTCCCATTAGCGTTATTTGTTTAAGATGATAACAGTATAAGCTTACTCCTCATGGAATTCGTAGTCCAAAGCTTTGCCCAGTCGGATTCGGAAGATTTCAAGATCAGCATGCGCTTCGAACAACGCACAGCTGTTGCCGTTGATCTTGCGCATGGCCTCCAAAAGCATCGACGTCTTGCCCGTGCCCTTTTCACCGATAATTAGATAGTAGTGGCCACTTTGTTTACCAGCTACAATATCATCAATTCTAGGTTGCTCGTTGCGAATGACCCAATGTTCCTCATGGCTGTACTGGTGCTTCCCAGAAACAACACCCGCGACCTCGAGGGCAGGATCACCTGGTTCGAACGCATTGTCCATCTTTTCCAAGATCAGGTACTTGTAGTACTGGTGATAGGAGTAACCAGCCGCGCTTGGGAGAAAATTAGCCACAGTAACGCATGCCTTGAATAATGCAGGTACACCTTACCCTAGAATAGCAATTGATGCTGCCGTAGTTGCCGCAGTTTCAAGCATTTTCAGAATAGTAGATTTGAAGTTGGGGTCAGAATCGCCGTTACGGCCCTGGCCCTTGCCCTTGCCCTCATCCGAATCATTCTGCTCGGAGGGGTTTGGATTCATTTGACCAGGGGTTGAGTTGAACCGCTTGCATGTGTGTGATACAACGCGGCTGTTAGTCCTGGGAGGCCTTGGCAGGCCCTGTCGGGCATAGCACCTCGCAGGCTGTGCGAGTCGGCTCCATAGCATCGTGATTGGCCTTTTTGTTTGTACGGGTTGCTAAGTCCAGTGAAAGGCAATGAGAGTGAGAATGTATATCTTTGTCAAAGATAACCAGAACTGCAGATGGCTGTGTAGGACCTGTATCGATATAAATCACAAAGGTTGAAGGAGTGTACTGCTAGGATTCTAGACTTGTAGATGGTTGCGCAAGCCACACCTCTAGGGGATGACGCGTCGGTGAAAGAGAGACTGTGGGAGATTTTGCGGATCGAAAAGACTGAGTATCAGAAGAGAAACAAGAAAACAAGGAAACAAAAGAGGTTAATGAAAGACTAGAAGAAAGAAAGGAGTTCAAGAAAAGAATTAAGTTGTGGCTGAGCTGTGGTGTTAACATCAGCCTCGATGAACCAGGGACGCGGAAGGCTTGGCGAATCAGATCGCCATCTATTTACGTTGCGCAAGTAGAGTATGTATTACTACAATGAATATATGGGGTTTCTCTAATTGGTTTTCCTCAAGGTCTGTGTAAGACAGTGGATCCTTGAAAAAACCCAGTTGGCTTTAGGAGAGTAAATAAGGTGTCTATAAAGTACCATAGCCTCTATGCTGTACGTGGATTCTAACTAACAATTGCGATATCCAATCCATGGGCTCATCCAATTCCTATTCAATCTGCTAGAAGGGATGACTAAGTAAATATGTATCTAGGTAACTAATCTACTACTAGAGAATAGTTGAAACCCCGAGTTATAGATCTCAGCCTTTGTTCTACGTCACATATATACCCAACCTGGCAGAGTCTATAATCCACTCATTCACCCAGTTGAAAAGTTGAAAAGTTGAAAAGTTCCTCGAGCACTAGGTCTTAGAATTCAAACATTTAATTTTGCTCCATCTATATCCCTACCTCGCCCCTCTCTTTTTAGTCAAGTACATAGTACATATAGCGTCAGCTCCGTTAGAATTAAACCGTCTTCACGATACACATTTTATCTTCTGCATATTAAGATAGACTAATTAAAGACAAACCTTGCCTGGGAAATGATTTATTACCAATAAAAGTAAAATGAAAAGTAAAATGCCACGGTGTACACAATCGCTAATGCACATTCGAAAAATATTGATACCTGAGGCACTACAGCGTCATACTTGTAGATCTATGGGATTGAAGTCAACATCCAATCAATGGGAATTATATAGGCTTACCTTGGCAGGAATATAGATTTCCAATCTATATATAATCGCAAACTAATTACACCCTTGCCAAAAAGTCACAGCCAAAATATAGACACTGTGGAGAATGAATGTCCTCTCCGCGCTCTTCCTTGAAACCCACCGCCCGAGCACTTCCGAGGGTATGCCGCATCCGAGAAATTTTCTCTCCGGTCTCCCAATTTCACCGTCCTATTCATTCATCCTTGCCTTATTTTCAACTTCCTGGGGTACGGGGTTTTTGTTTCTTGCTCAATTGCCCTTATATTGTATACTATCCTAAGATTTCTATCTGCCGAATCCCTGGAAGCTCCACTGGTCTTCAACTTTTTTCTTTTCGTTCCATTTTCCCGAACTTTGTCTCTCGCCCGCGTGACGGTTGTGAGATAAGGGTTTACTGTTATTCTTTCGTCGAAGCTCTCTTCATAACCGGCTCGACATAATGGCAGAGACCAATGGGGAGTTGGAGCACTCGAAAGGTGTGTGTTCCTTGGAACCTCCGTGCTGGACAAGGTCTATTAGAATACAGCATGGGCTCCGGGTAAAACAAGATGCAGGGCACACAAGCTAACGGAGGAACAGAGGCTCCTCAAGCTTCCCAAGAGATTACCAATGGCAATGCCCCCGAGGGCACAGAGGAGGACAACACCGGTGGTATGTTTTGTAGACAGGCGCAAAACTGTGTAGCGGCGTTCTAACCCGACTATAGGTCTTTTCCAGATCACCGTGAAGCTCCCTCATGCGCCTCATAAGATTCAAGTGATGGTGGGTTCGATGTTTGGAAAAGCCACAAATAGCGAAAATTTATCTGACCTGTTTATTCCTCTAGGTCTCCAGCCAAGAACAGGTCCAGGATGTCCGCCAATCCATTGTCGAGTTACCGGGAACCTTCCAATACACTTGCTTCCACCTCGAGTTCAACGGCAACCGCATCAACGACTTTGTTGAGCTGTCTGAGGTCCCAGACCTCGAGGCCGACTCCGAGATCGTCCTGGTCGAAGATCCCTACACCGAAAAGGAAGCCCGCATGCATATTGTGCGGATCAGGGAGCTAATTGGTGCTTCTGGTGACCGTGTTGATAACCTCCATGGTATCTCCGCTGGCCTGTCCTTGCACGATGCTATCACGGCAGACGCTATCAAGGCCGGCGAGTCGGACAAGGAACACTCGCTCTCCAAATATGACCTCACTGGACCTTCACCGCTGCAAACTATCCTGCCCATCGCAGAGGCTCCTCTGCCAAAGACAGTGAAGTCTATCTCGTTGTCTGCATGGAACCCTGTTCCGTACAACCTCCGCCAGAAAGGCCACTTGCTTTACCTCGTGGTTTCTACTAACGAAGGTGAACAATTCCAGATCACTGCCCATGTGTCTGGTTTCTTCGTGAACAAGTGCTCGAGCGTCAGATTCGACCCATCCCCGAAGCCAACACACCCCAAGAAGGGCAGCGCCCACTCCTTGCTCACTCTCATCTCTCAACTCTCGCCCTCGTTCGACGCCTCCTTCGAGGCCCTGCAGGAGTACAACAATGAGAAGGATCTTTTGACCACTTTCCCCTTCCAGAACGCCATCCCCAACAGCCCATGGCTCATCGCCCCCAGCAGTTCAAGCTTGAATGCTCACCAGCCCGATATCACCCGTTCGCAGGAGAACTACCTGATCTCTGGTGTTGATAATGCCGAGACTCTGCGTGACTGGAACGAGGAGTTCCAGACTACCCGCGAGCTGCCCCGCGAGACCGTTCAGGATCGCGTGTTCCGGGAACGTTTGACTTCCAAGCTGTTCGCTGATTATAACGAGGCCGCCGCTCGTGGTGCAGTCCTTGTTGCCCGGGGTGAGGTTGCTCCTCTGAACCCCACTGAGGCGCGGGACGCCCAGATCTTTGTCTACAACAACATCTTCTACTCTTTCGGTGCCGATGGCGTTGGAACTTTCACCTCCGAGGGTGGCGACGAAGCCGCACGTGTGGCTGTGGGCAAGGATGTTCTCGGTATCAAGGCCGTTAACCAGCTTGATATCGACGGACTGTTCACTCCCGGAACCGTGGTGGTCGACTACCTGGGCAAGCGTATTGTTGGCCAGAGCATTGTTCCTGGTATCTTCAAGCAGCGCGAGCCCGGTGAGCACCAGATTGACTACGGTGGTGTTGAGGGCAAGGAGGTTGTGGCTACTCACGCTGACTTTATCCCGGTCTTCGAGAAGCTCTCGAAGGCGCTGCGTGTCAAGCAGCACCCTGTCTGGGACAAGGAAAACAAGCGCCACGAGTTGGAAGGTAGCGTCGAGACTAAGGGACTCTTGGGCACTGACGGCAGGAAGTACGTCCTGGATCTCTACCGCGTGGCTCCTCTGGATGTCGAGTGGCAGGAAGAAGATGGAAGCGATGTTTACCCCCACCGCATGTCCGTTCTCAGACTTGAGTTGGTCGAGTCCTACTGGCGCCACAAGATGAGCCAGTACGTGAAGGCCCAGGTGGAGAGTCGTAAGGCTGCTGCCGCCGAGGCTGCCAAGGAGGGCAAGCCTGAGGAGGAGAATGCGGAGCAGGATCGTGTTGACATCTCTGATTTCCACCTTGCTCTCAACCCCGATGTTTTCAGCGGCCAGGTGCCCCAGACTGAGGAGGAGAAGAAGCAATGGGCAAAGGATGAGCAAGAAGTCCGGGATGCCTGTGATCACTTGCGATCCAAGGTCATCCCCGACCTGCTCAAGGACCTGCACGACGGCGACGTCGGCTTCCCCATGGACGGTCAATCGCTGACCCAGCTGTTGCACAAGCGTGGTATCAACCTCCGTTACCTCGGAACGTTGGCCAAGCAATCCGCCGAGAAGGGACCTCGCCTGCAGGCCCTGTCCATCCTCGTGGTTCAGGAAATGGTTACTCGTGCCTTCAAGCACGTTGCCAACCGCTACCTGAACAACGTTCCCGCCCCCTTCGTCGCCCCTTGCCTTGCTCACCTGCTGAACTGTCTCCTCGGTTCAGATGTCAACGCTACTCCCAAGGCGGAGATTGACGAATCCCTGCGTGCGATCTTCCCCGAGGGCGATTTCTCTTTTGAGAATGTCACTCCCGAGTCCCTCCGGGCCGAAATCGAGAAGCAGGTCACCATCCGCTTCCGCTTCTCCCTTGAGAAGGACTGGAGCAACTCCCTGAGATACTTGCAGCTTCTGCGTGATATCTCTATCAAGTTGGGTATCCAGCTTGGTGCCCGTGATTTCGCCTTCACCAAGGATCAGGTCAAGGAGCAGGTTGTTGTTCCTATCACTAACGGATCCACACACGAGGAGCCTAAGAAGAAGGGCAAGAAGAAGGGTGGAGACAACAAGTCCCCTACCCGTGCCGCTCCAGCGCCAGCTAAGCCCGCTGTCACTTTCACTGCTGATGACATCCTGAATGTTGTTCCTTTGGTCCGTGATGCCTCTCCTCGCAGCGCATTGGCAGAGGAGGCCCTGGAGGCCGGCCGTATCTCTCTCATGCAGAACCAGAAGCAGTTGGGCCAGGAGCTCATCCTTGAGTCTTTGTCTCTGCACGAGCAAATTTACGGTATCCTGCATCCTGAGGTCGCCAAGCTCTACCACCAGCTTTCCATGCTGTACTACCAGACTGATGAGAAGGAGGCTGCTGTGGAATTGGCCCGCAAGGCCGTCATTGTCACTGAACGCACTATGGGTGTCGATTCAGCTGACACTATTCTGAGCTACCTTAACCTGAGTCTATTCGAGCACGCCTCTGGTAACACCAAGACCGCTCTGGTTTACATCAAGCATGCTATGGATGTATGGAAGATCATCTACGGTCCTAACCACCCCGACTCCATCACCACAATGAACAACGCCGCCGTGATGCTGCAACACCTCAAGCAGTACAACGACTCCCGCAAGTGGTTCGAGGCCTCTCTCTCCGTCTGTGAGGACCTCTTTGGCAAGGACTCTATCAATACCGCCACTATTCTCTTCCAACTCGCCCAGGCACTCGCTTTGGACCAGGACTCCAAGGCTGCCGTCGGCAAGATGCGCGAGGCATACAACATCTTCCTCACTCAGCTTGGACCCGAAGATCGCAACACCAAGGAGGCCGAGAACTGGCTCGAGCAGCTCACTCAGAACGCTGTCTCTATCGCCAAGCACGCCAAGGACATCCAGGCTCGTCGTCTGCGCCGCAACCCTCTGAACCCTCGTGTGTCTTCCATGGGAACCCGTGTTCAGCCCCAGGTTGGCCAGTCTGCGCCCGAAATCAGTACTCCCACCGATCCTTCGGCTCTCGACTCTCGCAGCATCGACGAGCTTCTGAAGTTCATTGAAGGTAGCGACGCCACCTCTTCGCGCTCCAAGCAGAAGAAGCGTGCAGCCACCAGCAACCCTAAGCTTCGCGGCTCCAAGCAGTCTAACAAGGCATAAACGATTTCCTACGCCAGCCAGTTCCAGCCAATTTAAACAGCATTAATTGGTTTCCGTTCTTATTTTCTTGGCTATTACATGTGTTAATATCTATATCCATTGTCATTTTGGGGATCGGTGGGCAGGCTTGATGAGCAAAAAGAACTGTTGTATTTTAGATCTCTCTCCTCTCTCCTTTTTTTTCTCGTTTTTGGTTTCATCTGCCAGGTTGGGTGGTCTCCTGGGCCGTGCATGGAAAGGACTCGGTTGTCTTAAAATGGGCTCATATCTGGTGCATTATGCGGATTTGCCACTTGGGTCATTTTCTCTTTCTGAGTAGAATCAATTACGTCGATATGAAGTGTTTGAAATGGAATAGATGCATGTATATTTACCTCCAGGAACATGATTGTATACATCTGGAGACTAAGATCGCCATAATAGGCAATATGTGTGTGTTTACCCGCCTTGTTGTATTAGTCAACGTTTGTTTTATTTGTTTGCTCATCCAATGTTGTCCTTCATTTTTCACTCAACGCACCCTGTAATTATTCTTCGGCATATCTTATTTACATTGGCTTATTGCTGCATTATTGGCAATACCTGGTTGAGTGCCATCATTGTTCCTATCATGTATCATTGAGGGGTTTGTTAGTAGGGAGGTTGGTACAGTGCAGCCCCAATGACCAGAAGAACCCTGTGACAGTGCTGATTCTTTTGTATGCTAGTAGCAGTTATTATTATTCCTTTTGTCCTAAATGGAGGATGCCCAAGCCACCGCAAAATGGGCAAACCGTGTCCTGCGCCCCTTGACCTCCATCTGCCGTCGAATCGCAAAGCACAAAGAAACGGTGTCGATGATCGCGACCGAGTCAAAACTACAAGAAACAGCAGAGAGCAATGATTTGCCTACTTCGGAACCCGACCACAAACCAGAAAGTCGGCACAACTGCTCAGGCTCGGATGCGGATCCGGATGAAAACGACCCAGCTTGGATTCCAGGGAAAAAGCCCGAGCGACGTCGACCCAGACACAAGTATTCGTCCAAAGCAGAAGATACTGCAGGCAAAAAGCGCGATAGACTATCAATACACAGCCCAGAAGCCCCACGCACTCTGCCCGGCGCTATTGAGGTCGCGACACCACTCATCACTGGGAGGAGGTGGGAGATGCCCTCGAGTGCACCGTCAAAACGCCCGGAAGGCCATGCCAACCCCAATAGCCAACTACCACAGCCGCAAGTGTTCCGTGATCGATATTCGCTCCACAAGAGCCCTTGGCAAGAACTTCTTGACCAGTCTGGTGATCCGGGCTTCGCCAGCATAGCACACAATCTTGATCGCGTCTTCCAAAATTTCCTTTGCAATACTGTGATATCGACGCGAGAAGTGAAGCCCTTATCCGAAACAAACAGGCGTGGGGCACGATCCTTGCTGTTCATGGTGGCACGAAGTTTGCCAGAATTTATTGCGAGCGAGCAAGAGGCGCAGGACGAGTTGGACGAAGACGGGGACGAAGATATGTGTAATGCATATTTTACAGAATTGGAAGCATTTTATGCGCCTTATGGGACAGGCTGGAAGCCACTTCGCGAGGCTGTTCGCGCCCAGGGTATCTACTTGATTTCTACCCTGATACAGAATCATTGGATAACAGATTCGATTGCATGCGCGCTGATTGAGAAATGTCGTTCCTTTGCGCCCGAAGAAAGTGACTCTTTGCTCTCTACATTGCTTTCCACACGCAAAAATTACCCATACCCCCAGGCTGTAAGGCCAGTGGTTGGCCATGACCTTTCGGATCCGGTCCGATTGTTACACAAGTATGCTCATCATGGCGTTGCCAATCGCTCTTACATCTTCGATGAACTTGCGAAGCTTCTCTTGCGGGGAGTGCTACCTCCAGAGTGGATGGGAACCAAGTTGTGGACTAGCTGGATGACACGAGCAACGATATCCCTCTCAAAAGAGGATGAAGACTGTCCTGCAGCTACGCGTCTGATTGAAGCTGTGATTCTCTCAGCTAGTGGTGTCCGCTCTGTCACCCCTGCTCAGAGTCCTACACCAAAATTACTCGTGAAGGGAAAGAAGGGAATGACTGCCCGTGCTCGTACGACCAGGGCTGTCCCCATAGCGTGGGAAATCTCAAATATTGCACGGCCTTGTCCCTTACAAGTGAAGGATGCACTGAGCAATCACGTTATAAGCCTCATGGCAGCGATCTGCGGCATGCACATTTCAAGGTCTCGTGCCTCCGAAGACACTGATTGTGCGGATGGAACGAAGGCGAGCTGCATTACACGCTATCTTCATATTGCTCTGCAGCGAGAACTAGACTCAATTTCTGTCGTGCAGCGGCCTGATAATACCCCTCATCAATTATTACGGCGTGGCTGCATCTTGCTGGCTACCAGTCTTGTACAGTGCAACGACGAAATTTTATTAAACAACCACTATACGATGGTGTCAACAGCTAGCATTGACGAATACGCGGAGGTTATAGCATCTCATTCTGACATGATTAGAGAATTAGCATTGTTTGTACACCAAGCGTTCCGCTGCCTCAGAAAGAAAGCAGAAGATGAAACCGAACATACTGGCGGCGAAATACGAGACATGATTTCGCAACTCGTTCGCTTAGCTGATACACCAGCTTTGTCCACTTTGCTTGGGCGAGTGGCGGCGGAAGCTGCCATGGAGTTTGCAGAGGCTACAGGAGATCCCGATGACCACATCTGGGCCATCGACGTTCAGGAGGCAGCCGTGAAAAAACAGCGCCAGGAAGAGACTGCCCAAAGGTCTTTAGAAGAACCCGAGAAATCTAGCCAGAGTACGGGTCTGTTTCGCTGGGAAGATAGCATAGGGGAGTGGGTGGCATCTACGCCAGCGACCAAGGGAAAGCCCATCCTGATGCAAAGGCCCATGCGCATGCTATCAAGCCCGGTCCCCTGTATCGCTTCTTCTACAGACACAAACAGCGGCTCACCTGGGTCTGATCGCTTCCAGGACTCTGTCTCAAGTTTGACCTCATCTCCCCTGCCGATGGCGGCCAAGCGGACTTTAGAGGACACCGAAGTTTCACCAACACGGCCTAGAAAACGGCAACGACTCACTCCAGTGGTTGTAGTTGACAAGGGTGAAAATACCCCTCAAGTACGCTCTACTTTCTCGACTAGATACAATCCTACCGTGGAACTAGTCACTCGCCGGGACATCCTGCGAGAGCGCAGCACCAATCTGGCTAGACGGATGACCCCGGCAACACAACAGGCACGGAAGGTTGAAGTCGTGATCGTCAATCACAAAGAATGCAGCCCGCGTCAGCCTATTGCTCGGCCCCCTTTGGAGCGTGCTGCGAAGCAGGTCCATCGTACAGTAGAGAGGCGAAGGTCTACGCGCCCTTCGGTTTCAACCATGGGCGGCATCGTTGAGCCGCCGAAACCTCGACAAAAGGTCAATCCATATTTTCAGGATAGTGACAGTGACGACGAGCTCAGCTTTTTTTGATCGGGGCCTGACCCGGGGCTTTCTTGGCTAATTTTAGTTGAGATTACCTTCGCGAGCAGTGTCGGATACCCCCCAGAGTCCCCTGGTTCATCCATGAATCTGGGATGTGTATCCCACTTTACATTGTAAAGAGATCTTTTGGCTGTCTATGGCTGATTTTGATCAATCGTTTACGAGACCTTGGCTCATTTTTATTTGGGAACGGTGGATATGGATGGTCCGCTTTTGTTTTAGGAAATCGGTGTTTAGTACTTTTGATTTGATACCCATGGCGTTGGATTAGGGATTTTTGCTGTTTGGATGTTTGGATGTTTGTTCATGGCCTCTGTAATCGATTTTAGTTTTTCTCAACTTTGGACTAGTCTTTGGACTTCACGATCCCAACAATGCCAATGATGCCAACGGTGCCAACGAATGCCAACGGATGCCAACGGAAAGACCCCACGATTGGACATGAACCTGAGACAATTCACATGCGCACTTTATATGGCACCTAAGATAAAACAAATTGGAAACGAAACTCTAGCACAAGGCCTTGAATTATTCATATCATCCCGTTCCAATTCGCCAAACCACGGAGTAAAGGACAACCTGGAAAATGGCAAGAATATATTCATCAGATGCAGGCCAAGCACAGTGTCTCGGAGGATAATTCTCCGTGAGAGGAGATTCAGGTCTGATATAAATGAAATCCGCCAAGAAAACACCCCCTGGAGACGGGAGATAACCTTTTACAGTGACGACTGGAGCAAATAATGACCGGAGTTGTTTCACAGCCCCTAATGTGGGTTGACGTGGGCGCTAAAGGAGACGCCAAGCATCAACACGGATCTGCTTCATCCACTTGGCTGTTTCACTATTGAACAGTGCTGGCCAGTCACAGCTCTTGATCGGTATTCCCGCCACTTACGACAACTCGGGCTTGACCTGTCGCGTGTTCTATGTCCATGTTTTGCCAAGCTCTGCTGAGGTTATCTGCAAATACGGGCCCCTGATTTGCTGCATTGGATCTGCAGCATCTTCCATACGGAGTACGCACATGAGAAATCCCTTACACTCACCTGTGGTCCCAGCGTCAAGCCCCCCTCCTTCGAGAAATTTGAGAACAATCCCGGAAACCAAAATGGAAATGACCGAATTCCACATTGATATGGGCCGTGCTGGAGGTGGAGAGTCTTGCTGGAATTCTACATATTGGTCCGGTTGGCCCTGGCACTGTCTTACTCTCTCTTCACTAGGACTAAACACAAGGGGAAACAGTCCTTTCTTCTATTTTCGATCTTTCATTGTTCGTTTTCTTCTCTTTTTCTAACTACAATCAATATTGTCTCATTTATTTTGTCTTTGTTATTGAGACAATCCTCATTCTTTCACTGTGGACAATTCTTCATCTTTAGCCCATTTTTTAGCAGTGACTGGATCACTAGCATTCCTGTCGTTGCCCTTCGACAACAAGCCTTTAACAAACATCGCCCGCTGTTCTGTGAACATCTTCGCTTCCCACCGAGCTCGATTGGACTGACAACATATCGAAAAACGGCTTTATTCCATGCTTTCCGTCTGATTTCTATACATAAGATATAGGCAGGTCCTTTACTTTACACCAGCCACCCAACGGAAACCCCTTTGACCCTTGCTTCTGTGGTTCGACCAAGCAACCTAAGGTTATTTCGTTTACTGTTACCTCTCGACAATATCTTCCGAGCCTTCTGTGGGGTCGATCCAGATATCAACGTTTCCCTTTTCATACACTCTTTTCTAGCGAGCCGGCCTCGCTAAACCACACATCAAGTTCAGTCCCAAGCACTTGACGTGCATCTTCTGTCATCATGCACTCCTTTCTGCTGGCGATGTCCCTCGCTGGGCTGACCAGTGCGACGGATATTGAATACATCGAAAAACGATCGGGTTACTCTGTCTACTACGAAGCCATCAACGATAGTCTGGCACGCTATACAATCCTTGCCCTTGGCTGTGCTGCCGCCGCTTATTACATCTGGCAGCTCGTCTTCTGCTTCTCTCGCCACCTTCGACGCCTGGCAAGCTTTAACGATGACCGGCAACGGTACTTCGTCTCAACACACAATACCTTTGCCTGGATCAAGGAGCATATAATCTATGCTGCATTGTTCCGAAACCGACACAACCTTGAACTCCAGCTCTCGTCAGCTATTAACATGGGTACTTTGCCTAGCCGCTTCCATGCGTTCCTTATCACCGGCGTTATCGCCATGAACGTCACGCTTTGCTGTGTGACAACTCCTTATGGAACCGAAACAGACACGCTTGCTGGTGTCATTCGTAACCGTACCGGCGTGATGGCAACGGTGAACTTGATCCCATTGATCTTGATGGCAGGCCGTAGCAACCCTCTAATTGCTATGCTCCATGTGCCTTTTGGTACATGGAATCTGCTCCACCGATGGCTCGGCCGCATCGTGGTGCTGGAGAGTCTTGCACATGTGTTTGCATGGGCTATTCCCAAAGCCCAAGCGAAAGGCTGGAAGGTTGTCGGAATGGCTCTGGGTGGTAGCAGCTTTTTGCTGACTGGCTTGGTGGCTGCTTGCGCGTTCACTGCGCTCTTGCTGCATTCGCCCTCGCCTATTCGCCATGCATTCTATGAGACATTCCTCCATTTGCACATTGCCATTACGGCAGTTTCCATGGGTTTCCTCTGGGTCCATCTCAACGGGCTGCCAGCGCAAGCCTATCTACTTGCTGCCCTCATCCTCTGGGCACTCGAGCGAGCCACCCGCTTCTTAATCATTGTGTACCGCAACTGCGGTCGTGAATCCACCACCGCAACCATCGAGGCTTTGCACGGCGACGCAATGCGCATTACCCTGCGCCTAGCCCGCCCCTGGACCTTCCGTCCGGGTCAGCACATCTACCTCTACATCCCAGCAGTGGGCTTGTGGACCTCACACCCGTTCTCCGTTGGCTGGAGTGAAACGGCAGACAGTCATTCCGACGAGAAGTCTCTCCCACTCACAAGCAAAGACATCCTCAATGCGCCCCAAAAAGAAACCATCTCTCTCCTCGTCCGCCGCCGGACCGGAATGACCGACAAGCTCTTCCAGCGCGCTTCAAACTCCCCGACCTCACAGATTACCCTCCGCGCCTTCGCCGAGGGTCCATATGGCAACATTCACACCATGGACTCATACGGTACGGTGATGCTCTTCGCCGGCGGAGTCGGCATCACCCACCACGTCCCCTTCGTCCGTCATCTGGTCGCCGGGTTCGCGAATGGCACCGTCGCCGCCCGCCGCGTCACCCTCGTCTGGATTATCCAGTCCCCCGAACACTTGGAGTGGATCCGGCCCTGGATGACCAGTATCTTGGCAATGGATCGCCGCCGTGAAGTCCTGCGCATTATGCTCTTTATTACACGGCCGCGCAACACCAAGGAGATCCAGAGCCCCTCTGCAACCGTGCAGATGTTCCCTGGCCGTCCGAATATTGACACACTGGTCGGTATGGAGGTCGAGAATCAAATTGGTGCCATGGGCGTTCTTGTCTGCGGCAATGGCGGTCTGAGTGATGACGTTCGCCGTGTTTGTCGAAAGAGGCAGGCTCAGTCTAGTGTTGATTATGTGGAAGAGAGTTTCTCTTGGTAGACTGACGTACTGGTAGACATATGTGGCTGTCTTTTTTTGGCGTATGAGCGTATTTGTTGTGATGGTCCCTGTCATCTTTTTATGCAGGATTATACGACAGTCTAATCCTGTTGCCTGTTCGCTTTGCTTTGCAGCTGGCTTTTCTTGTATACTTTGATCGTTTTGTTCTCTTCTGGCAGCGATCTTCCTGTCGTCATGGGCTTATAGAGTTGTACATATCTTTCCTGCGAATGCACGGTTTGATTAGAAATTCTTCTCAACTTAAGCATCGAGGCCCAATGATTCAAACAGCAGTCCAGGGAATAACCGCCGACTTCGTCGTTCTCCACAAACAAGCCTTTAACTTGTAGCGACCTGCCTGATGAACAGCCCTGCCTCTCGTTCACTACATAGCCATAACAATAGTACAGTCAGACCTAACTAGACACTAAGCAGTACATGACTAGGTACACAGGTCTTTCGTCTGTTTCAATCTTGCACAACCATCCACCATATCTGCTTCTTTTCCGCCATTCCCATAGGCCACAATCCACACTCGAGGGATACGCACGTCTTCAATCCGTGCAGGGCATGTATTTTGATGCACTCGCCGCAATGTATGCGACTAGGGGTAATAGAACGGAACTATTCCCCAAGAAGTCCCGGGCATCTGCTTAGGTGATATGATTCTTCACATGGGAGAACATTCCCGGAGTCCGTGAGTTCCACGAGCTTATAAATCCGACAAGTGGGCCCCGGGGGGTTAGCCCGGGGAAAGCTAATGTGACCTCATCGTATACATACTTAAACCATCTATTAAGAATTCGTCTTTCTCAATCATCTGTTTAATCTTCAGTTCCATTTCTTGCTTTGTCAATATGCCAGAACCAACTATTACCCTCTACACAACCCAGACCCCCAATGGAATCAAAATATCCATAGCGCTAGAGATGCTTGGGTACAGTAGTTTCCTCGACCTTCTGACGCTTGGTACTAAGAGTGTAGCCTGCAATATAGGGTCGAGAAGATTGACATATCGAGGAACGTTCAAAAGGAAGAGTATGTCTTTACAAATACCCACACAAACAAAGCTAACTACCGTAAAGCTGGTTTCTCAAAATCAACCCCAATGGCCGCATCCCTGCCTTGACAGACCTCTTTAGCGATGGAAAGGAGATCCGGCTATTTGAGTCTGGTAGCATTCTAGAATATCTGGCAGAGCAGTACGATCACGACAACAAGATCTCATTCCCCAGGGGCACGCGGGAATACTACGCTATGAAGAACTGGCTGTTCTTCCAGAATGCGGGCCTAGGACCTATGCAAGGCCAAGCCAACCACTTCACACGGTATGCGCCTGAGCGCATTGAGTACGGCGTGAACCGTTATGTCAACGAATGTCGCCGATTGTATGGTGTTTTAGACAAACATCTTGCTACGTGTCAGTCTGGTTGGCTTGTCGGTGACCATGTCTCTATTGCCGATATCTCACACTGGGGATGGATAGCTGCTGCGGGATGGGCTGATATCGATATTGACGAATTCCCGAATGTTAAGGCTTGGGAGAAGCTTATGGCTTCGCATCCAGGTACTGAGAGTGGTCGTCATGTCCCTTCTCCTCATACCATTAAAGATCTAATTCAGAATAAGGCAGCTGTGGATAAAACGGCTGCTGAAGCCAGGTCTTGGATTCAACAGGGGATGCAGGCCCAGGCTAAAGGCAAAGTTTAAAGAAGAACTGCTGGGAGATTGATGACTTGGATAGCTGCGCAGATGATTTCAAACCGAAATTCCAATCAAGAGATCATAAACTAAATTTTTTTTCTGATTGTGTATGAGTGTTATGGAACACTTTACATGGGCACGTATACCCCAGATTGTAGGCCATATCCCAGGGCTTTCCCTTTCCATTTCAGTGCTCGCCCCTCGCAGTTTTTTTTTTATAACCGAGTAAGACTGTGCATGCCCACTGAGTATCGAAAAAATCGCAAACCTACAAGCATAGATCCGAAAGGCCTCATCGTCGTGTAGAGTCCAGATCGCAGGGTCCTCAAAATCTACTGCTGACGTAATCTCTCTAGACTTCCAACCTGGGAAGGAACCTTGGAGTCGGATGGCACTGAGAGGAGATACCTACGGGTAGCTCTTTCCCTCTCCATATCACTACACCACGAGCGGAATACACAGTGTTGTTATCCGCGTTCCTTGACTCGCTCTCCCGAGTCCTGGCCTGTTGAGGTCAGCATCTGCATACACACACAATGAGCGATACACCCCCGGATGCTCCGCAAATTCCTTGAATGCAATGGCTCGGCAGACACGTTAAGGCAGAACCAGACAGTATCCGACAATTCTGCTAAGGATGACTGGTCCAGATATCCCTTCCAAAAAGAATGTTTTTTTCTTCTACGGGACATTAACGGGTCAGTCTTGAAATCATCAAATCGACCCTCCGTCATGCGTCATGCTAGAGTGATAGGTTCTGTGATCAAGCTTTGAGGCCCTGCCCTGCCCTTCTTGATGGAAAGCCACTCCATTCAGTCCATGGCATGGCATATGAGATGCTGTTGCAGACGCGACTTCATTGACTCGCGGCCTATGTACCAGCCAACACCTTGCTTGGTTGAGCTTTTGAATGACAATAGCATCCACAATACCATTGAAGGGGCTTCTTTCATGTGGAATGGACAACAGGATGAGCTACGGTAACATTTGACCTGAAGCAATGGAAAAAGAAGAAGCAATTGGGAGATTTGGATTGAAAACCGGAGAGGCTAAAGCCATCTACCTGCATAGGTACTGGGCTAATGCCGAGGAGTGGAATCCTCAGCCTATATTTCATCGAACTCTCATCCCAGCATGCTACTTTTATTCTCCCCCCAAACCTCATTTCCCTTTTAAAGATCATCTTGCTCTGGATCAAAAAGCGTTGGTTTTCATAATCTCCATCCGAACCTTCCCAATAGTTACCGGCTCTACTAACTCTGCCTCCTAGTTAAATCAGGCTAAGGTCTACCCTTTGAATAGGCCTAACTAAAAGTTGGACCAATGGAGCCTTTGAAAGGAAATAAGAGAAGAATGAAGTAAAAATCCGGAAATTGTACAGACCGTGACTGTACATCTATGAAGACGAAGCGGAGAACATCATAATATCGGGTCCGGGGATACCCAAATCCGAGTATGGCCTCGCCACCGCCTACGAAATAAGATTTTGCTGAAATCACGTGTTCATGCTCGCCTCTTGAACACCGCAGCTTCTTTCATCTCTTCCACCTATATCACTTACTACTCACATTTTTCTATCCAAAGCAGCAGTCATGGCTTGGCGCAACCAGGGAATAACTGGCTCCAACAACATCCCGCTTGGCCGGCGACGCATGGGCGGCGAGGATGGAGAGGAGGAAAGTCGCACTGTGACCCCTTCTTCTATCCCCTCTTCGTCTATGGGTCCCGATGGTCCAAAGCGTGGGCGTAGCCCTGTTCGAGGTACGTTTCTTCTAAACTCAAAGGTGAAAACAAAATCAAGACTGACCTTGCTTCAAAGCCGATCCAGCTCCCTTGAACACCGATGGCGATGGCAAGAGGCGCAAGAAGCGCAACCGCTGGGGTGACCAACAAGAGAATAAGGCTGCCGGTCTTATGGGCCTGCCAACTATGATCATGGCGAACTTCACCAGCGAGCAGCTTGAAGCTTATACGCTTCACCTTCGTATTGAGGAAATCAGCCAGAAGCTTCGAATCAACGACGTGGTCCCCGCCGATGGTGACAGGTACGTGCTTTCATCCTTTGTAAACTCCGTTTATTTGTATACTGACTTTGATCGCAGATCTCCCTCGCCACCTCCCCAGTACGACAACTTCGGAAGACGTGTGAACACTCGCGAGTACCGTTATCGCAAGCGTCTTGAGGACGAACGTCATAAACTGGTCGAGAAGGCCATCAAGACCATCCCTAACTACAACCCGCCTTCTGACTACAGACGCCCCACCAAGACCCAGGAGAAGGTCTACGTCCCCGTGAATGACTATCCAGAGATTAACTTCAGTATGATAACTAACCCTCTAACTCCTAACCATTCTTCCATTGCGTCTATCACGAGTCCCTACTCGACTCGAGCTGACAAGGCATACCACTTTGGATGTCCTCAGCTTGTTTCTTGCTAAACCGTGGTGCTTGATGCTGCACATATTTAAAAAAATTACAGGATCACTAACACCTAGCTCTTGCTATTTTTACAGTTGGCTTACTCATAGGACCTCGTGGAAACACCTTGAAAAAGATGGAGACCGAGTCCGGTGCCAAGATTGCCATTCGAGGCAAAGGCTCCGTCAAAGAAGGAAAGGGTCGGTCTGACGCCGCTCACGGTAGCAACCAGGAAGAAGACCTGCACTGTCTGATTATGGCGGACACCGAAGAAAAGGTTAACAAGGCCAAGAAGCTTGTCCACAATGTCATTGAAACAGTAAGTTCCCATGTCTCATTTTGTTGATCAAAACCCGGTATTAACAGTTGCTAGGCCGCATCCATCCCTGAAGGCCAGAACGAGCTCAAGCGCAACCAACTTCGTGAGCTGGCTGCTCTTAACGGTACCCTTCGTGACGACGAGAACCAGGCTTGCCAGAACTGTAAGTGAACACCTTTCAAACGTCCTTTGTTGCGCGATTAATTCTAACCGTGGTTCTTATCAGGTGGTCAAATTGGACACCGTAAGTATGACTGCCCCGAGCAGCGTAACTTCACTGCGAATATCATCTGTCGTGTCTGTGGCAATGCTGGCCATATGGCTCGTGATTGTCCCGACCGCCAGAGAGGCAGTGACTGGCGTAACGCCGGCGGCCCACGTGGCGATCGTGCTGTTGGCACTGGTGATGCCGTGGATCGCGAGATGGAGGTAAGTTCTCTTTGCTCATGACTGCTTTCTCGGGCATGGTACTAACAACCCCTTAGCAACTGATGAATGAATTGTCTGGTGGTGCTCCTGGCGAATACGAGCCCCGTCGCATTGAAGCCGGTCCCGACGGTGGCAATGGCCGTCCCGACGACCGTGATGTGAAGCCCTGGCAGCAGCGTGGACCGCCGCCCCAAAGCGATGTGGCTCCATGGCAACAGCGCCGAGACCCTCGCCCTCGTGACGACTACGGATCCCGCGATAACTATGGATCCCGCGACAATCACGGACCTCGTGACGACTATGGATCTCGCAACCAGGGTGGTCCTGCCCCTTGGGCTGCGCAGGCCCAACCCCAAGGTCCACCCCAAACCCGCGACTACGCTTACGGATCTCAAGGTGGTTATGCTGCTCCTGGTGTTGCTCCGGGTGCTGCTCCTTGGCAGCAACCGGCCCCTCCTGGCGGACAGCAGCCTGCCTATGGTGGTGGTTATGGTGGATACGGATATGCGGCTTATCCTCCTGGCATGGGAGCTCCTGGTGCTGCCCCCCCTGGTATGGGCGCACCTCCTCCCCCTCCTGGTATGGCTCCAATGTACCCCGGAGGTGCTGGCAGTCCTCCTCCTCCGCCCCCGCCTGGCGATGCTCCGCCTCCACCACCTCCAAGCGACCTGCCTCCCCCACCCCCACCCCCACAGTGATGACCTCGCCTTCCCAGCGAAGAAAAAAGATCTCGTTTCAAATAGTTTGTTCATGCGCGAAGAAATTGGCTATGGAGGCTTTGAAAGACAATCCAACGAGGATTTATTTCAGAAGCCCACGGCTCGCTAACGATTGTTCCAAAAACGCCATACTTGTCCTTTTCTATACAATTTTGAGTAACCGACTAATTCTTTCTAGTTCGCCTTGAATTCAATGTTGGATTATCGTATTTGTCCTGTACACTCGTAAATGAAAGTAGCGGTTTGACCAGCTAGGCAGATCCTAACTCGAAGTAGATGCCTCAGGCCCCACTTATAGGTCAGCCCCAACATTTCTCCGCAAAATCAAGCTCCCTTCAATTATGTCCTGCTTCATGTCCTCCTATATGATATGTCTTTCCGTACAATACAAGTCACTGGCACTTTATAAATTCATACCAGTTTGTTCGAAGTCATGTGACTTCTCTCCGCTCCCAACAACTATGTTAGTCCCAGCAGATAGGTAGTTTCCTTTTCTCTCTTCACGCAATTCATGAGAACTTTCCAGAGTGTCTACATTTCATCCGTAGACTCCTTGATTCATCTCTAATAGGTTATAAGCCCTCGTTCTTGAAGCCACTGCATCACTGCAAGCTTCAATCTCTTTTATCCTCCCATTGGTGCTAGCGTCGCACCACCCCACACTGGAATTCCTTTTTCGCGAATCGGAATCCCAACCGGCCGAGACTAACATCCCGACCACGGTTGTTGCACTCTACAACAGTGCACTTCTATCACTCTAATTGGTTGACCGTCAACCTTGCTGGCCGTTCGATACTCTGATTTGTCGACCGTCACATTCCTGACCGTTCTTAAAAATCCAAGTTGATCTACTGCCTCGAGTAGTAGATTGCTATCCTCTAGCCCAAAATTTCGGGGAACGCCGAATTAACGACCCCCGAGGGCTCTCTATCTCTTGACCCTATTGTCGGAGGGTTGCCTCTCTCTGAAGCTTTACAGCCATCTCTTGGAGATTCGACTCTCGATTGTGAACCATTTTTTTCTCTTAACGATCAGGCTGTCGATAGTGAGACGCTAGTTTCCCTCGATATATCTTCGATTTTTGAATATAACTTTGAGTATCGCAATGAATCCGATATTA